CGTAGACTCCCCAGGCTTCGTGATACCATTTCCCTCCCCCCCCCCTTGCATGCTCCCATACCGTGTTGACTATCCCAGATCCTGCGCATTTGGGATGCCAGGGATGGTCGTTGTTTGAGTGATCAGCGCACATGTGTACATGCGCCTTGCTGTGCTGTGCTATGTTACTCCACGGCCCTCCACGCGAAACTTTGTATGGATGGAATAGATTCAATCATGTACTGTACGGTTCTCTCAGTGTCCTGTCTCTCTGCTTTGGAGCAATAACAGCCTTGTTTTGCGGAATAGCATAGAATCAAACGAGGAACGAGGCTCGGGCGAGTATCGATATGTCTGTCCCCAATGAGACCATCTCCCATGTGCGTGCGGAGCATCCAAAGCGGCTTTGTCTTTTCCCTTCCAAGGTTATCTATCATGTCGTTTTCCCTTCTCCCGTCCCTCGATAGATCTCCCCTGGGCCCTTGTGATCCCTCTCGCCTATCGACCCCTACAACTGCACCGTCCCGCTGCCCTCCTGATCTTTCCCGGGTCGCCATCTAGACCGATCGGGCCCTCTTTTGGCTCGGCTCTCCTCGGACGCGTGCAGATATGCGGCTCTCCGCCCCTCCCTCCCTTCTTTCCCGTCTGCAAGGGAACCACGAACAAGAACAGGAACGTACCTACTTACATGGGGATACTTATCTTGCAACGTCTTGGACCGCGGGCGCGGGTGGATGCACATATCCCCACTCGTATCAGCAAAGGGTGATGATCTCTCTGAGTAAACTTCCGTTCCCTTTTGGAAAAACATCAACCCCCGACTTTGACGAGCCCGGGTGACTCGTTCACTCACTCGCTCCCAATTCACTGCCAGCGAGCGAACACCCCCGAAAAGTAGGGCGGCATTTCTTCTGCGCTCACCCAGAAAAAGCCTCCGACGTTCATGATTAAAAATGAATGGATAAGCTGCTGTAGTGCAGTGGTTAGTACGTTTCATTGTGGGAGGTGCCTGCTTCTCTAGACTCTGCCACTGCGTTGGTGGGTGTGAGGCAGAAACAGGAGAGTAGGAAGGATTGCAACTCCGATTCTCCGCAGAGACCTTGGTTCAAATCCAACCGCCGGCACTGTGAATGAGATAATTCTTTGGGTTGAGAACGGAGAGAGGGAGGGAGGAGGCGCGTGAAGACGGCGTAGCTATGTGTTTGTGCTCGTGCGAGACGAGCGAAGTCAGGATACTGGGTAAGCTAGTCGTGAGATTGAGCCATTCATCTCTCAATCCATCATTCATTCTTTTATACAATCATACATTACTTCCCCCCTCCCCCACGGCCGTTCGTCCAGGGAGCAAGCAAGCAAGCAAGCAAGCGAACAAGCAAAGTAGCTTTCCCGCCTGGCCTTGACGGAGATTGACTTGAAGGTGGTCGCAGCAGAAGTGTTCACGTACCCTACCTAACTAGGTACCTACCCCCCCCCCCCCCCCGACCTCGCTTTTTAGCCTCATCATCACGTCCCATAAACCACATTTCAAGCAGTAAGGGGAATGTCTCGCCATTTTTCTCGTGCACAAGTGAAGCCGAGTGATGTCGGTACCCCTGGCCGTTTGTCTGTTGTTCTGTACGGCCCGCGAGTCGGAATTGTGCATGTTGTTTTGTCTGCATGCATGGGCAGACCCTCGAGGGTTGGTCATCTTGGCCATTTTTTGCATTTCTCATACCGTCTGACGATTCTATTCCCGGTCCTGTGCGAAACTACTCTGTGGTAGTGGAGGTGGTGGCAGCAGGTCAACGGAAAAGCAAGACACATAAGGACAAATAAAGACGGTACTTAGTAGATGGATGTACAGAGAGACTTTTTTTCGAGCGTTCCGGCTTAACCTGATCAGGGACGGATTCGACGCGCATCTCCTTCCTGCGGTTTAGGCATGGCCGGATACTCATCCGCTGCAAGTGACAATTAACTATATACATAGTTATATGCGCCGAACCGATTAGCGTTCCAATCGAACAGACCCCAGATATGCGTAATGATCTCTGCTTGCGATGTGGGAAGGCTCCTGGGGCCTCCGGGTACTTACATAATAAACTGCCTTGCTCAAAACGATTTGATCAAGACAACAGCAGGGAAAATACCGCGGCTGGCATCTACCGAGTGGGAATATGAGAGGTCGACCTGGGAGGGTGATTCGTGTTTGTATACCTATTGGATTTTTCATGCTGCTGTCAGAGGTAGCTTGGGTGCCTCATCACCACGGATGCTCGCGGCTTCCTCTCTTTGTAACCGCCTGGGGGGTGATACGACCAAACCAGCTGATACGATGCGTTTTCCCTCAGTACTGGGTTATTCTCTTCGTGCTCCACCCTCTGGCGAATCCTCTCCTTGTTCCTAGTGCCGGGTCACATATCCTTCGATCAATCCCACCTTGGTGACTTCCATCTTGGTTCCTGGGGAAGCTCTTCATGCTTGATGCAGAATGCTATCTCCCACAACGTCAATATGCGCGGTAACGAACTAGCTACATGCCTGAGTGATTGAGCCAGGATCGGACAGCTTAAAATGGACAAGTTCTAGGTCCCGTGGCGCTGGAGAAGCCTTTTGCATGATGGAAAAAGTCGCATGGGTTCTCTCTTGTTTCGAGTACTTTCAAAGAAAGTGCGAAGGCAGGCGCTGTCGGCTGTCTTTCATGCATTCATATATCAACAGCTCCATCTCAGACTTTGCACTAATTCTCGATCTCGGCATCGGTGTCACTTACCTCATCTTCCTCGCCAATTCACAGTATATCGAATGGATTGGACCAACTTGGTCGAGCTGAAGCTGGCTTATTCGGTGGATGAGCACGACGGGGAATTTGAACGGAGACGTCAATCGGCCTGTTTGGGGAACTTGTAGGGTCGGGTATTCCAACTTGAGCCCTAAATCAATGAGGTGAAGATGGTGTGCGTCGACGGTGTCAGAATTCGCTTTGCAGGCAATGTTTGGATTCTTTGTAACTGCGAATTTTAAGTCTTGCTGACTAGCTTTTGCAATTTCCGCTTTCTAATTCAGTTTCCGAATCATGCCTGGCGTGGTTTCTTCGAGAACTTGCCCGTCTTCTCGGTGAAAGTGTTGTAAGAGCAAAGCCATGCTGCGACTCGTCCGCCGGCAAACAATCTCAACAAGCTTCATACCCCAGAGTGTCGTAGGACCTGTAAACTTAACGAGGGATTTTGGACCAAGCAAAACCTATCAGGTTCCATTTCCTCTATCTTGAGAACCGACAGCTCCAAAGTGTAAATTTCGATTACGGTGAAAAACCGATGTTTGTGTTATCGTTCTCCTTGTATCAAAGTCCACTTTGAAGCTGTGATGTGAAATGCGCAGGTTCTAGGGTTTCAGACACGTGAGGGCAGCGGATAATGGTCCCAGGCGCGAGCTCATGGATCGAGTGAATCCGAAAATCTCTGCAGGGACAAATTAGCATCCAGGGAGGAAGTGCTGGAGGAGGGCGATGACGACAGCGAGGAAGCAGAATCTGGAGTTGTCTAGCCAGACGTCCTTGTGTTGATCGAGGCATCGGGGAGAACATGGAGTGAAGTATAGCAAGTCTGTCTCTGTTGTTTCGAATCTTAGACTATCAAGCGACGAAGTCGAGTTGATGGTCGAGTCTCTCTGCATCCCTAGGCTCCTACATTGGCACGAGTGAAGGGAACTGCCAATGATATTTCTCTCCACGATGCCGAGATATCTCTGAGAGACGCAGAGCTCTTCCGCCAACCGCTACCAATCCGCTGTTTCTGCTAAAGCCCGGACGATGGGGAATGTTGATACGAGGCCTGCTGGATATCGCGGAAGTTATCTACTTTCCTGTTGATTTAGCTCGTCTTGCACAACGGGTAAGAACGTGAAGACAGAGATTGAACGTGCGTGAACAGGCTTGAGAGAATTTGGGTTTTGGTGGACACAACGGAGTGGGAATTGGATGGCCAGGCGGAGCAAATATAACCTTTTGTTGAGCTGCGAACCACAATTTGCCGCCTTCTCGTCGCCCACCGGCTCAGGTTCTTTGGATTGTGGTGTATCTGGAACAAATGATACCGACAAAGGGCGATTCTGATAACTTGTGTGCAATGTACTCACGCTCAAGTCTTACTCTCGTGCTGTTGCTGAGAGAGTCGGGGCCCTCTGCTCCCTTGATCGCAAAAAGTCAAGGCAGGAAGACAGTAATTTTACTCATATTGTCCGGATTGGCTTTTCTCCGAGTCGCCTTGGGTTCCCGCGAGGCTGAATTCTCGTAAGACATAGTCGATCAGTAAGAGGCGAGATCAGCAGACGAATATGTCAATGGCCCTGGCTGGTACTCTGTTTGATGCCACGTAGGGTCCTTAAGGTATTCAAAAGGATGCCCGGTTATAGTTAGCCGGTAGACTCTTTGGTGGTTGTATACACAAACACCATCCTCGGCCCGTCTATCGACCTCGCGTCGGCCGCTGTAACCTGCAGTATTCTCCACCATCCTCTCTTCGCCTTGAGACAGCGTGACGCATCAATTAAGGAACGATATGCCCTGATCTTCGATCCAGTCCTAAACACGGTAACTCACTTACCTCTGCGGGCAAGCATCTGAGTTTCATTATCCGACAAGTCTGGCTGTTATCTCCGGGATCAATTATACATAAGGTCTCTGCGTTCGATTACGTAAGTTGCGCTGGTGGGCTTTCTGTAAAGGCGCAGAGTTGAATACAGGTTGGTTGAACATATTCGACATGAGTGAATGGGCACCCAGACAGAATTAGGCCCAAAAAAGGAGTCCCATGTCCTGCTTCAAATCTCGTGGTCATGTTATCATGTGTTGCGCTTCGATAAATATAGAAGATTTGGGCCGGATACTAGTCAAGTACCGGAAGGGAATTCCAGTCTAAGGATCACCCATCTGGGGAATGTGCCACTTCATGATCCTGGCTTTGGTTGTAGCGGAGATCCCATTCGATCGAGTGTTCGGGTTCAACGCTGATCTCAATGGGTCGTTCTTCCGCTGTTTTCTTTTACCAGCCTCGCCACCTTACCCAGACGTCAATAATATTGTTGGGGTTGTCTGTGTCCGTATCGATGATAAAATACCAGCTGAACATTGCTAGAGTGATGCATGCATGATTCGGCCAAATGCGAAGCTTTTGTCCGTATTGCAAAGGCAGCTCCCGGTTCTCTACATTGTTGTCTTCAAAAGCCAAGATGCCATGCTCTTGACTGATGCGGCTGACAATGATGCGATCTTTCTTCGTCGCGCGATAATCCTCTGGCATATTCCATGGACTTACGACACCCCATCCGGGATAGTCCTTGCAGGGCTCTCTTGCAAGTGCGAGAGCGCCGGCAGAGATCAGTCCTTCAGGCTGTTTGGTCCGACTGGGGTACAAAGAACAGACCTCAGCGAGGACAGATACTGCAATGGTATCATGAGGGTCCGAAGTAAAGCTGCGGCTGCTGGTAGCCACCTGCTGAATGTCAAAAATCGGGTAGACGCCGGCATGGATTTCAAGCTCCAGATTGGATTTGGTCAACTCGAGTGTATCCTTAAGAGCATTAGCCGAAGAAGTAGAACTTGGAGCTGAAGGCAAAATGTTTTGTAGAGAAAGAGCAGTTGGCGATGCTCCAACCGAAACAAGAAGCGGCTTCTGGTTGTCTCTCTTGAAGTGTTGAGAGGCTTGTCGGCAAACGTCAATCTCAACTTTGAGCATGTCCATTGCATCGTCGGGCGACGAGCCACCATAGCTGAGGCTGTTATGTGAATAGAATCCAAGCAACCAGAGGTGACCTTGCTGTTCGCTGGCGCTAACCTCATGCACAAGGTCCAACATATCCTTCGAGTCTGGACTTAAACCTGCCCTGTGATAGCCCGAATCGGTTTTAATGAAGACCAACGCGGGAAATCCTGCCTTTTCCTTGAATGACGACAAGCATTTCAACTGCTCTGGATGATCAATCATGACTGTAATGGACCCTTCGCCAAGCTGACGGCCTATACGAGCAAGCCGGTCGACGTGTGAGGGGCCCAATGGGACACCATACAAGATATTGATCTTTGCGCTCCTCTTTTTATATTCCAGAAGAAGAGGAATCAGTTGCTCTGCTTCGATAATGGTCGACACGATCAACCTCACGTCCTTGCAATCTTCGCCGACCTGAAGTTTCGTAATCTCTGTTGTTTTGTGAGTCTTGACATGAGCTCTGAAACTGACTTCCAACTCTTTGACCGCATTCAGCATGGAGCCGCAGTTCGTCTTTACCTTGGCCACGTCTATAACCGCTGCCGGAACAGGAACATCGTGCAGGGAGCGACCTTGGTATGCCTGGAGTAGAGCTTCTCTGGGTGAGAGTGGAAAGGCCGCTATCGACATCCTGTGATGATATGATAAGGTCACCCTCAATTGCTGCTGGAGGATGTCAAGGAGATGCAGCGTCGATCCTCAAGCCTGTGATTCAAGACGTATGTAGAGTTCGGGACGTCCGCCGAGAAAGGAGATGGATCGAGGGACTGTGTGAAGTCCGCGTGCTAGTCGTATTATCTCTCTAAAGTTTGGGTTTGGTGTCGAGGTGTTTTCTGTCGTTGATAAAGCAGCGGGCAACAGTGGCCCGTGGACTCCTTTCAAGGACCACTCGTGCAACGCGGAGCGGGGACGAACCAGGGTCCCTTGAGAGAGATATGAATCAGGAGCAGAAGGATGGGGTACGAGGTACGGGCAGGTGGTCCTGTCCACTTGACTGCCTTTCTTCTGTCCAAAAAAAAAACTCACCAGACAACAGATATCGTGAAAAGGTGTCAACTTCCACGCAGATGTACGTACCGAATAAGTACCTCGTCGTCCCAATCATCTCCCACAAGGTCGCCGTTGTCGCCGTCCATGACCCAAAATCAAGCGCCAGGGGAGATGATTACCGGCAATGGCCCGATCGCCTTTTTATCGGTGGGATGGGCGGGTTGATGAGCTATTGCTTAGCTCTTGGGTCGGGAAATTTCCTGGGGCCTATCGCGGGCGAGGCCGAAATGCAAGCCTCGTTTCACCATTTGCAACGCCCCAAAGCGCCCACACCGACAATCCCACTTGGCCCGCCGTTGACTCTCACTTTTGTTGCTTTGCAACTTGTCGAGCACGGCGCAAAGTCCCACGCTGCTTTCAAAGGCTGAAACGATGGGAGCCTGGTCGAGAAGTCGCCCCCCTTCCCCCCATTGCGCCTCAGGCCTCAAATTCGCTGCCGCAGGCGAGATACCCTGGCCTTTTCCGTGGGTGGCTTGATATGGCTCGATGGATCTGCGTTTGAAGCTTACCACCATCTACCCAGTACCAGGAACTGTCCCTTCGTCCTCCTTTAGCCAGCGGTGTTCTGCCTGTGCACAGATGCGTGGACTTGGGCCACAGATTCTGCGGTATCTTTGTGTTCTCTCCTCGCCTCGACCGTTCTCAGATCACTCTCCTTCGACTTCGTGTATCGGATCAGATCTGCAAGTTCTGACAGCTATAACCGAGTCCCTGAGTTTCACGCTTGTTGTATCCGTGCATTGAAAGCATCTCTACGCGTCTGCACTTAATCTTCCCCTGCCTGGACAAAATTCTACCATCCTTACACAACAGCTGAGACGTGGAAAAATTCAAGTCGCACGGGTCTTTTAAATTGTCGACTCACCATCCTTCTCCTGATTATCAGCCTCCGGTGCGCGCAGAAAAGATCGCAGAAGAAAAAGACCATCCAGGTTGAATATCCAGGTACATGGGTTGAAGGTACAAGGCTGTGTTCTATGAACATGTATTCATGTGGGGGGGCAAGGTCCTCGTGAATCATAGCTGCCGTTGCCTCTATTGACTGACGTCTGTCTCGGACTGTCGAGAGCCGACTGTTCCTCACAATGTCGATAGACAAGAGCAGCAATGGAGGGCAGGCTATTGTCCGTCCGCCCGCGCATCCGGTTCCGCAATTACAAAATCCATTCGAGGAGTCGATGCTGGAATCAATAAGTGATCAGATGGCGGAAGAGGTCCCTACTGATGCCATGACGCGGCGAACAATGCTTCTCGAGGCGCCCACCTATCAACGGGTTATTGCGGGCAGGTGGAAGCAGAAACCAGGCGAGAAATATCACCCGTTGTGGAAACTCGTGGCACAATTAACTTTTGGAATGCATCTGTTATCACAGAACATGGCCATCTCAGAAGAGGAGGTCATGAGGATCCTGCAATCCCACGTCGACGATATCGATGCCTTCCTAGAACGCACCACAGAAGACTTCGATCTTGCACAAAGCGATATCCACGAGAGAATACGTTGTCTCAAGCTTCCACTCGCACATGGAGAAGTATTTGATCGAATGCTGGAGGATCGAGCGTTTCGCGCATCGATCCTCGATGGAAACGAAAAGATCGACCACGTCATTGGCCGGACCAAGAAAGCGGCAAAGGATGCACTAAAGGACGTCCAGAAGGGATTCGATGCAACCAATGTCATGGAAAAATACCTGTCCAAGTTAAGCTCAACATGGAGGAGAGAATCGCCCGAGCATGAAGCTGTTCTAGTGGCTATGCTTGGGAATGTTGAAGGATGGCGCCGAGCTTTCTTGGAGTTGCATTTACAAGGAAACAAATTGGCTGGGTCTCTGAAGAAGCTTGCGGAGGTGGTTTCCGAGATGCAGCAGAGAGCTGCGACGGTCAGCAGAAATCTTGTGGTAAGACGGTCTTTGCTTTTTTGCCGTTTTTTAATATTGCCGACACTCTTCTTACTGTTGCCAGGCTAGAGCTCAGAAGACGAAACACATTACTTCACAGGATGCTGGTCGTGTGCCATCCCAGTTAGGATCCATCGCCGAACACAAACCGCTACCGAGTGAACCAGGTCGACAACACTCGACGAGAAATTCATCTCGGAGTACTCAACTCACTAGCTTCTCCAGTCGACCAAATAGCGGCCAGAAGTCAAGTCAAGGAATGACCTCGCAAACACAGTCTCTCGGTCATCAATCACCGCAATCCTCAGAACCAAGAAGACCAGGCCACGCAGAAATGCCTGGACGCTCGTTTTCATCCGAGGTGATGGCGATCGAAGGGCCGCAGTATGCTGCAGACCGAATGCGTAGCCTAGGCGGATTGCTCATTCAACCCAGCGAGGAGCTGCTCGTTGAGCTTCCGGCCGACGTCCCTGAAGATGCGCTCCGACAAGCACCGGTCTCGATCAAGAACCGATTGAGTATGACACTAGGGCTGAAGCCAAAGGACAATGCAAGTCACCGCATCTCCAGTGTCTACTATCCCAAAGCATTGGGTGATCTCTTGAAATCTCCTGCGATATCTTCGTTATTACTTACACCACAGGCTGGAAAATCGATGGGCACACCTGTGCAGGCCATGATATCGCCTGTCATGTCGGAAGGCGAAGCTGGGTTCTTTCTCTCCCACGAGCAAAGCCCCTCGATCGGATTTTTCAACACGGATTACAAGAAGGGCGCCGACTCTGCCAAAGCGTCTCCAGCAGCTGCTCAAGCATCGGCTCGAGCTTCGATAGTGGATCCATCTAGGCCGGTAACGCGTCGGTCATCAATTCCTAACCTGGCGTTTACTTCGCACCCCGTTGTGATGGCTATGGCATCTCCTCCGGTCGAGCTTCCGGCCCCGGTTGAGCCAGCGGCGAGGGAAGAGCGGTCAAACTCTTCCGCATCGAGGAAAGGCTCCCAACTCTCAAGCCTGGGGGAACCTGGGCCAGAGCTGAACGAGGCTGAAATGACACGGTCGGCCTCTGAATCGGCGTTGGAGACGAGAATTCTTATTGACACATCCACCGTTACCGTTGCTATTGTGCCGGCGTCTGCTGAGGAGACCTTTGCAGCTGCACAGCAAAAGGCCGAGAGCGATACGCAGAATCAGCTCCAAAGCCAATTGGAGATGTCAACAGAAAACGCAGTCAAGGCCATACAAGAAGGCGTGGCAGTGCCTTTGCGCCCGCAATTGACGGCTACAGCACCTCCGCCGACCGAAGAGGTGGGACATGCCGATGAAGGAAAAATACAAGTTGCCGTTGGAGCACCCGCTAGAGTTGAAAGCGAAGATTCAGCTCAAGCAAATTCCGACGACACACCAAATGATATGCTTGCTCAGAAAGTTGACGGCCCCAGTCCGAAGACAGAATTCATTGCCGAGTTAGAAGCCATTGTTCCCAAACCTCTTTATTTCAAGCCGACGAAAGATTTTGGACTGGTGGAATTGGAAGCTCCGCACCAAACATTCAAGCTGCCTCCGAGACCCGTTGCAGTCACTGAGAATTCAGAAAAAGAAGCTCCTGGCGCCAGTCAAGGCCAGCGGGAAGACTTCATCAAGCTGCCGACCGAAGTTACGACTAAGCCTGGCATGAAGCCCAAGGACTTTGGAAACTCGGACACACCAGAGCCGATCCGACCCTTGAAGTTGAAACTCACCAAGAAAGATGGCAAGATTGTCCCTGTCCAGGTCTCCAGCCCTGGCGAAAGTTCGAAATCATCGGTGGGGAGTCCTGGCCCCAAGCTCAAAATAGATATCGTTGCAGACATCATTGAGAGACTCTCGTATACACCGCCGGGTTCACCTATCCATGCCAGGTCAGCTTCGAGCGTCTCTTCAAATTCAGCGCAGCGCTGGTCACACCGATCATCACGCTCGCTGGGACCACCAGAGCAGGCTCCGGCGCCGCCCGCTCCGGGAGGTCGACCGATGGTGGAACCCGACTTCGCCACGGCGGGACAGTTTGAGGGGGAGCGCAAGCAAAAGAAAAAGAAAACCAGCAATATGAGTGGAGGGAGCAAGAGTGGTTGGAAAAATCTGTTCCGGGGAAGCATTGCGGACAACAGTAGTGCCGGCGGCGCACAGAGTTCAGAAGGAGGTTCCATAAAAACGATGACAACGGCAACAACGACCACGAATGCTTCTGCGTCAGCATCAAGATCAGGCGCAGAGGCAGTTCCGCCCACCCAAGCGGACATGATGACAACGTCTGGCAAAGACGTGCTTTGGTTCAGGGGCGATACGAAGAAATGACTGGGCGTATCGTTTGGGCAGAGTCTTTGGCAAGGACGGAGTCGAAAGCTGTAAGAATACTGGGTTGCCGAGCCGGCGTCAGTAATTTATGCGTGCTGAGCAGGTGAACAGACTGCATATAAGATGATAAATCCCTTTTAATCTAATTAATCCCACGGCTGTTCCCAACTCTGCTGTGATTGCTGTTCAACCAGAGCTGGCGGAGACTCTCGGATCGCCTATATTGGAAAGGAACTACCGATGTGTGCACCGACTCGCCGAGTTAATCCTTCAATGGTTGTTAGGACGAACAGGTTCTCGAAAAGGTAGCAAAGGAGAGAGGGACATGGAATAGAGCCCCAGCCGTGCCGGGAAATCCAAGACTTGGACTGTAGGGATGTGGTCGCCAGACAGAGAAGGACGATCCGTCACGCGATGCAATGGCCTAGAGTTGCTCGTCTTGCGGCCGCTTGTGCTTGGGGAGGTTTGCTGAGGGTGACTGATGATGATGCAATGCGAGGTTTGGGGCGGATGCGACCACAGTGAGTGAGGCAGACTCGCGCTCTCTGTGTTTCGGTTACATTTGTATGGAGCAAAATCAAGGTCGGCAGCAGATCCTGGGGAGGCGAGTGGTGAGTAGCCAGTAGACAGTGGGTGAGTTTGAGCCACGAACAGCTGACCGGTATGAATCTGTGGGACACAGCTTGAGGCCGGGCGCGGTGCCGCTTATTAGTACCCAGTACCTCGCACTCTCATAGGGGAGCAGGTTGTAGGTACCTAATAAGGTGAGGGGCTCCCCAGGCTCCCTAAGGTAGGCTCAGGTGTCGGCATCACGGCCAAGAGCATAAGGCTAAATTAAGGCAGGCGAGAACGGGTGGGCGCCCGGGCAGCCAATTGACGCCCGCTGATGGAATTCCGTCCAGACTTGGGCGTCGAGGGTCTGCGAGGTAAACCCAGTAACCCCATCTCGCCCATCGGTGCCATCCTCCCTCTTGCTGCGATCTCCACAAACTCAGCTAAGCAGATCCAACACCCATGCCTGATTGACCTCGACCCATTGCCATCACCCATTCCTCATCGGATAACCTCGAGTCCATCGTCGTTCTCGCTCTCAGCCTGACCACAACATATTCAATGTTTTTTGGGCCTTCTCCCTCATCCACCATCGTCCATACCCCAAACCCGCGTCCCTCGTCCGGCCTTGATCCTTCGATTGAACGATTGAGAGCCCACATCAGGCCACCGTCGACGACTGAGCCCACGAGCCCGCGAGCCCGCGAGCCCGCGATGCCTGACCAGCTACCTCTGAATCTACCCATACATATCTAGAAGTTCGCTCCTAAATCGACGTATTGCCCTCGAGTGCGTCTCGGTGTTGAAGAGGTCTCAGCGTCAAAATATCCTCACGTTTCGAATCCGAGCTGGCCTGGTCCGCGACCTGAACCGAGCATGGTGACTACCATTCTGCGCCCGACGCGAATTTCATACCGATTGCACCAGATCATGAATTGAAGGGAACGGCAACAAGGGTGAAGCGACAAACGTCGAAGAAACTATTGCTGGAGAGAAGAGAAGGTACGGAATACACCTATTGCCAATTGCGAGTAAGAGCCTATCTGGACATCGAGATTCTGAGCTTCAAAACCTGGCCATCAGTGCTGCTTTGCACTACGAACTGTCGGTCTTTGGACCGTCTGGCTCGCATCTGCCAGGTAGCGCTGTTCGCCCTCTGTCTGTTGAGGGTTCCCTTTGCCCGGAGGCCCTCTTATTATGGGTTCATTGGTGCTCTTCAATCGAAAATGATTGAGGCGTGGTTGCACAGTTGAACTGACGTGGAGTTCTCAGACCCATACAAGTCCTTTCTCTCTCTTTCCTCGCTATGTCTCGTTCGAACAACGACTTCGCACCATGGGACACCCGACCCTCGCAACCAATGCCTCCAAAAGCCATGGCCATCTTTGGAACTGGTGTGAACCCGAATGCTACAGGTCGCCAACATTTCCCACAGCCACGGCAAATTCATGAGATTGCGCCTTGGGACACCCAGCATCCTCACGATGACGATATAGCGCCTTGGGAACGAGATCCTCAAGCACATATTTCAGGCACCCGTCCTCTAAATTCGTCTTATTTCAACGACTCGATCGGTCGAGATGCCCAAGGCTCGTCGAGGCGCCCGGATACTGCAAAAACAAATACGTCGGATTCGCCTGATTATGATGGTGATGCAAGACGGCCGTCAATAGCTAGTAATACAACAGTCAGCAGTACAGGTTCAAGAAGCAGCACCGCCAATGGTCGATTCCATAAAAGCTTGAAGGGTTTCTTTGGTGAAGATCCTACGGATTCTCGGAAAGGGTCGACGGCAGATTTGGCGGAGCCAGTGCCGCCTGCCAACTCATCGGACAAGCCATCACAGCGGAGTGGTTCAATCCAGACTCAAAACACCGTCGATGACAGACCCAAGACTCCTGCCCCTCCTCCTTCTAGCGATGTCACCCCTTGGGCTTACCAAAATTTTGAAGATGTTTCGAATTTTGGGTCTGCGCCGATACGGCAGGAGCAGCAGCAGCAGCAGCAGCAGCAGCAGCCGCCGCCGCAAAGCGAGTCTCTGCAGCCAATCCCACCCGCGTCTACTCACCGACGTGGCCTGCTTCATCGCCACACGAGAAGCAAGGAGGACCCGCCTAAAGGCCAACAAGTCCCTGCGTCAATGCCCAAAAGACCTTCCACAAGTCGGGAATCGTCGACGAGTAACCTGGCTTTCTACCGCAATACCCCGCCCAACAGCACGCCCATGAGCTCTTCTACAACACTCACTCGTAATGCTAGCCCAGCGCCTCAATCACGCAAAGAACCCCCTTCGCAATCGGAAAAGAGATCGATATTTTCGAAACTCACCAAATCGCGTAAAGACAAGCAGTCACCCCAACCTGAACCAATCAGGACCAACATTGAGCTCGCACGACCGCCGGAGGAGCAGAAGAAGAGCAGAACACAGTCGACCAAGACGACCGCATCAGACCTCTCTGATAACAAAAGGGATAGAGAAACAAGCGTTGCATCTGTGGACAGCGCATCAACAATCAAAGCTACTGACCCATCTCCCAAACTTGACCGGACACAAACGGCCTCGTCGAAGACGAGTAGGTTCACTCGCCATGGCAGGTATCGTGGACCTAGCGTCCAAAGTGATACCTCTGAAAAGAGCAAAACGACAAGTCAACAAGCCCCGATGCAAGCGGGCGTCTTCAGCCTTGATACGAATTTTGATGACATGTCGGACATTATCTCTCAGCCGCCGGCTCCAAAAACTCCCGGGGAAGCCGGAATCTGGACGGGAAAACCTTCGGCGACACCAATGTCAGAACTCTCTGCTCCTGCATGGGATGCCCCAGATAGTTGGGCTGTGAAAGGCCAGGAGGATGAGGTTCTTGACAGCTTACCCGAAGCCACTGAGGATGGCCTGCCGGCTATCCAGGAAGAGGATGGCATATCCTACTTTATGCGTGTTTTCAGAACCGATGGCACGTTTGCCACATTGTCCATGTCTATTAACGCTACCGTGGCCGAAGTCCTTCAATCTCTTGCCAAAAAATCCGTTCTACACGACTCGATTGACAACTACCAACTCCTTATGCGCAAACACCAGCTGTCAAGACAGTTGGGGTCGGGAGAACGTCCTGTGGCCATGCAGAAGAAGCTCCTGTATCTTGCAGGCTACACTGAAAGAGACAGAATTGAAGAGGTGGGCAGAGAGGACAACAGCTATCTCATTCGGTTCACGTTCAGCCATGAGAAACAGACGGGCTACGGCAGCGGGCTTGACAAAGACCCAGCATTTAACAAAATGCAGAAATTCAGCCATGTGGATCTCTCCGGGAAGTCACTGGTCACAATACCGATTATCCTCTACACAAAAGCTTCCGAAATTATATCAATCAACCTTTCACGGAATCTTGCACTCAAAGTGCCAAAGGACTTTATCACCGCCTGCATCAACCTTCGCGAGATAAAATTCACAGGCAATGAGGCGTGGCGGTTACCGCCCAGTTTGGCTTGGGCAAGCCGACTGACTGTGCTTGATGTGTCAAACAATCGACTGGAACAATTGGAACATGCAGAGCTGCACAGATTAATGGGCCTTGTGAGTTTGAAACTGGCAAACAATAAGTTGTCGGAATTGCCTCCCAACTTTTCGTACTTCCGCCAGCTTCGCAGCCTGAACCTTTCGTCCAACAACTTCACCACGTTTCCAGACAACATATGCAGTTTGAAGTCTCTTGTGGACCTTGACATCAGCTTCAACAAGCTCTCCTCGCTTCCGAAAATCTCCCAGCTGACCACGCTCGAACGCCTTTGGGTTACGAACAATGATCTAAAAGGCCCGTTCAACGAGACTTTCGCAAGTTTGATCAATCTGAAGGAGATCGACGCAAGATTCAATGCAATAACCAATATCGACAATGTAACAAGCCTGCCGAATCTCGAACAGCTGCTCGTTGGTCACAACAACATCACAACTTTTAAAGGCTCGTTTCCGAAACTGCGTGTACTGGTCCTGGATCATTGCCCGATCACCTCTTTTGAACTGGACCAACCTGTGCCAACCCTGTCTAGCCTTAACATTGCTTCAGCGAAACTTGTCGAGTTCAAGGAAACGATGTTTGATCACATGCCAAATTTGCAGAAGCTGAATCTGGACAAGAATCATCTGTCGAACATGTCATCCCAGATCGGACGGCTGACCAAACTAGAATTCTTGAGCATGGCAAAAAATCCACTAAATATAGTCCCTCCCTCCATTGGCAATCTTGCGGAGCTCAAGTTCCTAAATCTCAGGGAGTGCAATGTCAAGAGCCTCCCTCCCGAAATCTGGTATTGCAGGAAGCTGGAGACATTGAATCTTTCCTCAAACGTGTTGGAGACCTTCCCTAAGCAGAACGCGGCCCCGCCTCCAAATGAGCTCAAGGACTACACCCCCACAGCGACTCCCGGGTTGTCAACTTCGCCCAGCTTCGATGACCTTGGCAAGCTTGAAGACTTTCAAGCCCGGCGACCGAGTCAGGCATCATCGGGAATGATGAGCATCGGTAGTTCTCCTGGTGCCCGAAAGAATTCTGTTGTTTCGTTGAGTGCTCATCGGAAGCAGTCTGTGATCTCGAGAACAAATACAGAGTATTCAATGTCGATTGCTACTCGGAAAGATTCCAACATATCACAAGCTAGACTACACAACACATTCGCAGGATCACTCCGGTACCTGTACTTGGCTGACAATCGCCTTGAGGACGATGTCTTCCGAGAGCTCGTTCTCTTGCCAGAGCTCCGGGTTCTCAATCTGTCATACAACGAACTGGACGACTTCCCCCAAGGGGTACTGCGTCGCTGGCCTCAACTGAGTGAGCTCTACCTGTCTGGGAATGAGCTGACATCCCTGCCTTCCGATGACCTCGAAGAGAGTAGTAATCTGAGAATATTGCATTTGAATGCAAATCGTTTCCAAGTACTTCCGGCCGAGCTGTGCAATGTGCACAAGCTGTCCACTCTTGATGTCGGGAGCAACTCACTGAAGTACAACGTCTCAAATTGGCCGTATGATTGGAACTGGAATCGCAACACGAACCTCAAATATCTGAACTTCTCGGCCAACAAGCGGTTAGAGATCAAGCCCGCTGCGCACCAGAACCAGTCGCATTTCCACTCAATGAACCGCACCGACACTACAGACCTTACGAGCTTCAACACCCTAAAGTACCTCCGCGTTCTAGGTCTCATGGATGTGACATTGCTTACCAACACGATTCCGGATGATAACGAAGATCGCCGCGTACGAACTTCAGCCTCCGTGGTCGGGGCATTAATGTACGGTATGGCAGATACCTTGGGCAAGAACGAGCATTTGTCAACCCTGGATCTTCTGAAACCAAACTTTCGAGGCCAAGAAAGTGAGATTCTTATTGGGATGTTCGACGGCCAGACAATGTCGAGCGGCGGATCCAGAGTTGCGAAGTATTTGCACGAGAACTTCTCAGCAGTCTTTTATGAGGAGCTGAAAAAAGCCGAAAATTTGAAAGATACTCCAATAGACGCCCTCAGACGGACCTTCCTGGCAATTAACAAGGACATGGCCAATTTTGCGAGCAGCAATTTTGACACCAAGGAGCACAGGTTGGCTAATGGCCACAGAGGCTCAACTGTAGCAAACATCCTGGGCCCCGACGACCTGAGTTCAGGGGGTGTGGCGGCAGTCTTGTACATCAATGGACAGGAACTACACGTTGCGAATGTTGGTGACATTGAGGCCATACTTATTCAATCCAACGGCCAACATCGGCAGCTGACAAGGAAACACGACCCGGCGGAACCTGGTGAACGGGAGCGAATCAGGGAAGCGGGAGGGTATGTCTCTAGGCAGGGCAGACTCAACGACGTCCTCGAAGTGAGTCGAGCATTTGGTTATTATAGTCATATGCCATCGGTCATCGCCGCGCCCCACACGTTCAAGTGCCAGATTACCGAATCGGACGAGCTCATCGTCGTTGCCACGAAAGAATTCTGGGATTATGTTACGGTCGACGTTGCCGTTGATGCAGCTCGAGCCGAAAAGAACGACCTCATGCTGGCTGCTCAGAAACTGAGGGATCTAGCGATGGCGTTTGGTGCAAGAGACAAGATCATGGTCATGGTTCTCGGAATCTCAGACCTAAGAAAGAGAGGCAATCATCGCTTCCGAGGGACCAGTCTATCGATGGCGAAGGAGATGGGTCTCGACGAAGGCGCCATATTTCCAAGTTCTCGAAAAGCTCGACGGAAAGGTGAAACCCTTGTGGGTGACTCTAGGCTTGCTAGACTTGAGGAGCCTGAGCCGCCTGTTGGTGATGTAGCGATATGCTTCACCGACATCAAGAATTCAACGGCGTTGTGGGAAATCCTTCCGGTTCCCATGAGGTCGGCGATAATGATGCACAACGAGCTCATGCGGCGACAGCTTCGCATAATTGGTGGTTACGAAGTAAAGACCGAAGGCGATGCATTCATGGTGTCTTTCCCAACCGTGACATCCGCGCTACTTTGGTGTTTCAGCTGCCAAAGCCATCTTCTCGAATTGCCCTGGCCCCAAGAGATCCTGGAGACGGTTCATTGTCAAGAAAAACTGGATTCGGAACAGAACACTATCTACCGCGGTCTGTCAGTAAGAATGGGTATGCACTGGGGCCGACCCGTGTGCGAGCAGGATCCAATCACTCGAAGAATGGATTACTTCGGGCCTATGGTCAACAAAGCCGCCCGAGTGTCTGCCGTGGCCGACGGTGGACAAATTACTGTGAGCAGCGACTTTATCGCCGAGGTTCAAAGGACACTGGAGAGCTACGCGGACGATGACCGGCGAGATTCTGTAGGCTCAGAGGATACCGTGAACGACGACCCATTGTCGGTGCAGATTCGTCGCGAGCTACGTCAATTGAGCAGCCAAGGCTTTGAGGTCAAGGATCTTGGAGAGAAGAAGCTGAAGGGTCTCGAAAACCCCGAATACATCTACCTGATGTATCCTCACTCATTGGCAAGTCGCCTGGAAATACCACCCGGAGCGGAGCCGAAAGTCCAACTTGGAGGCGAGGCACCTTCCACGTTGGACGAGAAGGGCCAACCAGGTACGCTGGGTAAAGATAGTCAATTGAAGGATTTGCAACTTGATGAGGTCTGGAAACTCTGGGATATTGCTTTGCGTCTGGAGATGTTGTGCAGTTGTCTGGAGGTGCCCGAGCGGGCAGCTGGACTTCACAAGCCTGAACTGAGCTTGCTCACTAGAATGAAAGAACGAGGTGGCGTCCAAACAGACGGCTTCATGATGAATCTACTGGAACATCAGGTGACGAGAGTCGAGGTAAGCAGAGCAACTGATCCCAGTATCTGTGTGGGCATCAACCTGACATTCTATAGGCATGTGCAACAACCCTGCAGCTTCGGCAGATGTTCCAGCCTTTCCGGAAAGGGGTCAGTCTCTTTGATCAGGCCAGGCCAATCAGTGAAATCCTGAACGAGATATCGACGATTCTTGCCGAAGTTAAGGAAGAGCGAAATCAGATCCATACTCCAGACACTGGGGAAGAGACAGATTCGGAATAAAGGTGGTGACAATACTTCCTTCGGTGTTGACGGAGCAGATGTCTGAGGGAAGGCAGTGAGCTTAGCATGCGAAACTTGAAAGTCTCGAAACCTGTTTGCCGACTGCATATCATCGTCTATACAACAAAAGGAGCTCATCGCTCGATAATTGATGCTTCTAGGGTACGGGAGGATCTGCTATTAGTATTGGGAGGGCTTTGGGACGGAAATCATGAACAGGATCATTGGTACTTTGCGGTTAAGGCTAGATGCCTACCAAGCGAGGTTGGGATATGGGACTGCTGTCTGATGAGGGTTTTCAAACAACAATTAGGAGAGGGGCTTTTGGAAGGGATGAATGCCGTTACGAACCAACTGAAATGTGTTGTCGAGCGTCTGGAAGCTTTGGATTAGGTCCCTATGCACATAACACGTCACTTATGTACTTGAAGAGAAAGGGGAGGGTGATTCAGGATATGCCATCCTCTACAAATATGGGTTTTGGTCAAGCATTTGTTTCAATCGCTACACGGGCGCTGAGACCGAAAAGGTGCAAATTGAACTTGGGGGATCAATCGGGCTTTAAGGAAGGGGACAGAACAAACAGTACGTACAGCAGCACAGCCACAGGTTCCCAAAGACATGACCATGAACTTGATTCCTTCGGTCATTTTCGTTTATTTATTTTATGCCTGTTGTCACTACTTTTCGCACTCAACGCAGTCAGTACATGGTTTATTCTACTCTCTTCTTACCCTCTCTTTCTTCATCTTACTCTCTTTCTCTCTCCCTCTTTCCACCTAGCTTTTAGCCTACATGAGAGCTATTGTGAGACTTATTCGATGAGTATTTTGATCCAACGCCCCCGAGATTTCCGGCGTTTGCGAATCAAGAACATGATATGACCCAAGTGTCGTCCCGGTCGACGGTTCAACCGCGTCCCATTATATAATTATATGGCGGTTCGGGACGGCGCCTTATCTGCTCGGCTGCGAATTCGGGTTGCCTTCTCGTCACTAGCCCATCGCAACGCGCCTCACTTTTCATGGTTGGTTCAATCATAGATGTATGGTGGCGGTTGAATAGGATATTAAAAATAGTCAGGCGGTGGGCTGAAGCCTCTAGTGCTAAATGGTGGTCGATGCCGGGGGTCGAGCTGGTCGTATTTTATCACTGGAGGGCCGCTTTTGAGGCCTGGTGTCCCCAGCATCAACCGGGGGTTGAGGCACAGTTGATGCTCGAGCCATGGATTGAGGAGATTGATTGATGTTGTCACTGGATGGGTGTTTTCTGTGGCCTAGTGTCCCCAGAAGGACAGTGACGAGGAAATGCCAGTTGAGGTAAGGTTCGAGAAGATCTTTTATGTTAAGGGTGAAAAGTTTTCGCTGTGGTGTATCAGGTATGGAGGTCTTCGGCGACAAGGCATCAGTCCTAGTATCACCAGACGAGTGTGAGGATTCGGATGTTTGTGCACTAGCGAGGATCAGATACAGGAGCTCCTTTGCATAGGCCGCGGCGGTGGTAGCTGCGTATCTCTGCCACTGGTCATTCTTGTGTGTGTGTCGGAATAGTCCGAGATTCCCCTGATGACAATACAGGGGAATCGATCCATTAGGCCTGCCGCCTCCATGTCGAAGCACAATACATCCTCGGTGGCAGCCAGATGATCCCGCAGCAGTGCGTCTTTCATCAGGCGGTCTGCCGACGCAATCAGGCCGTAACGTATATGGGGGTCATCCTCGGCGGGATCGCGCTGCCGTCGTTCGATGACCTGATCTGTGCATTGTATACATGTTGATGAGCAAGGCTGGTCCGGATCACTGTGGACAAAAGATGATTTGTAAGAGGATATCCATGTCTGGCTTTCAATATCTCGTCCGAAGTCGAGCACTCTTGTTCGTCATCAACTCAATGGTCTGAGCGATTGCATGGCCCCTGCGTTCATGTTGGACACTGAGCTTCTGCAATGCCTGTAGCATGAGGCGAGATGATTTGTCAAGGGACCCTGTTACTTCAAACTGTCGATTTTGGATTGTTTTCCCATAGTCATATTGCAGAACCCCTCCAGAGCGACGTTCTTGGGAACTCACCACGGCACACTCGACGGCAATGGCACGAATCCAGCCAACATGATAGTCGCGGACCGTCAGCCTTGGCTGGGCCATCTTGGTCTCAAATGTGGGCAGGGTCCATCTGTGACCCTATAATTCGTCCAAGGAGTAGTGATGTGTGATTCCTTGATGAACTCGTCGAGTTCATGGGATGATAGAGGACGCATCTTGATGATGGGTCGAAGAACAGCGGATGGGCTGAAGGTCTCTCGGCAAGCGTCGAATAGATGAGAAGAAAAGCGGAATTGATCTGGGCGCCTGGTACTCGGTAACCATGCGGGAAAGCGTCCATTGAGTCCAACCTCTGCTCTTTCCACTCAACCTCACAGCCTCAGCCTTGTCACCAGCCTCAGCCACAACTATGGGGCGGACATGCATTCAAGAAGGAGATGCAACCAACAACCAAACTCCTGCCTCATTGCATTGAATACGTGCGCCACGGCTACGAGTACAGACCGAGAGACATAGGATCGGTGTGCGCTATGACCGCATCACCAAACAGGGATCTTGTATCTGGCGACTGGATGGCTCCATGGCTGATAGCAAATGGTAAATGGCCGATCGACTTCGTTTCCCCGAGCAATACTCCGAGCGTCGTCCACGCATGATTGTAACCATGATGACATTCCCACGCCGTTCCAACTGTCTGTCTCTTGTCTGAATTCTTTGCAACAGACCATCCACTGACCCCTTTTGATGCCATGAAAACCTGCAGCTGCTGTCTGGCTGGGCTTTCAAACTAGACTGGAGCGCCAACCCTCGCGGTCGCCAACGCGGATACGTTCCTTTTTCAACAGCTAGGACGGGTCGAGCTGTTCGGTGTCGCTTGTTCGGTGTGCCTTTCCCTCTACCGCTCGATCTATACCTAAACAAGATCTCTTGACTTTTGTTACTCGTTCTCCAAATCTGTGACCACCAAAAAGAGCAGGGTAGTCTTCCAGATGAAGCTCTATCACTTTGAAAGCAAGCCCGTGGCCCATCCCGATGCTGTCGTTGCGGGGCCTCACTATCGCTTTACCATCCTAACCGACCGTCTGATCCGGTACGAATGGTCCTACGACGGCAAATTTGAAGACCGAGCCTCCACCTTCGCCATTAACCGCGAGTTCCCCGTGCCCAAGTTCCAAGTAGTCGACAGGGCCGAAGAACTCGAGATCATCAACGAGCATTTCCACCTGAGCTACGACAAGAAGCGGTTCAGCGCCAGTGGGCTCTTATGCAGCTTCTCAGCCAAAGTCACCCTGTGGGGTGCACAGTGGCGGTTTGGTGCTCAACCCAGCCATGGCAGAAGAGAGAATCTTGGCGGAACGGCCAGGACGTTGGACGAAGTTGACGGGCGATGTGACATGGGAAACGGTGTGCTGTCGAGATTTGGTTATGCCGCTCTAGATGACAGTAAGTCGATGCTGTTTGATGGCCAGGGCTTCGTGGCTGGTCGACGACCCGGTGATCGGATTGATGGATATCTCTTCTGCCATGGTCATGATTACAAGGGTGCTATCAGGGATTTCTACGCGGTAAGCGGCAAACAACCGCTACTCCCACGATGGGCTCTGGGAAATTGGTGGTCAAGGTACTACAAATACCACCAGGATGAGTATATCGGCTTGATGGACAAATTCAAGAGTCACGATGTCCCCTTGTCGGTCGCGGTCGTGGATATGGATTGGCACATGGTGGATGATCCTCGAGTACCCCATGCCGGGTGGACCGGTTATACTTGGGACAAGAAGTTATTCCCAGATCCCGCGACGTTTGGACGAGAGCTTCACAGTCGGAATCTGAAAATCACCCTCAACGACCATCCGCACTCTGGCATCCACGCGCACGAAGACTCGTACGAGGAGATGGCCAAGTTCCTGGGCCACGACATCTCAAAGAAGAATCCTATTTTGTTCGATCCGACGACTCCCAAATTCATGGAAGCATATTTGAACATTCTTCATCGAAGCATTGAAAGGGTTGCCTGTGACTTTTGGTGGATTGACTGGCAACAGGGTTCTCATACCAAAGTGCCAGGAATCGACCCTCTGTGGTTACTCAATCATTTCCATTTCCTCGACAACGCACTCGGCGGCAAACGTCCGCTCATCTTTTCACGATACGCCGGCCCAGGCAGTCATCGCTATCCCGTCGGCTTTTCGGGGGATACGGTGACGACATGGGCTTCGCTGGAGTTCCAACCCGAGTTCACGGCCACAGCTTCAAATATTGGCTATGGCTGGTGGAGTCATGACATCGGTGGCCACTTTCATGGAAAGCGTGACGACGAGCTGGTGACAAGATGGGTGCAATTTGGTGTCTTCAGCCCTATCATGCGTCTGCATTCCTCCAACTCGAGGTGGACGTCCAAGGAACCCTGGCTGTATCGTAAGGAGAGTGGAGACATCATCGAGGGATTCATGCGTCTTCGTCATCGCATGATCCCCTATCTTTACATGTGCAATGTCCGCGCCTCTACTGACGACGAACCGCTCATGCAGCCAATGTATTGGCTCTTCCCTGAGAGCGCTGAGGCTTACCAGGTGCCTAATCAGTACTTCTTTGGCTCAGAACTTATTGTTGCGCCAATCGTGAAGCCGCGGGACAAGCGCACGAATTTGGCATGCGTCAAGGTCTGGTTGCCGCCTATGCATCGCCATGTGGATGTCTTCACTGGCACAGTCTACGACGGGAACAGGGAGTTGAACATGTACCGCCCATTGCATGAAATCCCTGTGTTGGCACATGAAGGTAGCATCATTCCTCTGGATGCAAACAAGAGGCCAGAAAATGGTGGTCTCAATCCAGAACACTTCGAGGTTCTTGTGGTAATCGGACGCAATGGCAAAACTTTGGTCCTCGAGGATCCAGCAGACGACTCGCTGCAAGTGGAAAAAGAGGGGCCTCAAACAGGTGAGCGTGGTTCACCTATCTACTATGACCAAGCGAAAGGCGAACTCACGGCCTATGTCACGGGTCGAACATGGAGCTTCCGTTTCCTCGCCGTCACCGAGAGACCCAAGGATCTGAAAGTCACGGTTGACGGTCAAGACCGCACCAAAGAAACCGAAGTCTCCATTTCAAAGTTCCCAGACACCCCTTCGATGCTGGTGCATGTCCCTCCCGCGCAACACATGTACCACGCCATCAGCATATCCCTGGGCAGCGATCCGCAATTAAGTGTGTTGGACCACAAGGAACGAATCGAGAAGCTGTTGCTAGATTATCAGACCGAGTTCGAGATAAAGGACAAGATATGGAGCATTGTGGACGATAGAAACAGCGCAATCAACGTCAAGATTGGCATGTTGATGAGTCTGAGCGTCGATGAGACTTTAACAGAACCGATTGCGGAATTGATTTTAAGCGATGTTAGAGGGATGCATTTGTGAGTCGCTTGAAACTGCGAAAAATCGTGAAGGGGACGGGAAACGGACTTGCAGGAGGGACAACAAGGGGAGACTGGATGCGTAAGAAAGTCCTTGTAGAGGCTTTTCCGGATAGATAACGTGCGTTTTGATTTTATGATCATTCCGAAACCTCCTCGGGGAACTCGAAGACAAAGATAGAGACGCCCAAGACCAGCGACTATCCAGCAAAGTGAAAGTCATGCGACAACCGTGATAGACATTGAAGACCCCCGGATCCTCCTTCAGCCGTCTTCACAAGTTGTCAGAGTCTTTCTATTCATAGCCTACTCTCCCGCGCCATCATGGGGAAGACCTTCTCCTCCAGCCACTGGCCAATGATCCGATTGCAGTCCTCGGGCCTCTCCCACAGCGCCCAGTGGCCCGCATCCACCTCGGCCCAGGTCAGCCGCGCGATGCGCTCGGGCATCTTGGCGGCCATGAAGGGCTGCAGGGCCTGGTCCTTCTTGCTGAGGACGAACAAGACCTCCTGCTTCAGCTTCAGGTCCTGCTCGGCCTGCGCGGGGTCCTTTTGCCCGTTGCCGAAGAAGTCGCGCCACTCGTTCATGTAGTTGACCTCGCGGGTGCGGTACCAGTTGAGCGGGCCGTAGACGCCGTGTCGCGCGTACTCGTCCACGTAGTAGCCCAGCTCTTCGTCCGCGAGGAGTTTTGTACTGCCCATGCACGCCTGCCGCGCCAGGTCGAGCCCCTTGTTCGGGTCGAAGCCCACCTCCCGCGTGTCCTTCGTGCGCCCGCCGTACAGGTTGACGAGGAACTGCCGGATCTCGGCCTTGGACTTGACCACCTCTTCGAGCTCGCCGGACACGAAGTGTTCCTGGTACCCGAAGTTGGGGAGCCGCTTCTGGACCAGGATCCCCAGCGGTTCGTATTTGGGGAGAGGCGGGAAGTAAGGCGTGCAGATGCTAAACACCGCCGTGATGAGGTCCGGGTAGTACTGTGCGATGCGGTACACGATCGTGCCGCCCCAGTCGTGGCCGCCCAGGATGATCTTGGTGAGGCCCCTCTGTCGGCACAGCTCGGCCATGTCGTCGGCCGCACGCTTGTAGCTGTAGTCTTGGAGCGTCCACATAGGCGCGTCGGTGCGTCCGTAGCCCATCGAGTCCGGCGCGACCACGTCGAGCCCTAGTTTGGTGAGAAAGGGAATCTGATAGCGCCATCCCATGCTGATGTCCGGGAAGCCGTGGATGAGGAAGATGGTGCCTCGTTTCGGGACCGAGGCCGACGCCGGGCTGAATAGGTAGCCGTATGTGTGGCCGTTCAAGAAGGCCGACAGGAAAGAGACTCGTGGGTCATTGTAGACTTTGATCTTGTCCACTGTTAGGCGTTGGTTGTTGGCCATGGTGGTGGTGGTAGTCGCCGACTACTCTGCCTTGTGTTAGGCTGCGATAGCCTTGGGATTTTTTTTTTTTAAATATTCTCCTGAACAAAGAGATTGAGAGCTTTTATCCCCCCAGAGATATTGATGTCGCGGTGTGCTTATATACAGCTTCAATTCTTGTCCTAGGTCAATAGCAGGCTCGACTCCCTCCCCTTGCTCGTTTTAGACGTATTCGGATGTTTGCCCTCGGTTCACGTCCCAACTGAGGATTCTCCCGCCCTCACAGGCCAAATAGGCTGAAAACTTGCTGGCTCGTGCTGTATTCTATGGCATGGCAGATTTACTGAAAAAAAAAAGCCTTGGACAAGGAGGGTGATGAGAAATGTCAGTCGATATCAGCAGGTAAGTCATCATTGTTGTTTGTAGCTCTCGCCGTCTCTGGTGTTAGAGCTGCCAGCCACGGACCGAGGCTCAGATCCACTAGGCGATAATGCTCGACGGGCTTGACGGGTATCGACCTTGCCGAGTACCACCGGAAGAATTTTGCGGGGAAAGCTGGGCAGCGGCCGGGTTGTCCGTGATTTATCCGGCTGACTAATAATAGCTTGGCACGTCGCTCGCCCTTTTCCAAAGCCATCTAGGTCGGATGAAATTAACGTTGCGAGCTAAGTAAAAAGGAAGAAGGTTACAGCTACCTCATGGGCGCGCTCAGCTATCATCAAGCACACAATGAAAGGGAGCCGAGAAGCGTTTGTCCTACATCCAAGAAGGAACAATGTCTGACCTGGCCACGTCAGAAATATCAGCCCCTGAGATAAGACCATATGGCGTGATGGAGGGCCCAAATGAGCAATCCACATCATTTCCTCACTGGCCTCGAACACCCTGACGTGACTGACCCGCGAATTGATGCGATACATTTGGTCAATATGTTGGCCGTTGACATGTGTCTGCGGGTGTCAAGTTTGTCAGCACGGGTACCCCTGTGCACCAGCATGTTTCGCCCACGACGCCTTGTACGATTCAGGCCTTCTCTTATGTATATGCCGATGTTCTTTGGCCACTTTGTCTCTCTTGTTTGCTTCCAGGGACTACTTTGTTGAGTGTTGACTTCGAATGGTCAATGGCTCCCGAGATGCAAGACCTTGAAACATCTCCTCTATTATCCCCCAACCCCGATCAAAGTCCTCTGCACGATTCGGAAAGCCTGGTAACCCAGACAGCAAAGGATGAGCGAAATATTGACAATGATGTGCTGCCAGAGGCATCTACAGCGGGAAGAAACATTGGTTGGGGAAGCGCCTATATCCTGGTCATCTCTCGAGTCATCGGGTCAGGCATTTTTGCCATGCCTGGAACGATCGTCCAGAACGTAGGCAGTCCGGGCCTGGCTCTTGTTCTCTGGGTTGTCGGAGCTCTGGTTGCGTGGGCCGGACTAGCCATCGATATGGAATATGGATGCATGCTTCCTCGATCAGGCGGAGTCAAAGTGTATTTGGAGTATACCTTTCGAAGACCGCGGTTCCTCACCTCGACCCTGGTTGCTGTCCAAGCTGTTCTCCTTGGATTCACCGCAAGCAATTGCATCGTCTTTGCAAAATACACTCTTTTCGCCGCTGGGGCTACTCCCGACGATCTGAATACCAAATTACTGGCGGTCGGATTGTTGACCTGGATCACAATCGTCCACAGCTGTTTTTACAAGACAGGAATCTGGATCCAGAATATCCTAGGTTGGATTAAGGTTGGGTTGATTGTGTTCATGATTTTGACTGGCTTGTTTGTGGTGCTGCTGCGACCCCATACTTCGTCTAGCAGCACCGCGGGCCATGCTTCAACCACAGCTTGGGATGACCTGTGGACTGGCTCCGATTGGGCGTGGAATAACCTGTCGACGGCGTTCTTCAAGATTCTCTACTCTTACGCAGGCCTCAGCAATGTCAACAACGTGCTTAATGAGGTGAAGGATCCTGTCCGGACACTCAGATCGGTCGGCCCAGTTGCGTTGCTGACGGCTTGTACAATGTATGTGCTTGTTAATGTCGCGTATCTCTCGGTGGTCCCGCTTGAGGAGGTCAAGCGCAGCAGAGAGCTCATAGCAGCACTCTTCTTTGAGCGAGTCTTTGGAGCTGGCTTTGGCAACAAGTTTCTTCCGCTTGCTATTGCTCTTAGCGCTGCAGGGAATGTCATGGTGGTCACGTTCAGCTTGGTATGCATCGCTCCCCCATCCGGCGGTTGAGCGATCTAATTCTATCTCAGGCTCGAGTCAATCAGGAAGTTGCCAGACAAGGGTTTCTCCCCTTTTCGGAAGTTCTGGCCTCTTCCAAACCATTTGGTGCTCCCCTCGGCGGGCTCATCGTCCATTATGTGCCATCTATATTGGTCATCGCTCTACCGCCTTCTGCCACAGTATATGCTTTCATCGCCGATGTCGAAGGATACGCAGGGCAGTTTTTTGCTCTAGCCGTCGCTGCTGGCTTGCTCGTACTCCGTATCAAGAAGCCCGATCTGCGACGACCATTCAAGGCTTGGATTCCGGCTGTGTGGTTCAGGATCGTATTATCTGTGGCACTGATTGGCGCTCCGCTGTTTCCTTCTAGTAAGGGGTCTTCGGATGTCAACTTCTTCTACGCTACTTATGCACTGGTCGGCCTTGCAATGTGCGCAGCATCCCTGCCCAGAAGACGTTTGCTGACCATCTTTATAGTCTTATCTTCGGAGTTGTCTATTGGTTCGCGTGGACCATTGCTCTACCTCGTTATAGAGGCTACAGACTAGAGGAAGAAACGGATGTCCTCGGTGACGGGACAACAGTCACGAAACTTGTCCGCAAGGAATTATAGTCAGTGCACTGTATTGATAAGCAACATGAGTACCGATTGGAAGGGTGTGAAACAATTAACTGAAATGCTTCGCTTCTCTGAACATAACATCCTGAACGCCTGAGGGATTCGGGCACGTCATCCAATGGCACAAATGCCTATTGGCCTCGGTATTGATACAAACGCGTCCTGGATGGCTTACCCCACACTCTGTCTGACCATCGCGTGTATACAACCCAGGATGGCGTGCTATCTGACAAATCAGGAAATGCCATGGCATTGACCATAAGTACGAGGCATCCTCACTTGGAGGTACGATTCCGAGAACTGTCCACCAAAAAGCAACGACAATGGCATCGGCAGCAGTTCAACAGCCCGACGGTCATTCGACCTCGTTCGAACCTTTGACGGCACAGTTGAAGGGTGCTTCTGTGCCTCAGCCGGAGAAGCATCATGTCCATACCCAGTTGAACTACTACAAAGACCCTGGGGATGGAAGCCCTCCTGCTCCAACTTATGTTGGCAAGCCAGAGACCTACGAAAGACCAGTCCAGCCACTGGATGTGACGATACATGATATTCGAGGTGAAGAGAAGAACTATACGCTTGACAAGAGTGGCTTCGAGATTTATCGTCATGCGAGTATTGAAAAGGACTTTCTCGACGATGCCCAGATCAGGGCAAATTATTATCTAGAGACTGAACAGCTGTTGAAGGACGCGTGAGTGTGACGCCTGGGTAATCTCCCCTCGATCTGACTCTAGCTGACGGACTGTGTATGACAGCACTGGGGCCTCACGTGTTTTGATCTTCGACCACACGATCCGCCGAGCGCAAAAGGATCAACGAGGCAGCCCAGCCGCATCTCCTCTCCGCGGGCCAGTGAATCGTGTTCACATCGATCAAAGCTACAGCGCAGCCAGGTCGCGCGTCCCCCACCATCTCCCCGACGAGGCCGATGCCTTGCTCAAAACACGCTACCAGATCATCAACGTCTGGCGACCTATCAAGACCATCCTCAAGGACCCTCTCGCCGTCGCGGAAGCGCACTCGGTGCCAGACTCCGATCTCATTGGCGTCGGTCTGATCTACCCTAACCGGCAGGGCGAGACCTACACGGTGCGACCCAACCCGGAGCACAAGTGGCACTATCTCTACGGACAGACGCCAGAGGAGGTTCTTCTGATCAAGTGCTTCGACTCCAAGCTGGACGGGCGCGCGAGGAGAGTGCCACACACTGCATTTGTGAATCCCGAGACTGTGAACGAGGATTCGCGCGAGTCGATTGAAGTTCGGGCATTGGTCTTCCACGAGGATCAATCTGCGGAATGAAACCAAGATTTTTGCTTCCACCTTCCTGGGTAGTTTTTTTTATTTTTTATTTTTTTTTCATGCACGCTAGACCCAGGTCCCATGTATTCTGCGAAAATCATACAAGCATATGCTTATCATGGCTTTTCTTCCTCCGGTACCATTTCTTATCTGCATGCATCTCAATCCGGTCTCTGTGGTATTATGGATCCTATACCGAGTATGTATGTCATCCGCTTGTCGCTACCTCCCTTGAGGACGGACCGAACGCCTCCCACTATTTCTGTTTTCGAAGGATATCTATCGGTGCTATATGGGCTAATTCGCGGAGGGAAAAGCCTTCAGTCTACCCCATCGGCTGATGCCAAAATCCGAATGGCAAATTGTCCACGGACGTAATATGTGGGTCCGAAGTCCGCGGCACCACTTCGATTTATTTGCCAAGGCTGAGCCACGGGGCGGAGCTAGTCACATGACTTGTCTTAACCGCACTCGGCCTTAGCAGAGGTGTCTTGGTGTGTCCAGCCACATTTCTAGCGCAACGCTCCCTTCTCCCCCCACCAGGCAACAGCAAATGTTCAATGTTCACTGCCCCGCCTGCGGAGGCGGTCTTGGGTGCTCTCAGCATTCGGTCGCCCGACCACTCGTTGTTTACCAACCCATTCCGCTATTCTTTCTCCAACTTGCTGCGTCATCCTACTCTCACGCGATTCTGCCTTGTCTGATCCTCTTACGACCGTGTTCTCTTAGCAGGGGACGTGGCGACTTATATATCATTCTTGAGCTCAAAAGGCAACCTTGTTGGCCTTTCCCCTCGTATCTGCGCATTAACTTTGTCGAAACGATCCTTCCTTCATCCCACCCTCGTGAAGCATCTATCTTCATCTTTATCTCATCGCGCAAATGTCATACGGCCCTCCGCAGGGTCAACCACCGTATGGAGGTTATCCTCCTCAGGGACAAGGATATGGATACCCTTCACAAGGACCTCCACAACCTGGCGGATATCCTCCTGCGCAGGGAGGTTATGGCGCTCCTCCACAGCAAGGAGGTTGGGGTCCTCCTCAGGGAGGCCCTTTTCCAGGACAGTATGGCGGACCTCCGCCGCCGCAGGGCGGCTATGGCCCTCCTCCTCCCGGCGGATTTCCTCCACAACAATATCAGCAATATGGCCCCCCTCCCGCGCAACCTTCACCAGGCTACGTACCCGGCGCTCAAGCACAAGGTGATGCATCGCGTGATGCAGAAGCCCTGCGTAATGCCATGAAAGGTTTCGGCACCGACGAGAGAACCCTGATCCAGATCCTTTCGAAACCGGACCCGTTACAGATGGCACTACTGAGAAATACCTACAACCAACGCTTCCACCGTGATCTGGAGAAAGATATCAAGTCGGAGACATCCAAGTATTTCCGTGATGGGCTGGTCGCGCTTGTTCAGGGCCCGCTTATGCACGATGTACACAGTGTGCATGGAGCGATCAAAGGGCTAGGGACAAAGGAGTCGGTGTTGAACGATGTTCTGTTGGGTCGTTCGAATGCAGACATGCGCGCGATAAAGCAGGCGTATCAGCAGACGTACAGGCATACCCTTGAAGCCGATGTCAAAGGGGATCTATCGCTCAAGACGGAAAAGTTGTTCGACCTGGTCATGTCGGCCACGCGAAACGAGGAATCCGCGCCTGTTATCCCTACCGAGACCGAGCGTGATTGCACGGAGTTACATCGCGCCATGGATGCGCGCGTCGGCACCGATCAACTTACCGTGTGCACAATTCTCAGCAGGCGGTCTGATGGACAAATCCGCGCTATCGCCCACCATTGGCACCAGATGTACCGCTCGTCGTTTGAAAAGGTCATCGAATCCGAGTTCTCGGGACACATGAAAGATGCGCTGCTCTTGATGGTGCGCAGGGCGTGTGATCGCGCAATGTCTGACGCCACGCAGCTGGAGGATGCGATGGCAGGGCCGGGCACGAAGGATATTTTGCTTGTTCAGCGGGTGGTTAGGGTGCACTGGGACAGGTTGCATTTGGACCAGGTCAAGCGCGCCTATGCGCACCGGTACAAGAAGGATCTGATCCAGAGAATCAAAGGTGAGATTCATTTTGACAAGTACTATGAGGGGCTGATGGTTGCTTGCTTGTCTTGATGGATTGACGATTGATGAAACATCCCTCTTCTGATCCAAGTCTTGGGCTATAATGGTTCGGGAGGCTCTTTGAGGTTCAGCGCGGTGGGCCTTGATCGGTTTCTTTACGTTGCCCCTACCACGGTTCGGGTTGTTTTTGTACAGCTGTACGTTGGGTATCTCGCGGGTACTGCTTCTGCGTTTCGGCAGACGTCAACTTGCCTGATTATGACAATATCTTTCACATCCTGTGTCCCATGTGGGCATCTTCCGTCTTGCGATATCTTTCTCTTTCTCTTATGCAAAACATTCTGTCAACGTTCTATTAGTGAGTATCGTCGTCCAGAAGCCTCGTCTGTGCGGAACCGTACAGGCGTCGCAAGTATAGGAGCGAGGACGCCGAGAAGAGCCATCGTCGGACAAGAGGTGCTGCTTTTGATTCGCGAAGGACACCACGGAACAGGGGCGCTAGAGAGAAGTTATAGTTGAGATGTGCGGCATTAGACCTATCACGACGTGGAGAGCACAGGGAAATGGGTGGTGGTCCAGGCGAGGGCAGCTTTGGGAGTACGAGGTACGTAGTATGTAAGTACGTACCCAGAGAGATTATCGCCGCACAAAGAGGCATTGCCAAGGCCGCAGTCTTCCTTCTTTCGAGTGGCCTACTCACAAGAAGAGAAACACAGCATCGTTGTCGACCTATATGAGAGACCTGCATATTCACCACCTTCCCTTCTCCATCCCCATCGCATCAAGAAGCCGTTTTAGGCGACTTGACGATGCCCAAATCAGGCTTAACGAGGTCCGCCGATCGAGATCCGCAACACTATGGTCAGGTGTGACCGAGGATCTCACTTTGTCTATGCCTTCCATTGGCTGGTAGCACTGTTGTTCTAGGAATCCCTCCCCACACAGAGAGCTCTGCCATGTGTCTGCCTTAGTGTAAGGCCGCGGGAGGAAGACGCCTATCAAGATGCCCCACGGAACCGTTGGGATCGAGTTGGTGCAGCCCGGAGATTCTTTATCCCCTCGATACCCCTCCCCGACCATACGACTCCAGGCTCTAAAGGCTGGCCCAGTAGCCGACCGCTCAGCAACGGCCCATTTTCTGTTTCTGAGCACGCTGAGCTCCATGGAGCTGGCATTCGTTAATCCGCGAGCATATTGACCGCCTGGTGCAGCAGCCCCGTCTCACCCTCCTTTCCTCTCTGTTTCCTTCCACAGGTCCCCCTTCTGGTCCCTAAATCTTGTCCATATGTGGCCATGCGCGCTCATCTCTTACAAAGCACTACCTGCGAATATGCATCTCTGAGATGCCCGCCAACAAGGCCGGTCTTCTTTTCGTGAACAAGACGCCCTTGTCAAAGTCCCTCTCCAACAGCAAAGGCGACCTTGAGAGCTCGCGTGAGATCCACAAACATGTTCAGAAATCTCGCGACTACGAAAAGGAAAAGGAAAACCGGAGGAAACTGAAGAGAGCCAGGCTGTTTTCTCTAGGATGGACTCCTGTTTCCGTCGCTCCCAGGCAAACGCCCGCCTCGGCACCTCTCTCCGTGCATCCAGAGACACCTTCCAGCAAGGGGACCCATTCTGTTGCCCTCAGACCCCACGTCATTCAGAGCCGCGAGGCAGACGCTGATTGCTGCACTCCAGCTCGGCCCCAGGACGATGTTCCGAAGCTCTCCCTTGTCATGCCGAGTTGGGGCTCATTGGATCCGTTTGGCCAATTTAGAGTGCCTATGAACGTTGAAAAGCATCGAATACTCGAGTACTTCGTTCTGAGGTTCTTCCCTGCAGTGACCCGAAGCGATATGGTTGCATTCATGGGCCATCCTCGAGCGACCTCATCCAGTCCTGCTGTGCAACTTATCCGGCGAGCGTCCACCGACGAACTGCATGTCCTTGCGCTTTTGGCCGCCGCTAGTGCTCGCATGAAGTTTGTTGATCGATACCATTTCTCCCGAGCGGATCTACCCGAGCGGTTGGCAGATGCAACCCTTCGACTCCTGAGGAGGTATCTGGCGCAAGGCCGGCCAATCACACATGAGTTGGTACAAAGTATTCTATACCTATGGGCAGTCGAGAGCTACCGGAGAAATTGGGAGGCGGTCTGGACGCACGGAAAAATGATTATGTATCTCTGCAACCAGCATCTCGGCGGTTTCCGAAACTTGGATCCCTATATGCGCCGGATGCTCTGGCTTGCTGATCGCTTCCAGGCTGCTGCCACACAGACTCCACCTTTGATCCAAGAGAGGTGGGAGACGGAAGAGCTTACGCCGCAGCAATATACTTGTGGAGTGGCAGCCTTGCGCGAGCACGGCAGCCAGCCAATGGGTTGCGGTTTTACGGAGACAGATAGCATCTTCAGCGAGCATTTTCAAAACCTCCTCGACACTGTTCTGGAGCTTTGTTGCGTCATACATTGCCATTGGGTCGGCGTCATTGAACAAGTACTCATTCCAAAACGAGACTGGGCTGTTGCTCGAAGCTATTTCATCGCGGATGAACTAATCAACTTTAAAGACGGCGACGCTGGGGATTGCCCCGAAAGCCCAGTTTCTGGGGATCAAAGTTTTCAGGACTGTGTTCGACTGGCGTTAATTGTTTGGATGGCATTCATCCCAGCATGCACTCCGTATGCTGCGAGTGCGGGACTCGTCACGCTGCGGGCAGCTGTCGATGCCAAAGCTTTGAGGAACCGGTTGGGACGGATTATTTCGAGTCTGCATGAACATCCGGCGAGTTTGAAAGAAGAGACGATGCTTTTTTGGATTGCTGGCTTGGGTGCTGTCGCAAGCGAACTGGTTGAGAATCAAGAATGGTTTGCGGTGCAGTTTCAGAGACTTGCCAAGAAGCTCGGGATCTTTGCTTGGGAAGACTTTGTGCCGATACAGGAGAGGTTTTTGCTCCTGGATTATCTGAAACCCGGGAGCCTCACAAAATTGACGTGGCTCTTACAGCGAGCTGTTCATGCCGATCTTGGAGACTGAAGAATGGTTGCGAAGTGCGATTCGCACACCGCACAAGGTGTGTGCACGTTCCACGAAGCTGCACGGCTAGTACGTCCCAGTGAACTGCAAAACTGACGGCCAAAGTTATGGGCGCCACTGAAAAGCAATCCTGAGACCGTGAACCACACGCACCAATGCTCCGACAGAAGAAGGCGGACGGCACGAGTGTGGCGCGCCGATGACTCTCATGGAGGTACTTTGGCCAAGAAGGACCGGGTCGATCGATATGGTTATGCTAACCCAGCCTCCAGGACGACGGACTTCTTCGACTAAGTACTTGTCTCCGATCGTTCTGCGATTCCCGAGAATCTTGGATATGTCGGCCAAGGGCTGGGACTCGACGGACGGATCACAAATTGCCACCGTGCGTCTGACCGAAAGGATACAACGGCAAAGGAATGGGTGTTCAAGTTGGACTTGAGTGTCTCGGCCCTAACACCGGAAAATATCGGAATCAGCAAACATCAGCAGAGAATGGGACGAAAGATAGTCGGGGGCTTCGGGTATTGTTCGGTTTCAGGGCGGAGATTCCAGAATGGCCGGGGGATGGTCCAGGGGGCGGGGGAAGACGAAGATGGGTTTGAGCAAGTGTCCTGGGTGTGTCTGAACTGTGTTGTAGAGAGAGGAATGTTGATGATAGTTTTGTGTAGTATGGATGATAGGAGATTGAGGGTTGTGACTGTTGCTGGAAAAGGAAAAACAGATCTACCGAGGCAATACCGAGGACCGATCAATACTTTGTATTTGTAGGTCAAATGAAGTCACATGCCTGGTGGGGGGGGATGGTTTTCTTTTTGCTTCTTCCCCGCAACCATCATCATTTGGCATCATCTGGACAGCGCACGCAGCTTTACTTGTACTGTACTTGTACACCCTCGTAAAAATGCGTCACAAATTTCAGCCACTCCAGCTGACCCTGGTTTCCATCCAGTCCCCTGCTTCCACTCGTCCTTTTAACTCCCCACCACCGTCTTGTGCCTGGGGGAGCTTCCCTTGGGCTAACCAGGTCTCGCTAAGCCGCTGGTGCTGGTCCCCCGTAAGCTACAGATGGACTGGGCAAGACTTGGGCCATGATGAAATCTCTTTCCCATGCTCCATCCGGCTGGTGCTGCCCACTCATTGTCCCGCGCTGTCGTCCTGCCTCGGCGGAAGGGGACAAACACACACCCAAATCTTTGCCTGCGAGGGCAACGCATTTGTCCTTCTTGCCTCTCGGCCCTTACCAGCTGCAATCTTCGATGATTTTCCGGATTCGAACGGCTTTGCTGGATTGTCATAAGACTAACCCTATTTTCCTTGCTTCCTTCCATCTGGCTCATGCAAGACCGACCTCACTCTGATCTCCTCTTTCCTCTCCTTGGAGGCTTTGGTTAGGATCGTCTCTCCTCTCTCGCTGAAGCATTGGCGTTGCGCTTGGGAGCTTCATTTTTCTTTTTTCCTTCCTTGTTGCCGAACCTGTCTGTGTTGTCATAAGTACGCTTGCAAGTGAACTTGCTCTCTTTCCAATCCTTAATTTCTCCTCAGGTGATTGCACGGGCTGAGCAGCTCCTCAACCCTTCACCGTGAATCGAGCGAGTCCGAGACCCGTACTTACCTCTCAAAAGAGCGCCGACTACGTCTTACTGCACAGCCTTGCATGAGCAGGTAGCCACGCCAATTATTCGCTGAAGATCTCTCGTCAACATGTCGGCCAAAAGCGTCAAAGGTGAAGGCGGCAAGAAACCGGCCAGTGCGGCCACAAATCTAATCGCCGGCGGTGGCGCAGGCATGATGGAAGCCCTGGTCTGCCACCCGCTCGACACGATAAAAGTGCGAATGCAGTTGTCCAGAAGAGGAAGAACCCCGGGGACGAAGAAACGAGGATTTCTGATGACCGGAAGGGATATCGTCAAACGGGAAACAGTCTTTGGTCTATATAAGGGATTAGGCGCCGTTCTGACCGGTATCGTTCCCAAGATGGCCATTCGATTCACTTCGTACGAGTGGTATAAGCAGTTACTGGCAGATCAAGACGGGAAAGTGAGCTCGCGGGCGACATTCCTAGGTATGCTCTCCAGTACACGGGCAACAAGGACTGGACATGTACTAACTCACCAAACACAGCTGGACTGGCTGCCGGCGTTACAGAAGCAGTTGCAGTGGTGACCCCAATGGAGGTTGTCAAAATTCGAATGCAGGCCCAATATCACAGTCTCTCGGACCCGCTCGATGTTCCCAAGTACCGCAGCGCCCCTCACGCCCTCATGACCGTCATCCGGGAAGAAGGCGTCGGGGCCATCTACCGCGGTGTCTCCCTCACCGCTCTACGACAAGGCACAAACCAAGCGGTCAATTTCACCGTATACACGGAACTGAAAGAGATGTTGCAAAGGTGGCAGCCAGAATACGAAAACAAGAATCTACCGGGATATCAAACAACGGTCATTGGGCTAATATCTGGCGCCATGGGTCCCTTTTCCAATGCCCCAATCGATACGATCAAGACACGATTGCAGAAGACCCCCGCAGAACCTGGTCAGACCGCCATGTCAAGGATCATGAAGATATCTAGCGACATGTTTAAGCAGGAAGGACCCAGGGCGTTCTACAAAGGTATCACGCCCAGAGTGATGCGTGTCGCGCCTGGACAGGCAGTAACATTTACCGTCTACGAATATTTGAAGGGAGCTCTAGAACGGAGTAATCTCATGTTCGTGGGAGGGAAGTACGAGGAATGATTGAGAGGGCCGTGGGGTTGAAGAGGGGACCGAGATGTTGAAATGCCATGTTTTGGATATATTGCATCTTCCTGGAGCGAGGGCAAGGGGGAAAAGCAAGGCAGTGAATCATTTGACGGGCGCTCACAGGACCAATTTTCCATGTACATAGTCGATACGTGGGTGCTTTTTCCTCGTTCAAAGCGAGAATTTTTCTAGCCATCCTTTTCTTCGCCCCTCGCGGTTCAGTGTTGCTGCCGTCTCCGGCACTTCCAGTGGACTTTATAGTTCACCACGGTACCGTCTCTTTTGGAAATATGCAGGCCATTTCTGGTCTTTGAGGCTGACACGTTGTCTAAAGGTCCGAAAAGGGTATCGACCGGCCTTCAGGGGGAGGCAGCAGGCAGGAGGCAGGAAGAGAAGAAGATTGCGTAGCCCTTTGTTGATCGAATGCTTCACCAGCCCGCTGGGGTTTAGGGAAACTTGCCTCTAGACATGCCGTGCTGTGCTTTCGCATCGCAGGGATCTAGCTCATGTGGCACAGGAAGAGAGATACTCAGACGCAAGTAGCCCTTCTGAGAAGGAAGCGTTGCTCCTTATTTCAAGTCAGATGGAGTACTCTCCACAGATTGGTGCAGAATGAAGAAGGTATGCCGGCCGAGTGTCGGAGGTTTCATAGTCCGCTTCCGAAGTAATTGCACCTAATACCCAGTACACGGGGTCGCTACACGTTGCCCCTTTACTTTATACCGTGCCTGCTACTTACCCTACTACTAGTGGTCGTTCGTGCTGCTTTGGTTTTGCTTTCCTATCCTACTTACGGAGTAGCCTCTGATGGATATAACATTACTTCTTTGATTCTCAACTTTCTTGGGATATGGAGGATATCTCGTCATTTCCCTGGGAAATGTGAACTCCAGGCATGTGTTTCATTCGCCCTGGATATGTAATCTAGGGATCGAGAATTGCGAAGTGCCAGAAGGAAGAGGCAGAGGCAGAGGCAGAGACAGAGGCAGAGACAGAGGCAGAGGACGAAGTGATTGATCGCTGGCACTTCCCCGAATTCTACGCCAAAGGTAGGTGCGTACCATATTCAAAGTCTCGGTTACAGCTAACATTGAAAGAGCAGGGAAAAAGGCTTCGCTTATGTTGCACCACTCCATTTGTGGACAGTCGATTTTCTTGGATGGAACAGACTTTCTGCCTCGAGATCGGTGAATCCTATGACGAGGACGGAATACCGCAAGAGGCCTCGCAGTGAAGAGACTATCGGGGTGAGATATGACTGCGCTATCCCTGCCCAGAGCAGGTTCCGAGAGACGATTCTGATTGATCTCACTCGAACGAATTTCATAACTAACCAAGGTCACGACCTGACGACCACAGTCTCCTTCTCGACCTCCTTCTTTGATGCTCTGGATAAGAACTCTCTGATGACATTCTCCGTCAGCTTCGCCACGTTGTTCTTGTAGTCGTCCCAACCCAGAGAGCAATACCAGTTTATGCTGCCTACGGAGAAGATGGCTCCCCCGGCGTCCGTCTCATAGTAGACAATATCCGAACGGATCTCGTTCGTCTGCGTCCCCAGCGTCTTTATGATCGGGAACATGGTAATTTCCGGGACAATGCCAAACGCGTCCGGGTGGCCTGTACTTGTGGCGACTATTACTCCGTTTGTGGGGCTTCCGCAGGCGAGATCGAAGGAGTCGACTTCATCGCCGCTGGCGCCGCCGCCGAGGCCAAATTCGCCGATGAGCTCCTCCGGGGAGATATCCTTGAACATCCATTCAAAGTCCGGTGCGAAGCTCTTCTCGGTTCGCTTAAAGGGCACGCCGGGACCGGTTCCTTCGGCGCAGAAGGAAATGCCAAAAAGGCCGTGCGAAGATCGGCCCCGACTCTTCCACAAGCCTCCCTGGGTCCCGTTCAGACTCATGATCCTCTCAGGCCCTGGAAGGGTATATGTGCGCACACCTTGATCTCCACGGCGGACTTCAAGGCGCCACGGTCGGGCTGAGTCCAGAGCAGAAACCCAATAGAACCCGTTACCGCCGAGATATAAAATGTTGCCGCCCTGTCTGGCAAAGTTTTCGTACGCATTGTAGGATTCGAAGGTTGGGTATTCTGGATGAGAGCCTGTGATGACGGTATTATAGGGAGCCAATGCGGCCGCGCCGTGGAAATGGAGGTCATGATCAGTGACAATATCGTACGGAATCTTCTGCCGCTCCAGGAACCCGATCATCATGGAGTCGGCGCTGAGCTCGCGTGGTCGCTCAAACGCCCACATGACATAGCCCGGTCGCAGGTTCAATATCGGTCTCTTTGCAGAGGAGAAGACCGTGCCGGAATCATCGTTGTGAACGTCGTAGTTTGACAAGCCCACGTCGCGACGCCGCGTCAGACGGTTAAAGTCTTCGGTACGTTTGATGGCTGAATGGTCGAAACCTGGTCCCGCGTCGATCGAGCTCGAGCGATTAGGATCCGAAATCTGCTCGTTCGCGTAGGCGAGATAGGTGAAGGTCGAAAGCACGAGCGCCACCTTCGCACCGGTCGCTGCCGTCGTCTGCGGCGTAGAACGAACGATAAACGTAATCATGTCGGACGTTTTGCCGTTTGTCGAATTTACCTCTACGGCGTAGATACCGGATCGAGCGTCGTGGGGGATCTTGATCGTGAAATCGGTCTCCCACTTCGCGTCGTCCAGGTCGTCTTCGTGAAAATGGATCGCGCCGTAGCCGTACTTCGCCTTTGTCCAGTCCGACTCACCTCCATCCCAGTCATGGCCTGTGACAGCCCTTGTCGGAGCATTGATCAAGACACCGTGGAAGTTGTTGCCCGAAACATCCAGGATGGAGTCTTCCGATATGTTGCGCGAAAAGTCGTATTTGGCGATGACATCCTTGGCGGCGGCTCCTTTGAGTATAGAAATCGTAGGACTGTCAATGCGTCCGTTGAAGAAATGCGTGGCCCTTGGGAATGTAGAGGTTGGGCTGTCTGCATAGCTCGCCGCAAATAAGAGATCATCTGAAAAGGGCGACGAGGCTGCCACGACTGGAGCGGTGAACGTGGTCTGCACCGACGACACGGGAGGCGCCTTTTCCACGATATACGCCAGTGGCTGAAGAGTAATGCAGCATTCGGCTCCTTTGATCACGACATGAAGCTTGATCCACCTTCGTCGTGCTGGGCTGAACCCGGTGTGAACGGTTTCCACCGTGCTTCCTGTCCCAATCCATGCCTCAACGAGGCCGCCTTCACTGACCAGCACCGCCAGTCCGGTCTTTGTGTCGGCATTCAAGTTAGAAATGATGGCTTGTGGATGACCTGCCTTAGGCAGATGGGCCTGGAAATAGAGAGTGACTTCTACCCCTTCCAACGTAGACGGCAGATTAAGACGTTTGACAATTGCATAAGAACCCGGTCGGGCATATTGAAACCGTCCTGGAGCCACCCCTGATGGGATCTGGGAGACCTCCTCTAGCTGCTTCACCGGGGAGTGTTCTTCTTGAACACCTTGTATGACACGCACAGTGCGATAGGAATATTCCGGCTCTGTGCAAGACACCTTGATGGCGACGTCGTCGCCGGGACTGGCAATCCATGGTTCAGCATATCCGGTGATTTCTGATGGATAGTCCTTGGGCGGTGTATCAATTGTACTCATTTTGAAATGCTGCGACGCGATCGATCTCAAAGGTTCCTCTTCCCTAGAGTGGTTTGGAAGGACTGGATGATGATGTTTGTCCAAGACGGTCCTGTGTCAGGGTCTGCACGATTGAGATGTTGTTATCCGACCTGACGGACGATATAGATACGGGGGATATCAATTGGGTTAAGACGTGACAACTACTCTTGACGGGCATGCTCATTTGTACTGTTCCTGTGTTAGCAATAGCCTTTCAATGATTCACCCCATTCTTTTGGTGTGTTTCGGGTTCCTCAGCCCATAGATACGCCGAGCCACGGAGCATTCAACGAACTCCTGGTTGAATGTTGTGACGCGCTGATCAGCGGTATCTCGTGCGGAGAATGTCAGTCCCATTGGCGTCAGATTGATTGAGTATCTTCTTGTTGGCCAGTGACAGCGAAAGCTCTCGGCCACCAAGCGGCGGTGATATCCACATGCGGGGCCCTAGGATGTTCGGGATGATAGACAGTTTGCATTCGGGATGTGGACTTTGGAGAATTCCAGAACAAGTAACCAAGTTCATCGGACCATTGTCAATGATTGGCTCCAGCATCTGGTATTCGTCCTGCAGTAACATCACGACCGAACCTTCTTTATACTGACTCGTTGCCAGCTGGTATCAGTTCATGACCTCCGAAGATCCACTGTTTTGGATATGTCCGTGCTGCAGATGTCTCGCTCCAGGGGTAGTTAGTGTCGGACTGTGACAGATAAGAACAAATGTCCAGTAGTTCTCTGTTCGCTCCTGTGGATAACAAAGCGTGCGTAGTCATTAGGCGTACCTCCTCGAGGTGTTTCCCTATCAGGCAAGAGAGCCTTTAGGTAGTAGTGTTATATTGTCGCCGTTGACGCTTGATAATGCTCTAAGAAGGGAAAGGTACCCCGTTGATGATATTGGCTTATACTGCGGCGGAAAGCTGCACATTCTCGATTGAGTGACTGGATATCTGGCAATTCTTGAACTGCCTTTTCTCTACGAGGTATTTGCGAGGAGAAACGTCTAGCCAGCTACTTAACTAGACCAGCGCAATCCGGGCTGAGAAATTGCGGCCCGGGCAAGTTATTGGATCGTCCACGGCGCCCAGAGTTCAAGTGGCTGCCGCATTGCCAGATTCGTTCTCCTGGGCTGTCGATCCCCTTATTCCACTCTCCTTAGGTTTAGCTTAGATAGCTAGTTTGCTTGTACGATCATATTTGACGACTGAACTTGTTATTCTAGAATGCATAATGCCGCAATGGCTTGCGTCCTGCTGTAGATGTTATTGTGCTGGAGCTAATTCCTGGGTCCTCAAGTTCTTCCTTTTGTTATTACGGGCGTTGCAATCAGGCCTATGGGGGAGAGATTCAAGCGCCTTTTCCTTGCGCACGAAGACAGATCCGAAAAATTAAACAAGTGCATTGATTCCTTCTACCTGCAAAATATCCAGTCCTGTACCTCCCATTCGTCTGATTGACAGTGTTGCTTTGTGACCTCGAGCCATTCTGCTGCCTTGGTCTTGCATCCGTAGGGGGCGTCTACTTCCAGCCCTGTTTGATACTGAGACATCAAATCCAGCAAGTCCCTCATCCATATCTTGACGATTGAACTCGGCCAGTGAGCTTCTAGATGTCTAATGTGCCCCAACAATCAGCGTGTCCACATATTCCCAGTACTTCTTCGCGGACATGCGCCGTAATTTCTTGCCCCAGACGGTCATAAACAGGAAACTGAAATTGGAGAACAGACAGAGAAAAGCTACGGCAATGAAGCAGTTCTGTGTCCCGGTGTTCTCCAACCACGGAGTAATCCCATAGTTCATCCCGAAGCCCATCTGTGAAATGTCAGTCGTCTATCTCAGCTTTTTGGAATCCTTGATCGGTCCCAGAAAATGAATATAGGTGTTGAGAGGAGACAGAGGACTTACTGTGTTGCGAATAACGATAACCAGAACGACAGTCTCCCCAGCGATCTCCTTGAAACAGTCGACATCGTATGCAAGCGAAGTGCTCCCGCCACTCACAATCCCAAAGCTTGTCATGCCCAGGCCGATAATTAGACCCATGAAATGGATCTGGTGAGCGGCGCCCACGCCCCAGAGAATCAGTCCTGCTGTTGCGAGTGTTCCAGAAAAGGTCAGAAGCCAAAGTCTGTGCTCTGGTTCACGTATGCCCCGGTTCCGCCTGGCGATTCTGATGGCGATTTCGTCGCCAGCCCATCCGGCCCACCACCATGCCACGGTGCAGCCAATCAGCAATGACAGATATGAAATCCCGACCGCCCTGGCAGAGAAGTTGTAAGGGGCAGCATTCAGGATCAATGCCATGGTGGCGTTTTGCACATTGTACCAGCACAAGGAAGCACCATAGAGGAAGCCGGCCCAGTTGACGTTGGGAAAGTAGAAGAACATCCACAGTGGTCGAACCATCATGATGAACATCTGTTTCACTGAAGGGCGGTCTTTGTCGAGTCTGAAAAGGTGCAGCTTCTGCCAGTACGTTCGTTGTGGAAGACGGATCGACTCTGCGATAGGAGAGATGGGTTCCTGGAGAGGAGCACTTTTGGAGACAGCATCGGACTTTTCTCCCAGGGTTTCCACCCCCGAGGCCACCTCTGCAGCTCCCTCGTCAATCCCTTCGATGGTGTGGCGGAAGTACATTGTTTCTTCCATTCCGAAGTAGATTATCACCGTGCAGACGCCGAGGATAATGGTTCCGAACCATATAGCAGCCTCCCAGCCCATCGAGTAGGTGACGAACCCCGCCAGAAAGGGTGCCAGGGCATTGGAACCGAACACCAGCAGAGTATAAATGCCCATGTAATTGCCGCGTTCGTGAGCGAAAAACAGGTCGGAGACGGAGATTTCGCCCAATGACTCCACCGGAGCAACGATGAGACCCAAAAGACTGCGGTGAGCCCACCATATGCTTGTAGAAGTTGTGTATACGGTCCAGATCATCGGACCAATTGCCAACAGACTGCTCAGGATATACACTCCTCGTCGTCCATATGTGAGCGCCACTGGCTGCCAAAAGAGACATCCCCAGCCCGCAAACAGGAATTGCTGAAGTGCTGGTTAGAACGATATTTGCAACAAGATGTGGCTATCACGGGGAGGCTTACCAAGCCGGTGCCGGTATTGATGTCCGCAAGCGAGATGCCGGTTGCCTCACCTATATTCGTCAAGATGGAATACTGAACGGTTGTGGACATCCCAATGCCTAGGATGTAAATATAGGCCATGGTGATTGCCCACAGCTTCCTTTTCTTGGACCAGTTCAACGGGTCTTCTGGGTCCGAACTTGGACGTGGGTTAAGGACAATATCCTTCTTGCCAGAGTGATCAGCAGCCTCAGTGTCGACGAGGTGAATGGTCCCAGGGACCACATTGCGATTCGAGTCTGCCATGGCTGTAGGTAGGCTTCTCTTCACCTTGGCGGATGTGAAATGGAGTAGGATGGGTGGTGAGGAACAACTCGAATTGTTGTTCACTCGATCGACAGTGTTACAGTCCCCGGGAAATAGATTGCCATTTATGTGTCCGTCAAGTTACTGAATCATACCAGACTAAGGGCGTATCTCTCTTACCATACTTAGTATACTTGAGCCTGAGACCCGTTGTGTAGTGTCGGAAATCTATCCGCCGTGTTCTTGTGCTCCGAGTTGTCCATGACCCTGGTCATGTTGTCAAATGCTCCATAGCCATCGGGACAGCAATCAAGGGCAAATCACCCAATGGACCTGCGGAGGCAGTCTCATCCATCCTTCCAAGTTGGGCAATCCGATAGCCACGTTGGACCCTGTGACCCAATGACGATGCTATCAACGGTCGAGACCCTAAGACAAGCCAATGACCAGCGTGTCGATCATTACCCCCGACTTCGCAACGGGTCAGAAGTTACCTAAACAGGCATGAGAGATAGCGTATGCGAGCGCTGGCATCGTTGAAAGCGTCCCGAAATATGTGAGAGCAGAGCTAAGGCTATGTCTCCATAAGTCGTCTATAGGCTTCATCGGCAAGACTCCTATCTGGGCCGACATGCTTCCGATAACAAATAAAGAGGGACCGACTAGTCGCCTGCGCGGACAGGTATCATGTACGAAGGGTCGGGGTTGGCCTATCCTCATTATCTAAGCACATGGTAAAATTTTCAGTCGATGCTCGCCTTCGCTGGCTGAATAATAGGCTCCTCTGCTGGTGTGCTGCTAATCTTCTCCCAGGAAAAGGTTGAAGAATGGAGAGCTCTGATGACTTCAATCGCGGTTCGACCCCGGGTCTGGCTTGGCCAAGCCGGAGATCAAGCCGACAAGGCTGAGGCAGCGGGTGGCTGACGGGCCGGATTTAGCCAGCCGAATCCCCTCTTTATCAGCCTTGCGCAGCACTGCCAATAGGCAGACCACCAAGTCGAACACCTTTTCTGAACATTATACCGGAAACATTGGATCTCACTAAAGACTACGCAGTTCTGGACTCAGCTCGCCAGTTCTGTACCTATGCACTTTGCTCTGCATCCCTACAGACGGCTCTTAGCGTCGGCCCCCCCGCCTCTGATCAGTACCCCACCACCAGGCCGAGGGTCCATTGCAAACCGGTTCAGTGGGTTCAATTGACTGGCCCTGTGGAACAAATCTTCGTAGACCTTCCCATCGTATCTGCCCAAAGAGCTGTCCAGCATCCAGTCTGGCAACTTCCACACATCCACAAGGCGGACTGCGTGAGGCCTGATTTCTTTCAGAAGCCGCAACATCGTCTCCTGATCTGCTCTCACCACTTCCGCCACCTGCAGGGCCGATGACACGTAAAATTCATGCGATGCCGAGATCACTCTGGTCAGTGCGTATAGACGGAAGAGTTTCCAGAGGACCGCGAGGCTTTCTGGATCGATCTTGGACAACGTGTCAGGGCCTTTTAACTTGTCGTGGAAGCTTGTCAGCACGAGAAACTGCGAGTGGGCACTGCTGAGCCGCGAATAGTCCACCAGAAGATCGTTCTTGGGTTTTTGATCATTATCACGGCGCCGGAGGAGGTCGAAAGTCAGGTATGCTGCGCGCCAGCCGAACGCGGCAAGAATATCTTTGTCCCGATCCAAATCAAAGTGGACAGGGGTGTGCTTCTTTTCCGTGTAGGCTGCGAGATTCTTTGCCGTGATGTTTGATGGCGCATCACCTTTCAGGATGGAGAGGGCTATCTTGAGAAGCTAAAGCATAAGTGCCGTTAGCGCCTTTACCAATCGATTGAGAGCACTGTCCTGATTGGCACACACTTACATAATTGGCTGTCTGTTGCGTCAAGACGTAATTGTCACCTTCATACGTCTGTGAAGGCAGGTAGTCCATATAGACAGCTCCTATACCAGCGAAGCTAGAATATCCATGCCCTCCACACGCACGTCGACATACTTCCAACCCCTCGGCTGCAGCGCTCGTCGCAAGCGCCTTTAGACCACACGATGTAGCATGGAGCTCTGAGAAGAGGGCATTGGCCCGCTGACCACTAGATCCACAGCCATTATTTGATTGTCCGACTGCAAGCGCTGTCCGTGCACTGTGGTAAAACTCAATCATAGCCTGTCCCGTGAAGTTCAAGGCGAAGGACTCTGCAACGAGCGGAAAAAGCCGAAACTGTACCATCGAATAGTCGAGGACTTGAAGCTCAGTATTCTTGTCTTCCGAGTCCGGATCAGAACATTGACGCCGGACAGCGCAATAACGGACGGCAATCGTGGTTCCTCGAGCAAGATTCCGAGCAGACTCTGAAACGAGTGCCGCACGCAACATCGTAAGTGTACCATAAACCATCGCGGGCGATTCGGGCGCAACATAGACATTTGATTCGTACTCGACTCTTGAGAATCTAAAGGAGACTTTCGTCAACCTATGACGGCACTTACCATACGAGGTACATTCAGAGGTTTCATACTTAGCGAGCATGTTGATATGAGGAATTTTGACATGATTCAGAAACAGAAAGCCATTGTCAACGGTGCTAGTTGGTCTTTGTCAGTGCACAATGCCTTCCTCATCTTCTTTGGTGTTGCTTACTTGTAGCCCAACTTCGGTCCGATATCACCCACATATACTCCATCGAGAGGCGTATGGGTGATAAGATCCCTAATCTGGCAGAGAAATGGATGCGGCCCGTAGTCTTCGCCATTCAGTATCAATCGTGCCATAACCATTGCATGATTTGCGCAGAGCCCCATCGTTCCAACCCACCATTTGGCCGCGGTGAGATGCGGTGAATGCAATGTAAATGTGCGGTCATCGGGATTCCAGGTCGCAGTTGTCTCCAGCTTGCGAGCGTTGGACCCGTGGCCTAATTCAGTCTGCGCATAACACCCTATAATCTCCATGCTCTCGGCCTTTCTGAGAAAAAGTTCATGTTGTTCTGGGGTTCCCTGCTCCCGCAGAGTCGGCTAGATATACCATCAACCAAGCTGGCAGACACTCAAAAGTAACTTAACTCACCAGGAATCCTTTCCAATGTAACGAAAATGCTGTTGGCTCGCCGATCAATTCGATAGCCCATTTCAACTCGTCCTCGCTCCAGTTGTGCATCTGGTGAAGTTGATGCAGTCTCTTGGCTCGGGCGACTGACGTTTTGAACCTCTCAATCCGAGAATCGAAGTAGTTTCCGCCTTTGTCAAAGACTGGATCGTGTTGAAGCACATCGAGTATGCGTCGTTGCATTTCGACTCCTTGTTCTGTGTACAACAGACATGCCAGACGGTCTATGTCGATCTGTGATTTCTGCCGTTCTGCAATCAATAGGTCAGAGCCCTGTGGTTCAGAGGGCCTAAGAGACGCAACCCACGAAGGGGCAAAGCCTATGCTGTACTCCCTCGCCATGACCTAGGGACAGTTTGCAGAGGCGAGTAAGAGTACAAGCAATATCACCTGGAGGCTTTCGCGAACAGAAACATCATTTTGTAAACATCGATCTACACGTCAATGCCAAGCGCGACCGCAGAACATCTGCTCAGGTGATGGAGGTCGTTCAGCTTGTGGTGCAATCAAAGTAAAGGCGCAAAAACTCGTCACTGCTGATTAGTCGGTTCCGTCGGCTCCGTCCATTGGGGCTACCCGATGAGGACTTTTCGCAACCAGCTTCTAATCCGATGGCAATGATGGCGTGAGCCAGTACTCATTTCAAAGGACTTATCTGCTCGCCAAAGGTTTAGAATCAATGTCGACGGCAATATGCAGGTTGACAATGAATAAGTCATATCTGAGGTTGAGAAAGCATATGCTCGGAAATGAAGACACCCCTATTTTTTCAGCCTCGGGTCCTTGGCGGTGGACGCCGTACTACTATTTTTCCGATCAAAACATGGCTTGACCACTCCCTTTTCCCTTGCCTATAGCCCATTCACTTTGCCGACGCGAACGAACACTCGCTGCTTGCTCCAAGGTAAAGCCTCTAGCCTCGACAGCAGGGTTGTAGCCCAGCCCCGTCAGCTGTGCCACCTCTGCGTCCGAAAGTCTTTGGTTCCCTTGTCCATCTGCACGTCTCAACACGGTAACTACACAGGCACCCCCAAGTCCAGCGTTCTGTTGCAATGCCAACTTTCCGGCAGGAACTGATACCAATCTGTTATTTGCCCACCCTCGCAGTTGCCATGTAAGCTCAGCACACTGTGCCAAGCCCGTTGCGCCCAATGGATGCCCCTTGGAAATTAGTCCGCCGGAAGGATTCACGACTGCTTGATCACTGCCATATGTGATGGAGCCATTGCGAACGTACTCATGCGCCTTCCCCCGAGGGCTTAGGCCCAAGGCGTCAATGACCAACATTTCGTTCGTCGAAAAGCAGTCATGTAGCTCGACTACTTTCACGTCTCTGATATCGGCCTTTGCCTGATTTAGCGCCTGTGAAGCCGTGTGCGCGACTAATTCATAGCCCACCAGACTCACGGCTGAGTTTTGGTATAGCGATGGGCTGTCCGTGGTCAGAGATTGGCCTAGGATTTGGACTGCTTGGGCTTTGAGGTGGGGACGGGCATCGAGAAAAGATTGAGACACAACCACGGCAGCGGCAGCGCCATCACTAGTTGGACAACATTGTAACTTTGTCAACACCCCGTAGATTGCCGGAGATCTGAGAATTTGCTCTTCTGAATACTCGACCTTAAATTGCGCGTACGGATTGCGTTGGGAATGTTCGTGATTGACTCTTGCAATCTCAGCGAAATCTTTGGGAGAGGCGCCATATTTTTTGATATACTCGTCGGCGGCGTTTCCAAACATCTTCGCAGCAAACGGGGCATTCGGGTTTGAATTTCCCAGCTTATCCGACATCGATTTGGCCCGGTCAAGGGGATCGGTTCGATCGCTAAAGTTAGAACCCAGGCTTCCAGTAGCCATCTTCTCGAAGCCCACAGCAAGCACACAGTCTGCAGCGCCGTAACGGACGAAGTCTCGCGCCATGACCATAGCCGTCGACCCTGAGGCACAGTTGTTGTTGACGTTGTAGATAGGTATCTGGGTCATTCCAAACTGGTAAAAGACTCGCTGTCCGCATGTGCTATCCCCATAACAGTAAGACGCCACGCCCTGCTGCACGTCGTCGTACATGATGTGTGCATCTAACAAAGCCTTCACTCCGGCTTCAAAGCCCATGTCAACATAGTCATTGCTATGCTGAGGCTTGACGAACTTCGTCATCCCAACGCCGAGGATAAAAGCTGCGCGGTCGGAGGCCATTTCGAAGTCTTTGACAGGAATCACACCTTCTTGTTGAGCTAGCGGAGTTGAGATCGGTGCGCAAGATAGTAGGGGTGTAAAGATTAAAAACACATCAACGAAACCTATAATGGAAGCCCGTGTGCCTGTAGATTCAATCCCATATTATAAATTCTGCGTTTGCAATAGTTGGGGCAACCAACTGCACAATGACAGGAGGCCTCGGGGAATGGAGTTATAGACGGATCCGACTTGTCAGCTTTTGAATACTGTTGGCATATCCCTCCTCTTAAGGAGGCGGAGCCGCCCTCCAGCTCATTGGCAGAACAAAGTAGGCCCGTCGCGGACAGTCTCGTGTTGTATCCTTCCGGAATGGGAAGCAGAAGATGTCGGATGATGCTCCATTTCTTTGCTCTATTTTTCCAGGATTGTACTCAGCAGCGGAGCATTCCCCAGAGATGGGCGAATTAAAATCAAAGGGAGATTGAACTAATGCTGATTGAGTTTTACTCCGAAAGGTGCCTGAGATCCCTCTTCTAGTTCAGACGCTGCTAACGCAGCCTTATCACGTATGTCAAGACTCAGCAAAAAGTGCGGCTACTTGCACTTCCAGGCAGCTTATTTAGATTTACCACCCCCGGATCCAATCTCCACGGCGTCACTTCAATTTTCCAAAACCATCACAGGTGCAATTTCGGCCTCGATCCATTGGAGTTTTGTTTCGTCGCATATTCTCGCAATTCCCTTCGAAGAATCTTGCCGGACTTGTTGAATGTTAGCGATTTGTGTCACATAATATTCCTCATCGTGCTTGGGCATACCGGATTTTTGGGAATGGAAGACAAGAAGCCGACACCACCTGTGAGACGTTTGATCTTGGACACCTTTGATGCCACAAACTCCACAATCTCCTCTTCTGTTATCGCACCGGCATGTCGAGGTACCACATACGCACGCGGGTCTTCATCATCCGAAGCACTGATACTGCGTTAGTTCGCCCAGTAGATTTTTCCTCGTCGCATATACGTACGTCTTAACGCCAACGACGGCAGCATCCAAGATTTGGGGATGCTCAAGTAGGAGCGCTTCAAGTTCAGCGGGAGCAACTTGTGCTCCTCGGACCTTGATCAACTCCTATCGTCGGTCAGATATGTTGTCACAACTTAAGTCATGAAGGGATGTTTGTCACCTTTTTTCTGTCCACGATATACCATTTGTTATTCTCATCCCTGTAAGCGATATCGCCACTCTTCAGCCATCCGTCGGCGGTTATCGTTTCTGACGTTTCTTTAGGCTTACGCCAGTAGCCCTTCATAACGTTTGGACCGCGGACCCAGAGTTCCCCTTGGCTCCCCGGTCGCGTCTCCTCTGTCCCATCCTCAAGCACCAGCTTGGCCGCCACACCTGGTACAAGCTCTCCCACCGATATTGATGACGGGCCAGAGCTTTCAGCCTCATTCCAGCACATGGCGATACATGGGATTCTGTCTATCTGTTAGCATCTGCTTTGGCATCCTGCAATGAAATCTTTTGCACATATATCGTACTCTGACATGCCCCAAGCCTGTCGAACTCTCACTCTTCCTGACCAGATCTCCTCGAATTGCTGTGTAACTTCTGGGCCTAGAGGCGCCGCTCCAGCAACTACCTTCCTGACGCTGCTGAGATCGTAATCGCCATTACGGGCAGACGGATGTTTTGCAATAGCTAACAGTATAGGGGGTACCAGAAGGAGCTCCGTGATTTTGAAGCTGTCGATACACGATAGCATGTCACGGAGATTGTATCGTTGCATCATATAGCTCTGTATTCCCGATTTAGACGCCACAAAAACAAAGTAGACTAGACCAAGACCATGGTACATCGGAAGCACACATAGGCTTCTTCGTTGCGTGATACTCTTGTCTGATAGTTGCATTTTCATCAGCTGCATTGTGGTGCTGACGAGATTAGAGTGCGTCACCTCGACACCCTTGGGCAGACCGGTAGTCCCAGACGAGTAAATCAGTATAGCCGTTTTGGTAGCCATTTCAGCCGTCTGAGACTCATCCCATCTGAAGGCACTGCCCACCTGAGACGTCGTGATCAGTGTGCCCCAGTGTTGTGCGGTGTTATTGATAAGTTTCTCTCGCCGCTCCGACGCCGTTGCAAAATGTGAGGGCAATTCTTCAAAGAGGAATATATGTCTCTGATCAATGCCGGCTGATTTGGCTGCCTCTTGGGTTGGTCCTAGACAGTTCTCTGCTGCGAATACAAATCTTGGCTCGCTGTCTTTCAATTGGTACGCCAGTTCCCTGGCCGTGCCAGCTGGGTTCGCACTGTTGTAAATTCCACCAGCCATCATGACACCCAGCACTATTACTGGTGTCCAAAAGTTGTTCCCTGAAACCAACATCACTCGGTCTCCCTGCTGTATCCCTGCTGCTAACAAGCCCGCCGCAAATCGCTTTGACCATTCTCGTAGGCTGTGAAGGCTGAAGTAATGTGTTTCAGGACGCTTCCAATCGAGCAGGATCTTTTCAGCATCCGACAATATTCCCGTTGGCGAGCCAAAGAGGAAAGAAGGGACAGATACATGAGGCGGTGACAGCTCCCACCTCGACTTGTAGGGCATCTTTTGGAAAATGTGGTGAGATTATGGTCTAGTGACGATGGCTGAATGGGGTTGAAATGCCTGAAGCCTTTCAAGGTGGCGGGTTGTGCGTCACAACGGGAATGATATATGGTGTTACACGGCAATTCCCTGCAACGTCAAGATCGAATGTTCCAGGCGAGCAGAAGGGAGAACAAGACGACAAAGTAATGAATACTATCTTTGACAATGGAAATCCATCCGGCGTTGTGATACTGTTACAAGTGGAGGAGATTTCCTTTAGATGTTAGCGGCTCCGATTGATATTCCGCCGAAACATCCTTCAAAAGGTCAAGCAATTTGTCGGACCCGACGCAAATCAGAATGCTGATACACCCAAAGTAGCTGCTGAATAACGCAAGATTGTAAAAAGACCCGTGTGTGAAAGAAGAAAAGGATGGAGCGAGTTTCCTCGAAGCTCGACCTTCGCTATAGTTATTAGAATTCATGGTCACCGAGGAATCTTGGGGAGCGCAGTCCATACAATGAATTCCGAAAACTACATTAGCAAAATCTGGCAAAGAGGAATATTTGGTGCGTGCTAAGTTGCTGCCGTTAAATCTCTCGCACTGACGCTGCTCAGAAAACAGAGTCGTCTTCTGCACAGGTGGATCTGGAGACATTTGCAGCTCCCAGGTCAGGGCATTGGTGTATCTAGGAGCAAATGCTTGCATCGTTGGCCGAAACAAACAGAAGGCAGAAAGAGTCGCTGCGGATATCGCCAACGCTAGGCCAGGTGCAAATGTGCTGGGCATTGGAAATGTCGATGTCCGCAAGATTGAGGCTTTAGAGGCTGCTGTTTCGAAGTGTGTCTCGACGCTAGGGGGGATCGATTTTGTCATGTAAGGCTTCCAAGATTCCAGCCCCGGATAGATTATCGCAGGGAGCATGTACCTGACGCTGGCCAGTGCTGGAGCTGCCGGAAATTTTCTGGCTCCCTTCGTCCAACTATCCACAAATGCTTTCAAGTCCGTGATCGATATTGATTTGATGGGATCATGGAATACCGTCAAAACAACAGTACCCCATCTTCTGGACTCGGTGGCGAAGTATCCTGGAGCAGGTAAGTTGACGCAACCGTTCGGCGTTCGACAATCCAGACTAAGGTGATTATGAAGGCGGTCGCATAATTTTCATCAGCGCTACCCTTCAATATACGGGTGTCCCTTTAAATACGCATGGAGTCGTCGCGAAAGCAGGAGTTGATGCATTGTCAGCTCAACTAGCAATAGAACTCGGGCCTCGGGGCGTTACCTCCAACGTCATTGCGCCTGGGATGATCCAGAGCACCGAAGGAGAAAGGCGACTCTTCCGGAACTCGGGAATTGATATGGTCAGAAGAGTGCCAACCGGCAGGCTAGGTACGATCAAGGATGTCAATAACGCCACCGTCTTCCTGCTCGCTGAGACTGGGGATTATGTAAATGGCACTGTCCAGGTTGGTGAGTGTGTCTGCTTTTCTTTTGTTGCATCACTGGAGATAGAGAACAACTGACGAACGCGGAACCAGTGGACGGTGCTGCTTGGAGAATCGGGGCCCAGGTTACAACAGGGGTTGAGTACCCTGCTTCTGTCCTAGTTGAGCCCAAAATCTTGAAGCTTTGAAGCAGAGATGCGGGAAATGCATTGCAACATCACGAGCAATGACAATAACTTCCTCCAACCACTTCGTGAAACTCCAACGACTGAGTGATTGTGTGATTGTCTGCATTCGATTTGGTGCCTCGAGGCAAAAATAGGGTGATTATGTGTCTAGTATGTCGTGGCTCCAACAATCCAATAAAATGTCGCCGTACCGACGCAAGAGATCCTGGAGAGCGGGTCGTGCAATGCATTCACCAGATACTGTCTGTTGAAGTACTGAGAGACAGACAAGTAGCGGTCTTATCGATAGCATCAGATCTGAAGATGGCATTGCTGAAGGGTTTAGATCCATAGAGACAATCGACGGGATCTCCGGCGATAGAGTGCTACAAATTGCATGTTCAATAGCCTTCACCAAGGCTAGGACTGTCACGCCGGTATTTGCATGGTGCGAAATCAAGGACAGACTGATTTCCGAGACCTCTGAGAGTCGGAAGTCTCCATCTGTAGATGCTTCGTTCATCCGCTTAGCGACAGACATGCAACGGGATATGGCTTTTTTCCGGTAGTTGATAGCAGTTTTCAACATTTGCGCTTTGCTTGAAGAGTGGATAATCTTGCTCGCATCCATTATCACCTCGACGACGCAGAGTACGCCCAGATTCCAAAATAGAACCAGAAAGCCTAGTTGACAGAAAAAACACATTAGAATAACCTCGATGTTGTTTTGGGAATAGGGGCTTAGACAAACCGGCAAATTGCTTCGATTGTGTAGACAGCTGCAAGAAGACATCCAAGCATTGATCCATCCAATCGTCATGACCAGCATGGAAGGTGTCGACAGCTTTTGTCAACAAGTTGATACTGGCAACGATTTCACCTTCATCGAGGCTTTGTGAATCTTTCTGAATAAAATGTTTTAGGCGACTTATTTGTCGGAACAAGCTGAAAAAAGAGCGACTGGCTCTTTGCGATGTCTCCGCTATGGTGTCTTCCAACGCAGGCGGCAGAAAAGTCGCACACATCCTGGGGACGGTATCTGATGCCCTTTGTAAGCTTGGCAGACACAAGAAATGGTAATTGACAAACCTGCTATCGAGGTTGGCAAGTCTTCCATCGTACAGGGGCGATCGCAGAGGAGAGACGCCATCGTATCGCGAACGTACCCAAACCATCGAAAAATCCGGTGCGATGAATCCAGGAGAGTTCTATAAACCGATTTGGAGTCGAGATGTGAGTAAAATTCTCCCAAAAGATTAGAAAGCCTTCGCGATTGAAGTAGGGCACGGTCCAGGAAGTAAACAGGACTATTTGAGAACTCGGCTTTCAAGCGTGCCTCTTCAGGTTGTGCCGTCATATGGAATAGGTAGACCGCGTATAAATGGACAAACGACCCGTGGTTGAGTGACTTCATGAGATTAGAATGTGCGTTGAACCACGCTGCTGTAAACATTTGTGTGGCCTTTGCCTTAGGTGCGGCGTCCGAGACACCGTTTACGGTTTCGACGGTTGGGACATTTGCGCGACTGAATTCAAGGTCATCCGGTGATCCGAATTGCAACGCAAAAGCTTGCAAAACGGACTTGAAGGTTGCTTCATCTAGCTTGCGCTTTTCCTGATCAAGCCTGTTCCCATACAAGGCTCCAAAATTGTCCAAGAAACGAGCAACCCCAATCAGTGTTATTCGTCTGAACGATTCGACGAGTTTCCCTGAGCACTGTGCTATGCCCTGTCTCTCGACTGTCTGTTCGTATGGATTTCTTCCTGATACAATGCCACCTGCCAAATTCCGGCAGATTTCGTGGTTGAGATCCATGATCTGATTTTCATGGCTCTCCGATTCGATGATATACCCGTGCGTTCCAGCAAATTGGTTGCAGGTATATGATAGATATCTGCTTGCCAACCCGATCATCATCGTATCATAGACCTGATAAAGGTTCTTCGTCATTTGTTCAGCTACGGCAGTGGAGTTTAGCAGGCTAATTGGGCTTCCATGCCAGAACCCCGACAACGCGCCGTCACCGAACTGGAAATTCTGGCGGTTCTCGTCTGATTGCTTTGTCGTAAACTCCGTCGGACTCAAAACTGATGTTGCCGCTGGAGCGATAGCATCAGTAACATTGCACCCTTCAACAGCTTCATTGGCAGGAGTTCTCTCGGACAGGTCCATCCAATCTTGGGAGTCGCTGTTCATGAAGGTGTCGAAATCAAGAAAATTATTCGGTCCCAGACCAGTCCAAATCATGTCGTCGAGACATGTTTCTTGCTCCATAGGAGGCTGAAGGGTCGTCCATAGTGTCTCCGAGTTCATCGGCGTAATGGCGGTGGTTAGTTCAGGGTCATTTCGGGCCGATGGCCGAGTAACTGAAGCCGTGGAACCGGGTAAAGACATCATCTTCCCTCTTTTTTGAGCTTGACGAGCTGCAACAAATTTGAAGGTGCATATATGGCCTAAATGAGCGCAGTTCTGACAGGGCGCCCCGCTACCTGGTCGGACATCAGGATCAAATGCGCATCGTTTCTTGGAGTGACGGCAAGGGTCGCAAGAAGCGTTTTGGCGGCGTCCGCTGGAGGGTGCCATGGCGAAGTCTCTCGAGGGAGGTTAGAAAAACGTTCCATGATGAGGCAAAGGGATTTATCGTGCTGCTGACAAGAAATTTGGCCAACAATCGCAGACTTGGCCAACGGGGGAGTAAACTGGAGTTGATACGCGGAGACTGGTCTCATGAGGAGGGGAGAATCTGGGGGGAGGGGAAAGGAAGGGCAGCCAGGGGTCGAAAGAAAGAGCACATGATCGCCAAGCGCCAAGAGTCGGCTCCGACATCTGACACTTGTCCAAAAAAGGTAACGAGCAGGCCCGTTGCATGAAAGAGTCTCCACCCTCGAATTTCTCAGCGGTCCGACGTCTCGTCCAGAGGAACCGAAATTCGAGGCTATGTCATGTCATATCCCTGGGGTGTATCAAGAATCAATACAATACCCAGTAATGAAGCCAGGTAAGAAGGGAAACATACAAAACCCTTGAAATTTGTTCGCATCCTCCCTCGCCGCCTTGTGGGTTTATACGTCGTACTCTGGACCATAACTCTCAACATGCCGGCCGTGAGTTACAACCAGAAGGTAGTTATCATTACCGATGCAACTACTCCTTTTGCCCAAGAATGTGCTGCCATGTTCGCAGCCCGTGGCGCGAATCTAGTCCTCAATTTTCCTCCGTCATCGCTCTCGGCGCGTCCAACTTCTCCCCTCCAGAGTCCAAGATACCGTGATGACCGTTCAGTGATCGAAACGCACCAAGAGCTCAAAGAGGCTCAACAAATCATTGCAGCGGCCGTAGGAAAGTACGGCACTGTCCATATTTTGATCAATAACGCCTCTTTTCGAAGTCCTGGTCCTACATACGACCTTCAGAGCTGCACAGCCTGGGATACTATGCGAAGGGTTGTCATAGATGGAGCATTCAAGGCAGGTGTGGCTGGCTCCATGCTTCCCAAATGTGTTTCTGACTTTTTCAGTGTGCGAAGGCAGTCTGGCCACATTTTCGCAAAAATGGCTATGGAAGAATATCTTTCATAGACTCTGAACCTACAGGGTGTGGAGTGGCTGAGCTTGGTACTACATCCTTTCTCAACAGCTCTCGAGGCATTGTTTGACACTAATCAGCTGGCAGATTTGCCTTGTTTGGATTTGCCGAAACATTGGCGCGAGAAGGAGTGAAATACAACATCCGGGTGAATGTTATTGCTCCACAATGTAAGAAGTACCTCGCCTGCATTGCCCATTTTTGTTCCGTTTACTGATATATTTCCCTTTTAGCCCTTTGCTACGTCACAGGTCAACATCTGAGCTCTTCTTTGAACCCCGCTGTGCAGGGGGTTACGTCCCTTGCAGGAGCTCTCAGCCATGAATCGAACAAGGACGAAGCTGGTTCGCTCTTTGCGGTTGGAGATGACCATATCACCAAGTTCCAATGGGAGAGGTCAAAAGGTGTCTTCTTGAATCCGGATATCAACTTTACTTCAGCAGCATTGGCCATGAAATGGGGCGAGATCTATGACTTTTCGGAGAAAACTTACTCAAATTCGGCAATGGATTTTGGCAGTCTACTGCCAAAAATGCAGGAACTACCAGGCAATGCTAAGCTTCCTGTTTCCGACTTTTCAGGGCGGGTGGTATTGGTTACCGGTGGTGGATCTGGGTGAGTTCTATCTTCCACCCCGAGGAGATATTGAGAGATTAACCCGTGAGATTAGGCTTGGTAGGGCGTATTCTATTGCCTTTGCAAAATTGGGAGCCTTAGTGGTTGTTAACGATGTAGCCGATCCTCAAGCCGTGGTGGATGAGATCAGCCGTGACGGTGGCATTGCCGCTCCTGTCCTCTCCTCAGTGGAGGAGGGAGACTACATCGTCCAGAAAGCTCTCGAACTCTACGGCCATATTGACATACTTGTTAACAACGCAGGTTTCGTTCGCGACAAGTCATTTGCGAACATGGATGAGAATATTTGGAACTCGATAATAGACGTACACCTTAACGGTACATATCAAATGACCAAAGCTGCATGGCCACACTTTGTACGTCAAAGACATGGATGCATCATCAACACAACGAGCACGAGTGGAATCTACGGCAATTTTGGTCAAGCCAACTATTCTGCCGCAGTGAGTAATGTTCACATCTGACTTTCCAATGATTGGTATTGACGAAGGGCAGAAATTGGGTATCCTGGGCGTATCAGAAGCTACTGCCCGCGAGGGACGGAAGTATAATATTCGTGTCAATACAATTGCTCCCGTCGCCAGCACTAGATCGTTGGCCATGGCACTAACTGATACGGACAAGAACAACCTGGCCGTCTTCTTGCCAGAATATGTCGCTCCAGTTGTAGTTCTCTTGAGCTCAGATACGCTCAACGGGAAGATCAATGATACCGCTGGTGGTTTATTTGAAGTTGGTTGCGGATGGCACGCAAACACCCGTCTCCGTCCTGTTTCCGAGCTCAAGTTTTCTTCCACAGCGGAGTTATCCCCAGACGCTCTATCAGAGCCTTGGCTGGAGAATACAGAGCCGCAGAAAGCAAACAGAAGCACCATATCTCCCATCAACACAAACAAAGACGTTCTTGAGGTCATTGCTGCGCTCAAGCGGGTCGACGTCGAACACAGCGAATACAAGTTTACAGAGCGAGACGTGGCACTCTACAGTATGTACCACCCGAAATTTTGCACGATCATTGACTGACCGCCGACACAGATCTCTCAGTTGGAGCTAAAAGGTTGGAACTTTCTTTTCTATGGGAGGAATCGGCATCCTTTCAGGCGATACCAACCTTCGGAGTTATACCATTCTTCAGCATGGAGACGATATACTACCATGGCCAAATCCTGCCTCGGTTCATGCCCACTCAGTCGCTATTGGGCGAAGTCTATCTGGAAATACTTCAAGACACCATACCACGTTCAGGGCACCTCCAGACGCGCAGAAGGCTTGTAGAGGTTCTAGATAAGAACAGCGCAGCGGTTGCTATCACGGGTTATACGACGGTAGATGCCGCTACCGGGATACCTCTTTTCTACAACGAACTTTCATTCTTCATGCGCGGGGCGGGCGGCTTCGGCGGCGTGCGTGACCGGCCGTATCAGACGCCGTCTTCGCGCACTTACATCATGCCAAACCGACAGCCAGATGCGGTCGATGAATTCCGCACTTCCGAAGAGCAGGCTGCATTGTACAGGCTGACGGGCGACCGCATGGCAATGCACATTGACCCCGAATTCAGCAAAAAGGGAGGCTTTCCTCTCCCTATCCTTCACGGAATGTGCTTCATGGGCATTGCCGGCAAACACCTCTTTCAAAGATACGGATCTTATCGCAGTATCAAGGTCAAATTGGTTGGCACTGTTGTCCCAGGCCAGACACTGCGGACCGAAATGTGGGAGTCTGAAAATGAGAAAGAGCTGGTGGTCTTTCAGATGAAGGTGGTTGAGACTGGGAAACTTTGCATTGCAGGGGGAGGTATTTGGTTACGCAATCCCTTGGGTCACTCGAAGATGTCCAGGTTGTAAGACAACACTAGCACAGAAATTCGCGAGAATGGATGACCAATTACAGATTTCCATTTCATATATGGACGGTTCCACAGGCGTACTCATCTCAATACACCAAAATGCATAGCAAGGGAGCCTCTTCAATTATACTGGAAAATGCTGATCAGGAGTCATGAATCACTTTTTCTACCCAAATTCGGTATTCTTCTCAACGAAGTCCAGGGAAAAGCGAGACCAGTCGAAGAGACAAAATCTAACAGAATAAGAGAAGGAGTCCAGGCGTTGAATTTTGACCAGCACGCTCTCAAGCACTTGCTTTCTCACCTGAGGTGGAGTCGAACCTATGTATGCTTTCGGCTGGGAATTATCGGCTCCGTCATGCTATTGTAGAAGTCGAGCTTGAAATCATCAGATTGGAGTGAATTGAGAAACTGAGAACCGCCAGCGGCGTTTAGGAAGTCGATAAATATGTCTGGCAGCCGATGGCACCGACACGGAGCCGATACCAACATCACCTTAGATCGAAGGGGGGAAAGCTTGATTTCCCCGTGGGAAATGCAAAGCTTCAGAGCAGGCTCCGCAAATTCGAACCAGCGAGGTTGCCACCCCATGGGACAGGAATGTGTCTCGTGTTTCTATATAGACCCTCTACTTGGGATGTAAGTAGGATCTTCCTGCGTCATATTCTTAACGCTCTAATACCCTTGATCAGAATTTGCACTGATATAACGTGAAACTGTGAATCTCTCAACTCCTCCGATAACCAAAAGGCACCATATCCTGCCTTGATCGTCTTTCTCAGGCCAGAATGTCTGAACAACCCGCAGGAGTCGTCTTTGACCCGGAGACCAAAGTGGAGGCGTCACATTATAGCATTGAGCACCATGAGGAGGCTCTCAGCAGTAATAAAGAGTCCCAGATCTTCGAAGAAGAGATCGAGCCCAGCGTGGGTCATCGGCTGGAGAAGCGAATCAAGTTAGTAATGTCCAATCATCATCTAAACGCAACCTCATTGCAAGATCGCAAAAACTAAAAGATCTCACGTCCCAGACGTAAATTGGATCTGCGCCTCCTCCCAATTTTGAGTGCAATCTACACGATGGCGCTGGTCGACAGGACAAATTTGGGAGGTGCTAGAATTGCAGGTATGGACGAGGCCACGGGCCTAGATGTTGGAAATCGCGCATCGGTCACAAGTACAACCTGCCAGTTCCGCATGCCGACTTACCGTTTCTGACAATGATCCCCCAGTTCTCGTGTTTTACATCGGATACATCGTCTTCGAGATCCCGAGTAATATGGTGTTGAAGAAGGTCGGTCCGGCAATCTGGATCTCTGCTCTTGCGGCTGCATGGGGATTGGTTACCCTAGGCATTGGCTTCAGTAAGAATTATCAGACGGTAGCAGTGTGCCGCGTCCTTCTTGGGATCTTCGAGGCTGTAAGGCATTTCTCATACTTGCGTAGCGTCCGAGTGAGCTTTACCTTTTTGTTGGAGCTGACTTCTGAGCACAGGGGATGTTCCCAGGGTGTCTTTATCTAATGGCATCTTGGTATCAGAAATTCGAATTACAAAAGAGGTCAGTAACAGTTTCATCTCATGAATTTGAAACGCTGTAGATATGATGCTAAGGTGCAGAAACATAGAGTTGCCATCTTCTTCATGACCGGGTCCTTTCTGTCATCTTTTGCCAATATATTGTGTCTGGGGTTGACGAGAATTGCCAATAACCCAGAGAAAGATGGCTGGAAGTACATCTTCATTGTACAGGGCGCCATGACCATCGCTATAGCCGCCATAGGATGGTTCGCCATCGTGGACTTCCCCGACAGCGAAATTCGCAAGGTCAAGTTCCTCTCAGCTGACGAGGCGGAGATGATCAAGCTGCGTCTGATCCGAGAGCGTGGCTCTTCTGAGGGAGAACGAGTGAGCTGGGATACCATCAGAGCCGTAAGCCTTGACTGGCGGGTATGGTCTCTGTCAGTTGCATCTCCTCCCAAACTGTTCCGCGCCGAATCCTGACAATGCTCACAATAGATCTTTCGTCTACATGGCAGGCGCTGCGGGAGTGTATGGGCTTTTGTTGTTTCTACCAATTGTTCTTCGACGGGGGCTTGGATACTCTCAAACCGCGTCCTACCTCCTCGCTGCACCTCCAGCCGCCGCAGCAGTGATATTCACCTTTGTCGTGAGCGTTCTCTCTGACAAGTATCACGTTCGGGGTCCGTTTGTTCTCTTGGAAGGCTCGCTGGCAATCATAGGTCTATGCATGATTGGATTTTTGGACAGTCCCACGCCGAGATACATAGGATCCTTCTTCGGGTCGTGCGGATCAAACGCCTTGATTGTCACGGCAGCATCCTGGCAACAGAACAACATCAGAGGCGACGCGAAACGATCGGTCCTGGCAGCCTTTCAGGTCATGTCTGCGGGCGTCGGCGGGATCTATTCGGCACTGGTATTCAGGCAACAGGTGTGCACAGAGAACATTTCTGGAATGAGTTGATTACTGACATTTCACCTCAGGATTCACCAAACTTCGTTCCCGGGCTTGTGGCATGTTGTGCTCTTGTTGCATGGTCGATGGTGCTCACCGTGGTCACTATTCCGTTCCTTGTCCACGCAAATCGACAGGCTGATCGAGGTAAGAGGGTTATTGAAGGGAGCAGGGTGTTCCGATATGTGTGGTGAAGAAAGGATTAAGCAATACACAAGGTGTAGGGTCTCAGGGGCGAGCAAGGAGTCATTAGATGATATGAAGCAAGAAAGATTCACAAACGCTCCCGGGAACAACTTCGGAGGAGTGGTCACCTGCCTGCAGCTCCTGGTGAAGTCAACATACCGGTGACTTTGATAATATTATTCCTGAACGTGTCATGCCAAGCCATCGGGTTCAACGCGTGATTGAGGGATTAGGAAGTCCATGTTTGAGTATGACATGGGGTCCTAGAGGGTCGCGGGTGGACCAATCTACGGACCATAACTTGGTTGATTTAGAAGAGAGGTTCTAAGGACGAGGCTTAATAAATACTACCTAGCCCAATAGCCTATGCCGTGGTGCCAAGGGACATTTGGAGTTGCCTAACCGGGCTAGTCCAACAGTGGGGGTTGGTTCGGCGCCGGACCACTGTCGACACACGGCTTGCACACGGTTTGCTGTGATTTACGCGGCTCGCCAGGGAGATAGCCAAGAGAAACTTGGACTTGATGTTGATTGTAGCATTCTTTTGGCTCCTCTTGTAACGACTTTTCGACCATTACTTCCTATGATCCCACAAATATTCGTGTGCCGCGAGGCTCCGGTGTAGAGGGGCATGTGTAAATTCCGACTCCTTAGGCTGTTACACGGTGAGTGTTTGGTCGCCAACCGGTGAGGCGGTGTGATGGGGAGCCAGGGGCTAGCTTCTCTGAGCTTTGCAGCGTAGCGAATAGCCTCGAGCACAGCCCTGCACTATTGAAGCCAGCCATAGGCTTCGAAATCTGCTCAGCCTCATCGCGCTTCTCGATCGCATTTTATAAACACTTTAGATGTTACTGGCCCAGAAAGCTGTCTAATGCAGTAAGGTAAATATCTGCGCTCTTTTGCAAGTATTTCTGCTCCTGAAGGTTTTTTACGACCGCACGGTTGTAGAGGCTATGGACAGGCCGATGCGATTGACTCCCTCTCAGCAGATAGATGCAGAATCTGCTGAGCCGTTGGTCGATTTTGGCTTGATTTTCTCAGCCATGAGCAACGATGTCTTTGAAATTCCAGCTTCAACGGATATATCAATCGAAGAATCACAGGGTGATGGTCCAGAAACCGCCGCGTCTCCCGTGGAGGCACAACCGAAACTCCAAGGCCAGCGGCATAGAAGGTGAGTAGCCCCATACGTCGCAGCCAACATTTGCAAACGTCCTGAAGGACGTTTGCCGACTTCGTTGATATCCTGCTTAATCCCCTCGGCCGGACGGTTATCTTAACGTACACTTACTTGCGGGCACACAGTCCGCTGTCCAAGAGCGGAAGCTCGCAGTTGAAGCATACGTTCTTGAGGTCTGAGCCAGCGTACCAGCACCCCAGTGCGCAACAGGAAGCGGACGTCGACCAGAGTTCCTTCACGGGATGGCAAATGTGAGCTTTGCTTAGCTGCATCCTGGTCGGCGTCTGCTCGCAACGACACAAGGGTGTTATCTATGAAGGGAGCTGCATTACCACCAAACGCTGGACGACATTGACGTCCCTTATTCTCAATTTCATTGCAACTCTAGCCATAGGCTCTAGTAACTATGTAATGCAGTGTCTGAGCTCTCCTTCTGAAAGAGAGCTTAGACACGCTCACAAAAAGAGGCAGGTCACTGCAACTAGGCGTTTCTTCCCCGTCAAATATTGTCTTTCTAGCTCCTCGAAAGACAGTTCTCTGGTGGCTGATGGGCCTCAGCTCTATACCCGTCCACCTCCTCCTCAACTCGGCCTTCTTCGCTTCGCTTCAATCGAACGACTACGGAATAGTCGTGGTGGCATCTGACTTCATTGAAAGCTCGCATTGGTCTCCTTGTACGGAAAACAACAGCAAATACCAGACGGATACATGGACCTCGCTAACGTGTCCTATTTTCACAGAAGCTACGAGTGGCGACGACTATGAGAACCTTGATAATCACGACTGTATTTTGCGATATTCGAATCCCTTGCTCAGTAAATATTCCAACGTGGTCCTCGTATCGAACCTGAGATCTTCGGATCGCAGTAACATGTCGACCTCCAGGTAAGGTTCATTTCTTATCCTAGAAACTTGTACTAATTTATGCAGTTTCGCCGGCTTGGACAATTTCAATTTTACCGTCGAGAATTCATGGAATAATATTGACTCCGGCTACATCCACCTTGGTTCTCGACTTGAGCCGGAGCTACTAAATTTGTCAGCTCTGTTTGGAGTTTTCGACTCACTCGATTATCGAGCATGGCGTTTAGGCGGCGGTCAGACAATAGAATGGTGGGATCAAACCACATATGAACCGTCGTCCTGGATGTGTCAGTGGGACTATTCTTTGCCATGCACTAGCAACGCAGCGCTGCGGAATGAATCAGATTGGAGGGTCACTCTAGATAACATCCCCATCGACCATTGTTTGAGCAAAAGAACGGCAGACAAAGTCTGCTGGCTGCAATATAGCGGTCTTATCTTTAGCATCATTGTGGGATGCGACATCGTCAAGGTTCTTGTGATCATACAGGCTCTGCGTTCGATTAAAGAGACCCCTCTCGTGACGATTGGAGATGCCATCGCTGTTTTCCTCAATATCCCTGAGCCTTACACCATCGGAAAGTGTCTTACAGACCAGGAAAGGGCACTACTCGAATCAGATTTCTTCTGGTTTTCGCCGCATGACTTTGAAAGAATCGTCGGTGATGGTACAGTTGCTACTATCTGGTCGCAACATTTTGGTCCTTGGCCGACAGCGTGGGTGGTGCCAAAAAAGCGATGGTTCAGTGCTCTCTCGAAACCAAGGTGGGTTTCTTTCCTATTCTTGTAAGTTAACCACTGGAAATGACACTTTACAGTACTGATATACGGGGCAGCCTCCTGCTGATATTTGTTGGTGCTGGATTGACGCTTGCTGGAGGTCTTGTAGACCTCGATGACCTCGCGATAGGAAGTGTATGGACTACTGGGCTTATGTCGGTAAATCCAAATGCAATTTTCCAAAGCACAACATCCAGCGACTACGGCACGGATACCGGCTTCATATACCAAGTTCTCCTGGTCAACACACCGCAATTGCTACTGAGCTTTTTATATTTTATGTACAACGGCATTTTCACAACCATGCACGCTACGCAGGAGTTCGCGGGATTCGCAACCCAGCGCAAAACTCTACGAGTCAGCTCGCCCGAGCCTGGTCAACGATCAACCTACTGGCTTAACCTGCCATGGTCTTACAGCATTCCCTTGCTCATCCTGTCGAGCATCCTCCACTGGCTGCTAGCGCGCAGTCTATATCTTGTCAATATCAATGTTATCGAGCCTAACGGGAATTGGCAGCAATGGCGCGATATTACTGCGATTGGCTTCAACAATCTGATGCTGCTGCTCGTCATGGTTCTTCTGCTATGCATGCTGTTGTTTCAAATCGCCTGCGGATTTCGAAAGCTTAACGATCCGATTCCATTGGTTGGAACGGCCAGCGTTGCTACATTGCTATGTGCTATCATCCCAATGATCCGAATACCGAGGCTGTCAAGCCGCTACTATGGGGTGTCACGCAGAGACCTTTTGATGGGAAACCAGGACACTGCGCGCTGTCGAGCGGTCTGGTGGAGACTCCGGTCGCAGCAGAGATTTACAAATAACTCTTCGCGCGAAAAGATAGACAAGCAACAGGCTTGCCTGGTGGCCCTGACGAATGGCGAGGCATGGGCATTTGCTCAACCTGCTCGCACGGTCCTGGGCCTGGGGTGATCGTCCCAATCCGAAGTGAAATAGAGCAGTTTTCAGTCATCTTGGCTTACGTCTCTTGAAATGCCAAATCGTTTATTGCCCGTTCCGCCAGCGTGGTCGTTTTCGAAGAGATGTATTGGCTTTTGCACGTGCTAGCCATTATCGATGCACCTCGACGAGCTCGTTTGATGCCTACGACGCCGCCGCCTGAGACTGCCAAAAGAGAGATACATCAGGCAACCGTCACCATCAATTTTACGCTGATTGAAGTGGAGATGATTGACTCGTGGCGGATGTTGCTCCAGAAATTTGAATGAACCTGCTGTCTCTGAAAACCATTGTTTGACAAAGTCCGAGATGATCTTTCTGACGCCGCCGGGCTAAGTCACGTATAGCACACGGAGAAAGGTGGGAATTAACACGCAAAGTGTAATAGAACTAGCTAAATCTATATAGCCTAGGAGGCTACTTTTATAGCTAATTTTGACAATGCTACAGGTAACTTTTACCGATAACGAAAGCTGTATGTGTCTAAAAATAGAACCCTATTCTTTGTCTACACCTATCTATGGCCGTACAGTGTGGCATGGGAACCTCTTCGTAGTCTTTCAGGACATTTCGATACATTAGGGGCTGCGTCAAGGTTCAAAGCATACCGTACCACTTATTTTGCCAAATGGTTCGGCGCCTAAGCCACGAATTCTTGAGAGCGATGAACCTATATCTCCGCCTGGGCGATAAGGTTAGACTTGGCCACAGAGCTACAGCCCAAATTTAGTCATTCCGTTCCCCAACGCTCTTAGTGGCAGTTACTCCCGCTTGTCTGCAACTTGACCTGCCTCGACTTCCTCGGCGTGGCTTACCACAACAACCTTTTCATCAATTCCGAACTTCCCCTGCAAGACATCGTTCGCCGCGTCTTCTCGCAGATGGCTTTGGTACTTGGGGAATTTACGCACTGACACACGGTTCAGGAACATCTCGTCAAGTTCCTCCAAGCTGCGGCCCTTCATCTCTGGCATGAAGACGAAGAAGAAGATTACACAGGCAAAATTTGAACCCGCCCAGACGTAGCCATATTTAGCGCCCTGTATGCAGTGTTAGTTTGGGTGTGAGGCTCCCTAGGAATGGGACCTTCAAACTTACCAGGCCCAATTCAGCAGGGTTGATGAAGTACGGTGAACAAAAGCTCACCAGCCATGCTAGAAGATATCCAATAGCGGTGGCGCTTCCGACTGTCCAAGCTCTCAGCCTCGTGCTGACCACTTCGGTTGCTACAGGGTAGCTGGCACCGCCGACACAGCCATTGTAGAAGAACTTGAAGAGTGCAATGAATGCCGTAAGCGTATTCGCCTGGATTCGCGCAGAGACACCGGCGCTTGCTGTAATAGCGGGTATAAGTTGGCACAAGCCACATGCACAGGCACCGAGGATCAAGATTGACCGTCGACCGAATATGTGGCGCATTGCGTACATGCCGACATTAACGCCAATGAACCCAATGCAAGACGTCATGATTGTGTACTCGAAAGGCTTGGTGACGCCGCCTTGCTGAAGGAAGTACGTCTGGTATGCGATTAGGAACCAAATGCCTGAAGCGGACTGGCAGGAAATCATTCCGTAGCAAAGGAGCGTACGACGAAGGTCGGTTCCTGAAACACGTGAGGTGTTGGTGAGCTGCATGGAATGAGCGAAAGCGATCATACCTCTGAACATATCAACCCAACCGACACTCTTCGCCGTCTTCTTTTCCTCTTCCATACCTCTCACCATCTCCGCCCACTCAAATTCCAGCTCCTCGGCTGTCAAGGCCGTGCCACGAAGTGTAACCAGGGATCTCTTCGCTTCGGCCTCTCTGCCCTGATGAAGCAGGAAACGAGGGCTTTCGGGGACGAAGAACAGACCAATCGCAAGAATCGTCGGGACAATGTACAAACAACCAAGAGGAATTTGATAGCATGACTTATCCAGTCGCCTTTTGGTGAAGTTGTTAACGGTGCCGCCGAGGATGCTGCCGATGTTCACCCAGTAAGCAAAGAGTGCCACGAGGACGCCACGGAGATGAGCTGGTGCTGCCTCGGAAGTATACACGTTCGAAAAGGTCACGAGGAACCCATTGGCAATACCAAGCAGGAGGCGACCGACATATATAGCACCTTTCGAAGTTGTCGCGATTTGAATGGCCACAGCAGCAGCATTCAAAACACAAGCAAGCCAGATGGCATTTTTCCGGCCGAAGTAAGCAGCAAAGACTCCAGCGAGTAGAGAGGAGATGAAAGACCCTAGTGTGAGCAGAGAGCTGATGAGCTGTTGGAAAGTAGGATCAATGCTGTATCCAATGGGACTCTTAGGGTTTTCGAATCCGAAGACCTTGAGGAAGCCTGGCATCGCTTGGAGGCCACCGACCTATTGCTCGCGAAGCACGTTAGCGATCTGAACCGGTCGAGGACGGGAGTGCGCTGCTCATCGAAATGATTGAAAGGAGACTTCAGGAGGACGTACCGCGGCCGTATCAAATCCATACTGAGTGTTTGCGATGCTCACTATGCAACAGATTAGAAGGCATTTCCGATTGGCCCATAGGCTCGACTCTTTTGTTTGATCGAACATGTCTTCGCTCTTTATAGACCAGGGAAATATAGGCAAAACAATTGGGAAAGGGAATGAAACAGTAACCCAAGCATGGCTTGAAAAAAAAAAGAGAGAGACCTGTGGCCCTTTATGCTCTCTCTGGATCCCACACTGCCACAGCAATCGGTGAACGTTAAACAGCATTGACTTGAAGACCAGCGCATAGGTTAAGTCCCACATTTTGAAGGCTGATTATGGGGCCCCGGCATCTGCTTAGGGGATGTGCTTTTTGACTTGGCGAAATGTGCGAATTATGACTGGCCGAATAGCTCAGACGGCGCGAAGTGTGAAAAAGGTGTGCTTTCCCAGCCAGGTGGAGGTATAAAAAGGCCTATACCGGAAGCTTGCCTCCCACATCGTAGTCCTACTGCTCCATCTTGCCAAGAGAAACGGCTCTGGCACTCGGTCTGTATGAAAGTACTTTAAGGGTGGATGTCTGAGGCCGCGGGAACGCACTAGCAAAAAGCGGACCAAGGCAGACCGAACTGCCTGGAGATTGCTAGACAGCATGCAAGCAATGGCTGTAGCTTGTCTTGGTCACAAGCGAGGGCCTCGAGCGCAGAAGCAGCCTTCGAAGTGCGGGGTGAGCAGGATTCGAAGAGTCCGAGAGACGTAGGATTCTGGTTGCCAAAGAATACAAATGCAGGTAGGGCGGACCGGGCGGAAACATAGCTCTTGGCGCCAAGATATTGGTTCTTGGCTCGCGGAGTCGGCGAGAGCGCAATCATCAATTGCCGAGAGACCGGCTAATAGAGGATACGTTCATCTCCGTATATTTCATGGTTATCATTCCACTCGCGTGGCTCGAATTATCTCACATGTACTATCGAGCGTCTCGTAGCGATGCTGAATGTTGTCGCTGAAGGTAAGCCATCGAGTAATACGAAAGAAAGTTGAGGAATTTAACTACATTCTCCCTGGGATCCGGAAATGGGTAGAAGTACAGATATGACTTTATGAGTTGCGCAATAACACGCGGCGATAACAAGGTATATCTGTATGGGGACCTACACTACCCTTTAGCCAACCTTCACATGTTAAATATAGTATAAGATCATCGACAATGGGGAGATTCTGCGTGCCTCACATCTCGCGACCAGATATCACCTGGGCTCGACCAACGGCGTTGCCAGGACTACGAGGTATAATCTCACTATTCCTAGTCCCAGTCACGGATTTTAGGACTCTACTCACCAGTCAGACATACTGTCCAGGTTCCGACGTCAGGCGCCGAGGGGCCAAAATAGGAATTAAAAAAGTGTTGCAGCCTTGCTTGTGAGCTGAGCAATTCGCGCCGTTCGATCATCCGGGTTATCTTCACCTCACTTTTCTTTTCTCTCCTTCTTAGATTCACCCCAACAATTTGGTATACACAGCTTTAAACCTTGGAACAGGCTCTCCGATCTCCAACGTCCCATAGCCAATCATGATAAAAGAGTCCTCGCGACCGATAAAGTTCTGTTTATCGGCTGCGGGGATCGGATATATTAGTATCGCCGACCAGAGGCCAGCTTCTCAGAGGGGATCTTGGGGTAATTTCTTCACCGGTGAGTGCCTTCACAAATGTCTTCGCGACTATCATACATACCCGTCCACGCTTTCTATCCAGATTCTCAGCGATACAGTCGAACGGAAGGACGCACAGTCAGTCCCATGACCTCTTTCTGGCCCTGGTATTCGGGGGAAGCATGAAAATGTCTCAATCGACCTCATTTTTCTAGGGCCCGGGAAGTTGTGGCGTGGATGTTGCTTGCCTGAGCTTATCTTTGGCATATTTACAGATAACCGGGAAGGCTTCTGATAATGTCGGCGTGGATGTCAGACCAATGTTTGTGGGATTCTTCACTCGATATGCCAGGTTGTCTTTTTGGCGAAGAGGGACAGTCGCATGTATGGTTGGCTCCTCGTTGGTTGACATTGCGACAAGGAGTTGGAGAGTTCAGAGAGCAAGTGGTTGTCGTCAACAGAAGTTCTTGACTCCTTCGCAGTGGGGTAGGAAGAGATGTAGTTGGTGTTGCTCTTCGCAGCGGAAATGACTGATGGGAAAGCACTTAATACTTCGGAGCCGAGAGATACCAGGACGTGAGCAAGGCAGACCGCCTCCGTGTCTACACGGAATAGGCTGGGCCACCCCGCGGTCCAGGTTCCGCATATACCATACACAGAACTCTCATTCCTTTCCTACTGTCCCGCCAAGCTCGGTCGCCCAGCACAGTGACCGTGCCTAGTCCGAGACATTCGACCAATCTATCAACTCATCCCCACGGCTTGGAATGTACAATTTACTGGGCAGGGAGATGCCTAAAATTGATCGTAATGCTCTGGTTGGATATGACTTGATATGAAGGCACATACGAAGCATGATCACAGCAAGATCAATGTTCCAACGCGCGAGCTCTGTCTGTTCTAGGTACTGAAATCAGTCGCCAACTCAGCCCTGTTCTCAAGTAATTCCAAACTAGCATATCCGTCGGTGAAGCAGACAGATCAACTATCCGGCTCTGCGTCCACGTTGCTTTTCTGACTAGATTCTGCGTCTGGCGAGGTCTCGCTCTCACGTACCCTTGCTGATTTCATGCTGCGAATTCTCCGCCGAATCGTGACTTTCGACATCCTCAGTAGTGTGTTGAATCGTCCGACCACCGATGGTGTCCTTTTCCATACGCACGGCAGTATGATTGGTCAGATACTGGGACGAATCCAAGACAAAGCAGGCGCAAATAATCGCAATCACACCGAAGGGGATTGTCGCCCAGAAGACCCTCTTGAACGCGTAGCCATAGGCCCCACGGAATGCCTTGATTGTGGCTTCTTGAACCCCAGGTGTGGCGCCTTCAACAGCAGCAAAAGCGTTAGGGACCCCGGTGGCAGCGTTCACCACTGCAGGCACCAATTGCTCGAGATTGGAAGCAGGGAATCCAGCTTCAAGAGCTGCTGCTATGACACGCCTGGGCATTTCAACGGTAACAACTGAGGTCAGGATTGTGTTGAAGATTGCGTTGCCAACGCTCCCACCGGCGCTGCGAAATGTACCGATGAGGCCGGATGCAATGCCGAGTTCTCGAAGCGGGACCTGCACCACGCTATTAGCCCTTGATCGATAGTGATGCCGCGATTTCGTCCAGAGAGGTGCAACTGCTAGCAAGGAAATGAGGAGGACTTACGTGAAGACCCGCGATAAAATAGCAGAGAAGTGTGATCATGCCAAAGCAACCTTGTCCGAAGAACTGAAAAGCCATCCAAGCGGATTTGCTCTGCGGAACTGCCACCGAGTACAGAGCCACGAAAACAAGCTGAATGGTCAGCGCAACAATGATCTGCATCTTGAGGTGCTTGATTTTGTGAGCGATTGCAGGCATGAGTGTACCGCCAACAAAAGTGCCCACCCCATTTGGTAGCTGAGTTAAGCCAATCTGAATTGGATCACTTTCGAACATGTACAGTGTGCCTTGTGGGAGAATACCGGCCATGGAGTAGAAGATCATTCCGGCGACAAACACGACAACGAGGAGAACTGTGAATTCACGATATCGGCGGAACAGGTCGAGCGGGAAGAAAGGTTGTTTCGGGACGGTAAAGTCGTAGACAAAACAGGCGATAAAAACAAGGACACCGATGACAATGGGTGCAATGACCGAGGCACTCTTCCAGGGGTGCGCAGGGGTTCCCGCCCATGTGAGCCCGACTAGGAAGACGGTCAAGCCAGAAGTGTACAAGACGATTCCCAAGTAGTCGATTTCCTTGATCTCCTGCCAACGGGTCTTCTCATAATCTCTTCGCGGGCGGGAGGGTGGAAAGTAGAATATGGCTGTTCCCACCACGGAAATCACCGAATATATGATCGCAATGTAGAAACACCATCTCCACGTGGCCTTCGAGACCAGTTGGTTGGCGATGATCACACCGCAAATGGCCCAGGGGATAGCCATGGCGCCCTCGGTCCATGCGAGGCCAACATTTCTAGTCTCAGGTTAGCTATGATTTCATGGGGTTGGTCTATTGCGTGGGTACCTACCGCCACTTGTTAGGTAGCAACTCTGGGATACCAGCATAGGCAACGAAAATAATGCCGGTTGCAAATCCCAGCAGGGTGCAGGCAATGACAACTCCCACGGTTGTCTTGGCTGTCGCACCAACAATCTACGGAGCCAAAGATGTCAGTCTCTCTTCCCTGATATTAGGCTTAGCTTTACACAAGACTCACTGCACCAACGACGGCGAAGAGCTGGCCGCTGAGTGTCACATATCTGCGGCCGAATATGTCGCTGAGAGACCCCGCAATGGAGAAAGACACCGACGATGCAATAGACCATCCACCGGGCATCCAAGCGATGTTGGAGGTGTCGCCCAGCTCGGAGCCGATCTGGAATAGGATCGCTGTTACTAGGAGGAATCCGCCGGAAACTGGTCCCACGAAGGCGAGGCCAAGAAACTAGACAGGATTGCCACGTCAGAGCCTGAAACCCGCAGAAGACACATGTTTACTCACGAAGATGGAAAGAACAGTGCTCCAGGTGAGCTTCTCAGGTTTCTCGGGGTTATCTTCCAAAGCAGCACGATGTGGGTCATCTTCGAGGTACACGTCTTTCTCGACCGTGTCCACATGGGCTGCGGAATGTGATTTTGCAGAGTCACTCATGTTTTGGCCGACGGTAAATTGGGACCACGAGTGAATATTCGCTCGTCAGGGATGAAGTTGGGAGATGTGAGACAGGCCTGCAACCATCAGGCGACCGAGTCCGAGTATATATCATCCGTGGCAATGGTTCGAGAGCTTCTGTTTTTCGCCAAAAAGAGGCCAGCCCCGCCCTTTCTCCAAAGATTGTGTGGGGAACCCCAGATTTAACTCAACCTGCCTCTCCATGTGCGTTGTTGTGGAGAATACCCAGTACCCACCTCTGGCTTCGTCACAATGTCGTCCTCTGTTCTTCCCAGAGCTTGAGCACGAAGTAACCTAGCATAAATCGGCTTGCTCTTTCTTCTGTAGGAGGAGGGCGAGCGGAGGGAAGGGTGAGTCGACGACAGGAGAATCCATCAAGGCCCGACTCCTTGTAACAAAATCTTGGAGCATCCTCATGCCTCTGCTCTGATTACATCTAGCTCCAGCTCGCAAGGTTGCCTCGGCCTATATCTTGTAGTTCCGTTGTCTAAACCTAAGGGCCCCACATGGAAATGCAGTGGTCAAAGCCCAATCATTTCACCCTCCGCAGACGAATGCGCAGTCTCTGGGCGATTAAGCGATTTAAGGGGAAGGTTGCTGGGCCGTGAACCCACCGGGCGCTCGGTACCGAAATTATGCTTCCATTTCGCAAAAACAAGTTTTCATGGAGTCGGAGGTTCAAACAAGGCTAGTCACCAGAAGGACTGACTGGAAGTTACCGAGTATTGAGCTGATCTTTCTCGACAGACGACGACCGGAGATCGGAATGAAAGCGACTTGGGCTTGACTCGCCGCCACCAAGTTGACATCCGCGCGGCTAACGTGATTCAAGATCGAAAAGAAGAGTATCAGTGTCAACAGACACTAGCTCGGGGCCAAAGTTACCTCCGGAAGCAGATTTATACCCGAATTTCGTGAAAGATTCGACTTGGGGGTGCATCTTATCGACAACACTCTCCCATGGTCGTATGTATGCTAAGATCGCAGGATAGGAATACGCGACGGCAGAAGTGCGGCTCGTGGCAGGACCGACTTTACTCCCTTTTGGCCATGGCAGTCACTCATTGTGTCGCAACAAGAAAGCTCATGCGTAGTTGACATTATGTAGAGCCGGGTTCCCTAGGAGGCTTTGTCGGAAGAATGCTACCGGTGGAAAATCGACCAATTCCATAGTGCAGCCTTTTTTCAATGGTCTCCTGCATTAAAGTATATATCACCATATGCTGGGCGACAAAAATGGGTGACATCTCGCTGGCATGATGGAGGAAGGCAGGCAGAGTGTTGAAGTGAGAGCTGTCATGTTGAATACGAGTAGCAAGACTTGCGGTTGGAATGCTGGGAAGGAATTATTTAGCTGACGAGGTGAATCAGCACTGTTGCCCATTAATAATCGCCTTTCCGCTGATTGAATCTGGCACCGTTCTTCACGTTCGGAACATTCCGAGCAGCCACATCCACTCGTGCTGCAGATCTTTCAGCAGCCTCTCCAGAACGCAATGTGTAATCAACTAGTTATCAAACTGGAGGGCATACCACCTCATCTAGCGTAGATCATCACAAATAAACTAAAAGTACATCTCCCGGGATAGCTTTTCTATCTCACTACCTAGCTGGGTACCGGCCTATCTCACCTCTGACACCTGCCACATTCGTGTTCCTTCCACCGAGAAGAGTAAGCCTAAAAGCATAATACATACAAACGCTCATCGAAAGGAAAAAGGACCGTTTCAGCGGTGCTGGCTGATATGAGAGCAGAATGGCTATACAGCCCAGCACTCCTAACCTGTTGTTTGGGGTGGGCAGAATCCCTGCTGCCGCACAGTTTACGGCTCGTGGAGCTCTTCGGATGGATCTCCTTCAGGCTGTTCAAATGGGCTTACAACATCAGCAAGAGCTGTTTCAAAAGCCCGGGCATGTATTGGCCAAAGTATGTGACGGAAGTCCTCTGATGTCGTTCTGATTGTAGTGTCACAACTTCAGGATGCTTGAGCTACGTACAGCTGCCGCAGCGGCGGGGGCCCTTTCCAACTCAGCATTTCCATAGACTGGCTGAGACGCTCACTTTCGTCGGGCAAGACTGATAATATTTGCCGTGATCCGGAGTCATCTATCCAAAGGGGCTGGCAAGAGTAAGCTTAGTAGGTAGTGAGCCGGGGCAGCATTAGGGGGCCGCCGGGCTAATGAGGCTGAAAATTCAGGGGGTCATGGACAGCCCGAAGCTGACTTCTGCCCCGGACAATTGCCCCGCCATTCAACAAGCAGTGCGGCAGTCTCGGTAGCTTTCCGCCTCCACCAAGCGTCTTGGTGCCGTCCATCGAGGCGTCCTTAAGGTGCGTAGCGGGTCTTCATTAGTCATTGCCACAAAACGAGATGTAAGCAGGGTGGATGCCCTTAAGAATTCTCATTGTTGTCCTTCACCAATTCAAGAAAGATATTTCTCTTCCTCCTGCTTTGCCGTATCTCCTCTTCCAGAATGCCAGGGGCCCGCCAAATCTCTGGGCGCAAAACCACAGTGGCAGCAAATGGGACAGATGGCGAGACACAACAGGCACCGTCTCAACATCCTCGAAAGAGAAGTCGATATACCCCCCATGCTTGTGAAAAATGTAAAGCCGCAAAAGTGAGATGTGACGGGCGCCTTCCCTGTAAACATTGTGCTTCTCGAGAAGCCACTTGTCTCTATAGCGCTCAAGCGCCCCCCAACTTCCAGGTACACGAGCATCGACCAGGGTAAGAACATACTCATGTTCCTTCCTTGACAGGATCTGACCATTGTAGGGAAGACGAGCGCAAGTTCGAAGCCGAAGTTTCAGCACTCCTCCAACAACAAAACGAGAAGTTGGACCTCTTGATCAAAAAGACAACAGCGATTGAAGCTGCTTATGAAGCGGCTGAAAATCGTCTCTCAAAAGCCGACACTGGCCTATCGCCGCAGAAACATCCTTTGCCCCTCTTCCAAACATCGACCAGTGCTTTCTTTTGCATCAACGTCATTGATGCAGGTGTCAGAAAGCTCGGACTGGACGTCTCACAAGCGCGAAGCCCGCACAATGGGTACATCACTGCCCAAACGCGCACCGCCTTGTCGATCATCCACGGTGAGGTTGTCGACGGTGAGTCAAGTGACATCAGTCGAAGCGAACTGGAGGATGTCGCGGAATCGATCTCAAAGGGGAGTGCAGGCAATCAAGATGCTTCTCCACCTCTGAAACTGGTAGATCCGCTGGATGAGATAGACCGTCATCTCCTCTTACAGGGCGTTCAAGCATTTCATGATCTGGAATGGGTCATGTACCCTATTCTGGACATTTCCGACTCTAAAGACATTGCAAGGTGCTTCTCGGAGGTCTCTGGAGGTCTCGTAGTCCGAGGAAGGACATCCAGTATCAGCAAGGAGGACTTAGCCATCCTAAAAATGACCGTGGCCATTGGCCTCCTAGCTGAGGGTGATACCCATCAAAAACTCACGGCTAGGTTGTTACTGTCTCTTCACTTGGAGATCGAAAATATGATATGGAATGCAGCGGTTGACCTGAAAGACCTGGTACTGATGACCTTGGTGGTATGCCTTGACTTCGTCCACGGAGTATCAGGAACATATTGACTAATACTTGATACTCCAGATCTTGTACCACGTGCACTGCGCTCGATGGAGGCTGGCTTGGAGATTTACGACGAATGTCAGCCGCATTATCCTTGAGTTGGGCCTGAATCGAAAAATGGTGCTTGATCGCTCTTTCCCAGACACCAAAAGTCGGTCACAGGCAATCAACACTATCTGGACGGTATTTGTCCTCGAACAACATCTCAGCTACGCCTTGGGTTTCTCAAATGCAATGCAAAACCTACATCCGGAATCGAACTTCCCTCAGCCGGTGAGTTAAAATCCCTGATCAGGAACGTACATGCTACTGATGTAATTATAACGTAACTGGAGCGCATCCCACTAACATGATACGCTCAGATTGAAGCGCCCTTTTTGCAGCTCATGATCGAGTACGCAAGTATAGGGAAACAGTCCTGCGACGCACTCTTGAGCGACAAGATCCTTAATTCCGAGCAACTCACTACTTTCCAAGATGACTATGCCTATTTTCTCTACAGAGTAAACTTGTGGGCGACACGGGCTTCCGAGAATTTCGAAGCCTTTACTCTCGATGACAGCACCCGTCTGGGAGTACAAATGGTGCGTACGACTCTATACATACGAGCCAAGCACCTCAGGACACTGATCGCTCGGGCCTTCCTGTGCTCTGGCCTTCGCAATGCAGCACCCTCGGATATCTGGATCACGTCAGTGGATGTTGCCGCGGACACGGTCAAGATTCTTACTCAGCTGGATTCTTCCACGAGAGAATACCGTTTTCACCAAGCGCAATTCAATCACTTCCTCATTTCTGCTTTGGATGTCCTCCTCTTCGCAACTACCCACAAGTCATCTGGCGTGGGGTCTCCTTCTGCGAACGGGGAGGAGCTTTCAGTCCCCGACGAGATTGCTCAAAAGGCCCGACAGAGCTCGGCAGCTGCGCTGGGCCGTCTCCAAAGGCTGGCTGAAACTTCGGTTCAGTCCAAGTACCTATGGGAAAGAATTCGAGGCGTAGCTTCACGCCTCAACCTTTCTGGCCACCTCTTCTCAGCATCAGTGCCGGAAGCCGAAGCTCTCACTGCACTGGGACCTGAGATCGAGATTTCTGAATATGCAAAAGCTGTCACTGAAACTCAGTTCGGCGGCAACGTGTTACCGCTCACCGAAGTTGGCCCAGATGAAGGTCAGAATGGGTTGATGTTCCCGTTCCTATCTGAAGACCCATCTATATGGGGGTTTCAGCTGCCAGCCTCTTCAGAACCTGACTTTGGCTTGCCTCAAGACCTTGGAACGCTGGTCAACAATTTGTGGATGCCGTGACACATGACCAGAGGGTGTGGTTTTAGCTCTTTTCAAGAAGTTTTTCCGGCATCTCAAGAAGCATCGAGCTCAAAAGCTCACGTGACAATGGACATGGGGGTCTATCGAAGCAACTATGCATATATCACTGTCATATTCTGCCGTTATCTATCCAATTGGTGTGTTTGGAGTGTCATGGATCCCTTGGATAGGCCCACGCGCGACAGTTTCTGTCCTGTCCGGATAAATGAAAGCACTGTCTTCCCCTATCTTTTACTCTCTGCTTGTGAACCTTATGACGGGGCCCGATCTTCCCGCTGCAAGATGATCAAGCAACTTGTACTCTACGACTTCCGGGCTCTTCCTAAACCGATCGTCCTTGCCACCGGCCACATACTCAAGATTGTATTTCCAGACCGACCGAGCAATGACCAGAGAAAGCTCCATAACGGCCAATCGCTTGCCAATGCACTGTCTCGAACCGTACGAAAAGGGCGTCAAGGCATCATGGCACCGTTTGACGGCGTCTTCGCTCGTGTACTCAGGCAGCCACCTCTCGGGGATGAACATGTGCGGGTCGAAGAAGATGTCTTCGCAATGGTGGACCGCGTAGACGGGAACCGAGAGCTCGACTCCAGCAGGGAAGTGTTCGCCGGCCGCGGTGAGGCCGCCCTTTAGCACTTCCCGGGGCAGGACGCCCGGGAGGCTGGGACTGAGGCGGATCGTTTCGTTGATGACGGCGTAGAGATAGCGGCAGCCGTCAAGGGCCTTACCGAGCCGGATCTCGTCGACCGAGTTGAATGTGGAGCGGATCTCTTCCCCGAGACGCTTCAATGCGTGAGGATTCTTGGTCAGATAGAAGAAATTCGCTGCCAATTGTGTGGCCGTTGTATCGGACCCTGTCGCAAAAAAATTTTGCGCATTTTGTGAGTGAACATTACTCCTCTCACGGATTCCCCGTTTGAACAAGATAGGTAAATGTGAAAGCAATCAGGAGATAATGACATACCACCCAGAATAAGGCCCCTCGCTTCCGCAAACACTTCCTTAGAGTCAGCGTATGCCTTGGTGCCGTCCTTGTTCTCGGCATTGGCAATGTACGAGAAGAAGTCCTTGCGATTCTGATCGGCGCTCATGCGCAGCTGGACCTGCTTCTTGGCGTAGACGAGCAGCTGCATGCCGCGACGGACAATGTCTGGGAAGAGGAGTTTGTCGAGGTTCCATCTGAGCATGAATGGGCTGCATCCGTTCTGGATCCCTGGTGTCAACCAGCCGTAGGGCCCCTTGAGAGCTTGCTTGCCCTCCCATCTCCGCGCAGGAAGCACAGATAGATGGCTGGGAGGATGGGTAGATTGGGATGGACTCTTACAAGAAGTTGCCGATGCACCGCCGCGTCAATGACATCGGGCAGTTCTCGACTTTCGTTTCCCCTGAGCATCCCAAAGTCCTTCCCGAAGACCAGATCGCCCATGACATCAAATGTCAGGTAGTTGCCCCATTTCCCCAGATCCGCGGTCCAGCATTTCCGTGATGCCGAGAAATGCTCTTCCCCTGACGCCGCGCGGAAGAATTCGTCAATGTGCGGGAGGATATATGGTTCCATGGAGCACAGGTTTGCTTCGGTGAATGCCGGGGCAAGGATGCGGCGTTTACGGGCGTGGATATCGCGGTCGCGGGAAGAGAACATGTTCTGGAAGCCATTGTGCGCGATTGAAGCTTCGTAGAAGGAAGATTTGCGCACGTTTTGGTTCACGCCGTAGATATCTGTTCGAACCCAGTCAGGGCCTTTCATCTTTGTCGGGAGGGTTTGAATTGTCGGCCTTGTTCTAATAGGCACGTTTAATCGGCGTCCGTACCTTTGATTGCTGCTGGGTCGTTGATCGTCACCAGATTTGGGGCAATGCGAACAAATTTGCCTATCCAGAAGAATAAATATTTCGTCAGCCTCGTTTGTTCCGATCACTGTTCCATGCTGCTCGTCGCGCTTTTCGTCACAAGCATCTTTAAAAACATGGCATACTTCTGAAAGTGCGTACCAAATCTCTTGTGACCCCAGTAAGTCTGTAGGTGCCTGTCGCCAATGGCGGCATGGTATACGGAATACCAATTCGTGATCCTGGCCCAGAACGGGCCAGGGTACTTGGCTAATGGGTGGAAGTAAAGCCTATAAACGACTATGCCTAGAATCTGCGGACTTCGTTAGTGTCAATGGACTGTCGAGGTTGGCAAACGAAAAGCTGGTGGTGGTCCGGCTTTGTTCGAGGTGTAGGGCATACATAGAGAAATGTCGTCCCAAGGGCAATAACGACTAGCAAGGGGACAACAGCATGATAGAGTGATTTCTCCTTCCCCATTGTGGACTCTGCTGAAAGGGATGTGGACAACATTGTGGTAGTCGACGTTACCAGAACACTGTTCAAGAAGGTCGGGTCACTTGATTGACTTAACTAGATCAGCCATGTCTTCTTTGTGGCTCTCAGTACGGTATTGGAGCCATGTAGCTCCTTATACGAGGCTGCGCTTGCAAAGAAGCTTGCGTCGTGATCATTGTTCCGAGCCTGATTACTCTCCCCATGTCATTGTAAAACCCCGAGGTTTTCTGCTTGACTGCACCCTCCTCTCCCCCTCCCCTCCACCCAAAGATCGAGGGAACCAAAGGTACTTTCCGTGCCTGGTGGCAGGAGGAAGGAGAAATACAGCAGGTCATCGAATCAGAGAGCTTCCCACGCGTTATTCGCCCACACACTTGGAGAGAATTACGAATTTGGATTGTCCGGAGCGCCTGACCAAGTTCGGAACATTCCGAACGGTGTCGCTTGGATCTGGTATGTTACAGCCCCAATGCTGTGAGGGAGCTGACAAGGGTTGAACCTTGTAGAGCGCGTTGCTGGACATATCGCTAAAAGAAGTAGGAGCCCAGTGAACCATCCGACTGCAACGAAGAGCATCTCAGACGCGTATGGAGCACAAGAAACCATCTGGACTCTTCATCGTCCTAAATCATTACAGCTGAGTCCTCCGAGGTGATCACGTTGGATATGCAGAACTTACAGGTAGCCTCCACATCCCAAGTGATACTATGATTGTCAGCATTGTTTGGAGTTAAAAAAGGGTGGTGGAAAATGGCGATTGGGCTCATGAGGCTGTCAGTTACCTAGTTAGGCAAAACGCAGCCTCGCCAGCTCACCCCTCACCGCGGGGTCTTATGGCGGCGCCGAATCCGTGTGTCGATTGAAAGGGGGCCCAACTGCTGTCGCAACGCATTTTGTAAATAGGAGTTTGGTATTTCTGATGTCTAACTCAGGCAGCAATATTTAGGGCCGAGAAGATACGACAGTGACTATACCCTACCTAGGTATCGTTGAAAGTTCTCTGTCCTTGACGCATAAATATCGTCTCTCCTTCATCCTCCGTTCTCAATCCGAGCACCTCACAACTCGAACAGTAGTCTCCTGTCACATCTGCAACACATCAGCCGGTCCTAATTGCCTCTTCAGGCACACTCTAAAGGCACGAGTCCACCAGCATGCAGTCCGGAATCACAGGTAAATTGTCATCTTCGCCTGCGCGTGGAATACACTATTTGTGAGACTGATCATCATCTTTCTTCTACCCACAGCCTCCTCCGACCTTCACTCGGCATTCACCACCTTTACCAGCGACACCTCTCTCTTCTGCCTCCCCGCCGGCATAACTTCCGAATCTCTCACGCCTTTGCCGGTAATCCGCTTTCCTTCCTCCCATTCCGGCCTCTTCAATAGCATCCATACTCTCTCTGACCTCCTCACACCGACCGATCCCCTCTACTTACTCCTGCGTCGTGCTCCCAATTCCAATGAGCTGATAGCAATAACATACATTCCTTCACGTGCCCCAGTGCGGCAAAAGACTCTCTTTGCATCTACACGTACCACGCTCATGCGCGAACTCGGTTCAGAAAAATTCTCCGAGACTGTCTTCTTAACCGAGAGGGAAGAGATACTCGATCCCGCGCAATGGGATGAACGTTCCAAGGGCTCTGCCGCTGCGAGCGGTGGAGTCCCTACTTCCAATGCCAGGGGAGGTGTTGATGCCGGGTTACTGAGTGTGGAAGAGAGGGAATTGCAAGCTGTGAAGCGAGCTGAAGAAGAAGAGAGACATGGGACACGAGGGAGAGATTTGATGGGCGAAGGAGGAAGCGGTGCGGGACAAGGGAAAGGTGGTGTGATGATGAAGATTGCAGACGAAGCCAAGTCTGCGTTGACCGGGTTCAAGAGCACTGACAGTTCGGAAGGCAATATGGCAGTGTTCGGGATTGATATCGCTACTGAAGAGATTCAGCTGTTGTCCACGAATTCCGGTGTTCTGCCAGGTGCGGTGGCTGGAAAGATTCCAGGGGATCGACCGAGTTATACATTTTACAATGCACAGGGTGTGCCGGGAAGTATATTCATTTATGTATGTCCCGGCACGAGTAAGATCAAGGAAAGGATGATTCATGCAAGCTCAAGGCTGGGGATGACGAAACTCGCTGGGTGGGAAGGCGTCGAGATTGTGAAGAGGCTGGAGGCTGGGGATCCAGACGAGTTAGGTGGTGAGAGGTTGGAGCACGAGGTCAAGGCCTTGATCGCCGCTGTAAGTGTCACCGGTGGAGTTGCTGGTGTAGAAGGCGGCGACAACTCGGCTCCCGAGTCAGGAACGGCAACACCCAGAGGAGGATTTGCCCGACCAAAAAGGCCAGGGAAGAGGTGATGGTGAAATGAGTTGTATTCGGCAGCAGGACAGCCGTCCCAGGTGGGAAAAGGGAGTTCGCATCACGCACTTGCAAAACAACTTCACTTCTTCGAGTCATATGCGGCGCTGATCTGAGTTCCAAGACAAACGCAACCAAAGAGATTGGACGAAGAGAGCGAAGAACAGATTGAAACAAGTCGCTGGTCGCGTCGAAGCCCCTTCATTCACTGGCTTGTTGATTTTGAAGCTGCCCTCCTTCTCCGAGAACTTCAACTTTGCCTCCATTCTCTGTATTATTCCCAGCTTTGAACCCCGAACGACCCAACACGGGCGATTTTGCTCTGCTCGGCATCAAATATGTGATTTGCGCCCCTGACCTCGAATTCATCACTGACGTTAAATGCGGTCCTTCTGTGTGATCTGAGAACTGCCGATGCAGATGACAGGATCATCTCCGTGAGGAGATGTCACCCAGACCTAGATCTCCTCCTAGGGAGAATCAAGAGTCGACACTGGGTTGCCACAATATTCCGACATGCTTTGGCGGGATTCCTGTGTCTCAGCCGAAGCTTTCGTAGTGCGCCTGTGCCTGGACATCACTTGAGGCTGTATCATCTCCCCCCAGAGCCAAGGCACTGCATATCGAGCTTAGAATGGTCACTCCGTTTGGCTTGAACTGGCAGATTTCAGCGCATCGCAAGCTTCCCTCCCCTGGATCCAAGGCATCGCCGTATTTCTAATACTGTTGACTTCTGAAATTCTTCTTTTGATAGAACAGATCCGTCCTCGAAGATCCCAGGTTAATGATCTTCGGGCACCCGTCCCTGTCTTTTTCCAGCCTCGTGCACTCGAAGCAGTAGAATGCGTCAGAGATTCCTTCGCCGCCGCAGACGATACATTTGTTCTGGTAGTTGCCGAAGGAGCATTCGTCGCAGATTCGGACAAGAGTTGTGGGGCGCACGTAGGAATCGCAGACGGGGCATTTGCCGTCGCACTTGTCGCAAAGGCGGCCGATCGAGATGCCGGGGGCTTTGCGGCACATCACCAAGTCGGGATGATGACGCGACATTGTTGTGGTGTTATTTGCAGGGGTTTAACGAAGGTGGCTAGAGGTGATATGTGGTTGTGAGTGATTGAGGGAAGAGTGAGTTAATGTAAGATGTTGTACTTTTAATAGCTGTGCCGGGTATGCGAGACAGAAATCAGAAACGCATCGAAAAAAGTCCCGCCCCGCAGCCTTGCGCGAATTTCTAAGCCTCGTCCTCTTCCCCGCAACAGCCAAAAGCGGCACGTGCAGCCAGGAAAACATCTGTGGAGCTCCGCCTGCAAGCCCCATTCGATGTTTCTGCATCTCATTCATATCGACAGCCTGATTGCCCAAGCACCCTACTTGAGGGAGTAAGGAGCACAGGCTTTGCGCACTACAGAGTATAGACTGAGCCATTTCGTCATTTTGTTCGTCCCGCGCACAATGATATCCTCAGCTGTCCTGATCCCCGAGGAACCCCAGGTCGATCATGCAGAGCAAAATGGCTCCCTAAAGCGTCGTCAATCCTCCGTCTCCGAATCCTCAGATTCAAACAAACGCCCTCGCCTTGACTCTCAGACATCGGCAACTGCATCGAACAATGGCGGTGCCTCACCGACGGCGCCATCAGCATCCTCCCCAGCCACTGCAACAGCCGGAGGAGGACATCCATCGGCAATGTCTCCTCCTCCGCCTCGCCGGCGACAAACATCTTCGAGCCTAGAACAGGACAAATCGCGCAATCGCCGACTCTTCGGTGCCTTGCTCGGCACCCTTTCCCAATCTTCAAATGCTCCCAGAAGATCCTCCGCCGGAACAAAATCAAACAGCTCGACAACGCCGCTAAATGCTCGACGCGAAGAAATCGAGTCTCGCCAACGGGAGCGGTTAAAGCGTGAGTCCCATGAAATTGCCGAATCTGCGCGCCTCAAAAGGGAACAACTCGAACGTGAGCGACGTTTTGAACAGTTGCGCTGGGATGAAGAAGCAATGAGATTGAGACATAGGAATATGAGAGCTGCCGCGGGATTTTTGCAGACAAAGGCAGAGCCGCGACTATATTATAAACCCTGGGAATTGCGCGACTCCGAGGAAGACGCAATTAAACAGCAGATTGAGGAAGTGGACGCGAGGATTCAGCGAGAAGCAGACGAGTTTGAGGAGAAAAAGAAGGTGAGCGGAGAGGAATTTAAAAGAGAAAGGAAAAAGGATAAGGACACTGAGCAACCGCCGGGTTCGATAACAAGCCCGCCTAAAGCTAGCAGCACGGAGAAAGTGGATGATCGCCAGAATGCTGAAGGGGAGGCCGATAACCAGACATCTAGAGATGAGCGATCAAACCCTGGTGGTGAAGAGAGGAATGAAGGTGATCAACCTTCCCCGCGCGAGTCATCTGGTCCTTCGAAAGACAATGATGTTCCGGCGAACACCAACGAAATCGAAAGGCGACGCAGCAGCAGTAGCAAGGACCAGGACGACCATGATCATGGCGGCGAAGAACTCGAGCGGGGACAGGAGGATGATGTAATATACTGAGCCCGCATATTTTGGGGTTCGACGTCCACAATCGTGTCAGCTACATATCACTTCGTTGGATGTTGCTCTGGAAAGAAAAGAGCAGGCAGGAGACCCCGAGCGCATGGAGCAACATTGCATAGAGTGCATGTTTCTCGACAGGAGTGTTACAAATGCCAATGGCTATCCGTGGGAGCCCGCAATGGAATCAGTTCCTTGACCAACCGCTCTAGGAGATATCTGCCCTAACAAGCGTAAGAGTACCCTGCACCTAGGTATTGGGTTTTCAGCTTGGCGGGCGTATAATTTCCATCGACGGTTAGTATGACGATTCGTCGGACTGCGGTGGGCAGGCTTATGTCATCGTACCACGTGCAGGACCCGTTGCTTTTCCTCTCGGGCCGAGTTCGTCATCAAATCAATTCGCCTGCATTTCTTTTCTTCCTCTTCCCATTCTCTCTCTACAGGTAGGCCTGTTGGCTATAGCAGGACCACAGCAAGGTCCTGTACCTTTCTCCAGGCCGTTTCATAGTCTTTTGGTTACACAAAAGTGATCTACTGCTTATGCTATCATTCTTCGATTTTCTGACCTTCAAACGTGTCATCGCCATACATCATACACTAGCTCGTGAACGGAACTGCTTGGCGTCGTGACTTTTGAGAGGAAATTCAATGCTATTTGATCTGTCTGTCGATCTGGGCCTCATATTCGTCGAGAATGGAGCCACGCGTCACGACAAGCGACAAGATGTCTGAGACTTCCTCTATCAACGTTCTGACCTTGAATTGCTGGGGACTGAAATATATCGCCAAACACCGGAGCGAACGTTTATCCGAAATAGGCAATCGCCTTGCTACCTTTTCTCCTCAACTTGATATCGTTGGCCTGCAGGAATGCTGGACATTTGCCGACTACCAATCCATCCGAGACAGCACTCGTTCTTTCCTTCCGTACGGCAAATTCTACCATTCCGGCATCTTCGGTGGTGGTTTGGCCATCCTCAGTCGATGGCCGATCATAGAATCTTCTATGTATCGTTATGCTCTCAATGGCCGACCGCAGGCCTTTTTCCGCGGCGACTGGTTTGTCGGGAAGGGCGTCGCATGTGCCAGGATTTCACTGCCCGATGGCGTCAGTATTGAAGTTTTCAATACACATTTGCATGCCCCGTATGAAAGGGAACCGAACGACAGCTACATTTGCCATCGTACAGCACAAGCATGGGAAATTGCTAAACTCATGCGGGCAGCTTCCGATAGAGGCAGCCTAGTCATTGGCCTGGGCGATTTCAACATGGTCCCACTCAGCTTTGCACATGTCCTGGTGGAAAGCCGAGCTGGCGTTCAGGACGTCTGGCGAGTAATGAAACCTGGAAGCAGCATCGGTGCCAGCGTGGATCCGCCTGAAAAGGAGCGGAGAAAACGGATGGGTGAAGAAGAGACTCCGAACGTCGAGACAAGTCTTGGGGAGCATGGCCACACGTGCGACTCTATCTTGAACACTTGGCGGTGGAACAAGGCCCATCAGAAGCAGCTGGCGCAAGGCCAGGACCGGAAAGTCTCAAGCACGGATTTGGATCCAAAAGCAAAGCGACTGGACTACATCTTCTTTAGCGGTATTAGCAAGGGTTGGAGAGTTGCCGATGTGAAAGTTGCGCTGACTGGAAGACACTCGACTCTCCTCTGTTCGTTGAGCGACCATTTTGCTGTGCATGCGACGTTAGAGAGGAGCCAAAGTCAACCACCTACTCCTGCTGGAATTGAAGCCCATGCAGCCTTGCACAGCTCGAGCGCAGAAGACCCTAGTCTTCAGACGGCGGATTTTGAGGAAAAGGATTTCGTCAAAGCAATATCCGACATACCCACGCACAGCCAGATCGGCCAGGACTTCTACAGAGACATTCTCGCCATGATCCACAAATACACATTGCGGGAGAGGAAACAGCGACGTAATGGTCTTCTGCATTTCGTTGGCTCCGCGTTGGTGTCAATTGGCTGCTTCATCGCCATCTGGTGGTCACCCCGGAACTTTGTGTCCTTCATTTTGATTTTGCTAAGCAGCTTGGGCCTGATGGCTGGCACACTACATGGATTAATCGGGGGGCTCTTTGTGGGGTCCGAACTGAGAGCCCTCGCCGAGTTCGAGTGGGAAGTTCGAAATGCGCTATGCCTTGCAGGCGGTCCGGCCTTGGATGATCGATCATTCAAGTTGAAAGACTGGTACGACTGAAGACGACGAGGGTTTATCCATGTGCAGGAATGTCCCTAAGAGCATCAATAGCTGGTCGACGGGTGACCTTTAAATTGCTTGGACAAGCGCCTCGCGACAATGGCGCTTAAAGCCACCAAACAACAGTGGGAGCTGCAGTCGACGAATGGAGAGAAAAACACCTGTGGAATTCGAAACACGCCCTGGGAGCAGAGTTGGCAGCTTGAAGAGGAATATGGAAGGAAATTGTGGGTGTCGCAAGTGTTGTGGGTGTGTGTTGGTGTGTGTTGTCTCTTTGCCTTGATCATCCGACCGAATTGCTCTGTTGGCGATGCGATTGGATTCGCAACGCACGCACCTCGACACCCCCAAAAGGGCCAAACTCCCACTCTCACTCTCCTCGATCACGTCAACCCTTTCACCCTCCATCTCACAACCAACACCTTCTCCTATTCTGCTCTTTATCTCAATCCGGTCGCCTAGTCGTTATTGATCAACGGGATTATTTTCAGGAAGTTAGCACGCCTCAATTCCAAGGTACGTACACATGTCTTCTATCTTATCCGGTGTTGTTGCGCTACAGCTTGGAGCTGGTTGCCTGCGAAGCGCCTCCCACCACTGCTTTGCCATTCCTCCCGTGACTCATAAGGCGTCGCGAGCGCCTTATCCGTCGTGATTCTAAGTATTATAAATATTGCTCGTTTGCCCACCAAGTTGTGGCCATATCTTCTTCTCCCGCGTCACTCGGCGCCTTGTCACCCCCGCTTTTGGGCAGGTCAACCACGACTGCAGTCACTTTACAAGCTGACACGTCGCCTTATCTAGTGTCTCAAAACCGCGTCCTCACCGTCCCACCCACATACAACTATCAAAAACCATATCCACACAAGCCCAACCAGACAAAACCCGCACCAACAATGGCCCAAACCCGCGGCGCAACCGGCCACTCCAAGCCAAGAGTCTTCACCACCGTCTCGACTGAGCCTGTCCGCAAGCGGCAGACCACGGCCGCCACCACGGGTGGCACTACCAAAAAGCGTAAGACCGCTTCCAAGAAAGCAGGTGCAACGACGGCCAACGCAGGCGTGACGAAGAAGCGGGCGCCTGCGACGCACCACAAGAGAAAGCCCACACTCGCGGATAAGGTCGAGGGCGCGGTTGAGAAGGTCGTCGGTATTGTCGAGGGAAAACCTGGCAAGAAGGCCGCAGGCACGAAGAAGATGAGAGGCACGGATGGGAAGGGGAGTAAGGTGGCAAAGACTGCGAAGATCGAGGCATAAAGAGGAGTTGGCCTTGGTCTGGAGATGGAGAACATATACGGAGTTATGTTGGTCGATATGATATGATCAGAGAACCTTGGAGTGCTGGTCTGATCCTCTTTGATACGGGTATGTAACATGCATGCTGAGCTGATTTCTCCTCCCCCTCCCTCCGACCAGCTGGAATGACATGGCATTGCATGGCACAACATGGGATTTTCGCCCGGCCTCAATGGAATGGATGGATCTATTCTATCTCATCCGCACACCCCCCTCTCCTTCATCACGATTCATTCCGACCTTCGTATCAGGCTCAGGCTCAGGCTCAGGCTCAGCAAACGACATGACATGACGACGGATGGGAATGGGAGTCCGCGACGATTCACTACGCACATGATCTTCTGGTTCTGGCCCTGGATAACTGGCACCGCAAGCGGAGCCCCATCGTAGCTACATATCACCTAACTACATACAGATACAGGTACACATGTATGTGGGGGACTCGCTGGTGAGCTACACATAATATTTACCTTAAATAGCGTGGGAAATTGTCTTGTGCAAGTCACAGCCAGTGAACATTTTGTTTCCGGTTCTTTTTGCTTTACTTTGCTTTTGCTTTTGCTTCGACTTTGGCTTCGACTCCACGAGCAAGCATCATGACTTCTTCCCGGCCTCTCTCAACACCCGACAGGAATAGACTGCACAGTACAGTCTCGCCAGCGCCGCAGCGCCCTCCGTCTCACCTGATCTGAGCTGAGCTGAGCTGAGCCGACCTCGTCCTAGATATACTCAACATATCACTATGTTCAAGTCTGGGTATCCTCGATCGTTTGATTAGCAGGCTAGGTATGCGTCTCGTACATACGTGTTTACGGAGTACATACGCTGCAGAAGCGAATAGATCGCTTACGATGTACCGTCGACACAAAGCGGGCTGTGTGTTTGCTGGATCATCGTTCAATGGCTGAGTGGCCGGTTGGTAGGTGTCTTTGGCGAGCCGCCGTTGGAATTGTACCGAGTACCGTATACTACTTCATGAAGGGAACATTTGAATTTGTACTCGGTGATTGCATTTTTTTTCTATCTGCTGGCGCAATAATTCTTGCATGGTGCCTGTGGGTATCCCCTTTCACTCGCAAAATCCATTCTCTCAACTTGGGAATAATCACATAACGCCGCCTTGTTGATTTCGAGAATGTCACTACTCCCGTCCTTTCCTTTCCCTTTCGTTCAGCAACGAGGTATTTGTGACCCTCGTACCCCTTTTGCACCAGCCCTATTTTGCGTACCCAAACCAAATACCCCATTCCAGTGTAATCTGCCCGCCCTCCAATGCGCAACAATGTTCGACGTACAATACAATCTAGTCGTCACTTCATGCGTCGTGCTTAGCCTTTGATTCATTCGTCTCATGCAGTTGCTGTCGTTGGTGCAATTGATATCAAGCTCCAGCCAGATCTGGCAAACGCAAGTCTTTGTAGAGACGCGGTTCTCTATCAGTCATCTAGACTATCCCGTCTGTCCCTTCTGTACCCGCCCGCTCTTGGCGGTCCTTGGCCACTCAAGCTCGGAAGCGGATGATGATAGCTCTTAGTATTTTGACTTTGCACACTTTGCACATCAAAATCCTGCTGGGCGTGGAACGATCCAGGCACCGTGCGGATGGGGCGTTGAGGGCTGGCACTCTTGTTCGGTGAATGATATCTGGCTGGACGAGGAATAGGCGATGGCGCAGCAGCTGGTGGCGGAGTCGAAACGCTGAAGCCGTCTTCTTGGCCGTATGAGAAATCACGCCGTGATTGACGTTTCTCAGGACTATGTTGACGAGAAGATGATGCTTGTCGGTTGCTGTTGCTGGCTATGTCACTGCCGCCACGATCTGTCTCGGTATAGTCGGTGCCGTAGAATTGAGCGTCCGAGTCCTTGTTGAGACCACCCACCCGTGCAGGCTTTTCATGTCGATACGCCCGGACATCGTAGTCATGGCCACCTTCCCAGGGTGCTTCCTTGGCTTCTCGGATCTTCTTCTCTTTGGGCGTCTCTTTTTTCTTCTTGGACTGTTTCTCCTTGATGATCGGTGCTTCGGAGGACAGCTCGGTCATTGTCTCTGTCATGCCTTCGGTCATGGTATCTGGTATTGTCGCCGTGTCTTTGTCTGAATATCCATCGCCTACAACGCTTCCGCCACCCAGCCTCGTGCTCTTGGTTGCGTTACTTAGAGTCGTTCCATTGGGACCCTTGCGTCTCAAGACGGTAGATTTATATTCCTCCCAGTCACCCTTGCGCCATTTGAAACCACCGTTCTTGGCCCAGAAAAAGAACCAAATGGCACCGAGTACAAAAGAAGCCCCAATGATTGCAAAGAGCGCCTGGATGCCTTTCATGTTCATGTCGTTGGGGTTGATCGACCCAGCACCCGGGTTCGGGTCCTGTGTCTTGTGTGCGTCTCTTGCGGTGAGAATGTTATAGGTGTCCATTGGAGAAAGAATCAAGGAGGAGTCATCATTTCGAGGGGGTAGAGAGTGGTCGATCTGTTGCGGGAAGGTGTCTCGCCTGGTAAAGGTAGTCGTCTGGAATCCATTAAGCTCGGTCGAGCGAGCATCGAGTTCGAGGGAGGAGAATTTGAGGTCAGGAATATCGATGTTGGAGATGACAGGAGCCATTATGGCAGAAAGGAGAGCAAGAATGCTCTCAGCTCCAAATCACTGTCAGTGCAGCTGTGTCCTGTGCAATAAACAGAAGATGGTTTGTGTGAAAGAGATAGGCGAGGGACAATGTCTCCGGTGGGTTGCGTTACACTCACTGACAGCTTAATGGCGTGGAAGTTTTGTGAAAGGTTAGAAATGATATTTCAGTACCGGGCAGGGTAGAAGAGAAACTCACGTCTCGAAGATGTTTCCGTTTGCAAAAAGTCTCTTGTATGGCTGTGAATATGTGGTGGCAGGGAGAAAGTGAAGTGGCTGGGCTGACAAGGCTGGGGACTGGTTGGGCGAGGCTGCACCATGAGTTTTGTCGGATGATGATGACGTCATTGTTGATAAACCCCGCATCAGGAATAGCCTCGTTTCCGCAGCAGCCTCCCAAAAGTTCATTCTTCTTGATCTCCTGACTCGGCACTTTACATTTATCTCGACTGGCTCAAGAATTCGACCAGCCCAACTTCGTTGTGCTTGTAACCTAGCTTCTCTGCCCGACGTGATGCAAACATGACATTGCTTGCCATCAGCATTGGCAACTCGCCCTCGCCTGCTTCCTCCAAAGTCACACTTCTGGCTTGAGGGCTTGGGACGAGTCCTTCAGTATGCAGAACCTTCGCAAAAGCCTCAGACGCATTCTTCCAGGGAATTTCCTCCCCGCCAATCAGGAAGCATCGCTCGTAGACAGACCCTTGAGGAGTATCGTCCTGCAATGCAAGATCCAACACCTTCAGCATGAATGGGGCTATGGCGTTGACATGGAGGCAGTTGAAGATGGCACTTCCCTCTCCGATATATGGCACAAATCCCAGCTCTTTGGCTTTCTCGCGGAAGATCAATTGGACCACTCCCAAGGCTGGAACTGGGCCTGCGGCTTCGCCATATATTCCTGAGGGAAAGACAATATAGGTTCCGATCTTGCCTCGTTTGCCGGCGTTTAAAATCCTGCCCGCAACAAACTGTCAACCAAGGATATGACATTCTTACGCTCAAGAAAAGGCTTACACAGTGTCAGGCCCACCGTTGAGCATAGAAGGATTGATTAGCTTCATGTCTTCCGGATTGTTGTCCTGTTTGCAAATCAGCAGCCTGCCTCATGCAGCTCATCGCCTGTCATTTCGCTCACATCCCAGATCTTCGCTTCGGGGTGGAACGCCCCATCCGTCCACCTTTTATCCACAAAATTACCAGCTCCACTCATATGCATGAGCGTTTTCTTCTTCGTTTCCGGCTGCTGATTCAACCCTTCCACGATCGCCTCACTCAAGGGCACATCCCACGACGAACCCACGTTGATTACGACATCGTGTTCTTTGGCCAATGCGATGATCTTGTCCCTCTCGTCGAAAGTACCATGTACGATCCGTTGAACACCGGCTGTCTCGTATAGGTACACATCGAGGGCGTTGTTGCGCAAGAAAACCGTGACCGGAAGATTAGGATATTCTTCCTTGAGGGCCAAAACAACGTGAGCTGAGAACAGGTCAATTATCGAATCAGTAGACGGAACAAGCAAGGAGGAACTTGCAGCCAACGAGGCCCGTTACACCGAAAAGCAAGATTGAAGGCATGACTGTTCGGGGACCGCTGTGTTCAACGTTGCAACAACGAGGGAGTGGTACACAACTAATGGCAAAGGTAGGCGACAGAGGACCTCTGTTTCCAAAGATAAATTGAACACTCGTTACCAACGGAAGCCACCTCCGTTCTAACAGCAAAGGACTTTGAGCGTGAGTTATTTTCAGTTCAGCTTGAAGAGTGCAGCCCTCTATTGAGAGGGTACATCAAGCACCTCAACAAAACATCGGACTTTATACTCTTGACTCTGAGCAAATTACCTTGCGACGACCGCAATATTCTACATCGTCCACCATCCTGCCACGCCTCCCTCGTGGTATTGTTGTTAATCTGGTGACCAAGCGAGCCACCGGGATTCGGGCCAGCGGCCTGATCACAGCTCCCGACAGATCCACGTCTCCAGGTCCATCAGCCACCAGTTTACGCTGCGTGTACAGCTCTACTTGCTTGCCATGCCTCTATTATGCACAGAGAATTGTCTTCATAAGCAACGCTGCGGCTTTGTGGGTTCCCCCTTAAAAAGGAAGGACATCCATACCTCTTGCTCTTATTGGTGCCCCAGAAAAGTTGCCGTTTTGAGCCAATGGGCACGGTCGAGTCGGCCTGAGAAATAGATGCTATTATCAAGCAGACGAGGGGTGTTTCTGAAAAATGGAGTATCAATCTTGATAGAAGCTGATGAAGTATCAATAGTATCGATGCACATTGTTTCTGGTTTGGCCCGCTTTCATTTCTGACTTTTCATCTCCGTTCTGCTACAGTCAACCAGCCACCCACGATTGTTTTCTTTCGCCAGCATATCTCATTTCCCGCCGTTCACGCATGTTTATTTATTTATTTTTTAAAGTTCGCCTGATTGTACTCTAATCCACGGTGCAGATCAACTTGCCCATGGTCTGGTTACTCTCCAACATCCTGTGGGCGTCCTGGATGTCCTCCATCTTGAAGACCTTTTCGACAATGACCTTGAAGCGGCCGTCGATGAACCTGGGCAGGGCGTGCTCGACGAGCATGTCGCGCAGCCGGCCCTGGTAAGTTTCGTCGCGGCTGCGGAGGCTGGAGCCTTCGTAGCGGAGGCGTTTGCGCAGGAAGCGCGAGATGTCGACAGGCTTCTGCACGACGTTGCCGCCCAGATTGCCCAGGTTGACAATGTGGGCGTCGCGCGCGGCGGCCTCGAGGTTTTGATCAAAGTACCCGGCCCCGATGAAGTCGACGATCAGGTCCACGCCCTTGCCGCCCGTGTACTTGAGCAGGGCCTGCGCCCAGTCGCCTTCCTTGTACGAGAAGCCCTCGGTCGCGCCGAGCGTCTTGCAGAACTCGATCTTCTCCCGCGAGCTCGCCGTCACGTAGATGGCCGAGGCGTTGTCGGCTTTGGACAGCTGGATGCCCGCGATGGACACGCTCGATGCGCCCGCGTGCCACAGCACAGACATGCCCGGCTTGAACTCGCCGACCAGGTACAGCGCTTGGGTGGCGGTGATCCACGTCTCGGGAATACCCGCGGCCTCTTCCCAGCTGAGTTCCTTGGGCTTGTGCACCAGCATGTGCGTGCTGACGGCGATGTACTCGGCATAAGCACCGCCGTAGGCCAGCCCAAAGACCTCGTCGCCGACGTTGAACCCCAGCTCCGGCTCGCAGCCGAAGGATTCAATGGTGCCGGAGAACTCGACGCCCATGATCGGGCCGGCCTGCGGCGGTAACGGATAGCCCCCCTCGCGCTGCATGAGATCCATGCGATTGAGACCGAAGGCCTTGACTTTCACGAGAGCCTGACTGCCCTTGGGCACGGGTTTGGGGATGTCGGGGTTGATGAAGAGAGCCGAGATGGGGCCCTTTCCGCCCTTGATGTCGACCGCGCGCATGGTTGCCATGGTTCTTGTGGCTGTGCTCGTGGCTGTTCGTCGGGAACGACTTTGGAAAACGGGTCCGGCAACGGTCCTGTTATTATGCCTGCTACAGCTAGCACTGCTTAGCGTTGCTGCTACCACTGGCGATGATGATAATGCCGAGAATGTTCTCCTTTTTGTGCCGGGAGAAGTCTGCAAGATATTTAAAGACGGAAAACCGTGTTGTTGGACTCGAAGAATTGCTGAGAACGGAGAATATCCGGCCCTTAGCCGTTGGAGACGCGGGATTTCTAATGCGACCCTCGAGCAGACGGTTGCCGTCGAGCTCATTCGAATTCGACAGTGAGACAGAGACAGAGAGATCGCAGCCTCCAGATCGACGGCATACGTGTCACAGATGAAAGATTCGAGGAGATCGCGAGAATGGAGCGGGGATATGCTTACTTTGGCTTTTTTTCTCTGTTTCTCCTATTAGCCTGTCTTCAAACCTCTACAGGGAAAGAATACCTGGTGAAGTACGACGTACTCGACGAGTTTGCTGATGACGCCATTACTAATTAACACTTCCAACGCTTGCAGACTAGTGTCAAACTTCCACCGGATGCATCGTTATTGGCTTCAATATCAAGGTCCATTCCTCATGCCACATTCACATTGTAGGTATCATACATTGCCTCTGACAAAGCATCCTTCACCCTAGCTCCTGGGTGGCTTGCTTATTGTATTCGGGCGATAGCTCCGCACACACAAGCTTTTTAATCGAACTCAGGTAAAGGCTTATCATCCAGGTATACCTCCATCTGGGCCTCAGTTGCTCCATCCATACATCAATTCCACCGACCGAAGCCCTCTTGCATTTAGTCAATGTTGTATTGCTTGATCAGGTCGATTAACTTCTGCGATTCGGCCACATAGTTCAACGGTGCTGCCGAAGTTACTTGATAACGAACCCTGGAACCCGAATTAGTTCAACCCTCGAAAGCATCGTAGTTCGCCTTACCGTTGTTGTTCCTGGAAAGTATCGAGCTTCGCCTTGCACTTCCAGTTCCATGTCTTGCAATTTGCCTCCGAGAATATCTCGGCGAGTCTCTTCTCGTCCACCTCCCTGGTCTCCATCAACTCATCTGCAGTCATGCCAATGATCATTCGTCCCGTCTCGTCGAAGCAGCTGACCCAGAGTTGACCAGTGTGATCGCTAATGTTGACCGACATGATATATCGGTATTGAGGTTTAGGGTGGGTCTTGTCACATCGTTCGCAGCGCCACTGACCGGGATCGATTTCAATGACTTTCTTGTTGCATCCCTCTGACAAACATGCTGGGTAACAGAAATTGTCCTGCTTGATGTACTGTGTTGAAGCCTTGACAGAAAAGAAATCTGCGTTGTCCGACATGCCCAGTTGCTCTTCTTTGACTTGCGAAATAGTTTTGAATGGATCACCTCGAGAACCGCCGGCAGCGGCAACAGTGCCTTGGATGTTGGCATGTGTCGCGAAGTTTCCACTTCGACCTTGGTCCTCGTACCAGCCTTTCAATCTGTGTGCTTCAGGCATGTCGGGATTGGCGGTCACGGAGCCAGAACTGAGCAGACTCAAGCTGCGTCCGCCGAAATCGGAGACTTTGACACCTTTGAAAGCAACAACTGATTCAGGTGGAACGTCAAACGAGGCAGCAGTTTTCCCCCAAACTGTCAGCCGTACCGAGTATCCAGTATTGTCGACCAGAGTGAGCTCTCTCTTGTCATACGGTTTGCTCGTGGTTTTCGACGTGATTTGAGAAGTCTCGCCGACGTCCTTGAGCACTCCAATGATGTCGATGGTCGTATCTTTCTCCACAGACTGTAAGTCTGCGATTGTAGTGAAGTTGTATCGAACCTGAGGGACCCCGTCCTGCTCTTCCGCTTTCTCGACGGTGGTGTCTTTTTCAAAGTGAAGCTCATAATCGTTTGCCAGATTTGAAAATTGTTTCTTCGCCAAAGTGACTCTGCAAGGACTAGAAATGTAGTAGACGCTGCCTTCTTGGAATAGATCATATAGCTGATCACACTGGTCGTTGAAACCAGTAGCGCGGATCTCGCCACTCTCATCCAAAAGGTTCACACTGAACAGCTTGCCCTCGCCATTGCGATTATGCCATGTCTTAATGTCCGACTTGCTCGTGCAACGTGCCTTGATAGTCCACTTGTTTGAGTATGGCGAAATTGCCTCAATGGGGTAGATGTTTGCATGAGCTGATGACGAAGGCTTCGTGTGAGCCATGGGTCGGCTTTGTTTCGGCTGCTCTTGCTTGACCCCATAGAATCCATTGCTCGTGATCGATGTAGGGTAGGCTTTCTCCTCCTCTTCGGCTTTCAATTCCAGTGGTTTAGGGTCACCTAGTTTCTCGTGCTCACCATACTCTTCGAGGACTTTGATATCGGTCACGATGAGGATACTACGGTGGATTGTCAGTATCATCGCACGCCAGAGAAAGAGTCCATCCTACCGTTTCGCCTTGACTTTGTTCGCAGAGTAACCCATCAATTGCACGAGGACTCCTCTGCGTAGGATCTTCTCCTCGACGAGTTGATTCTGGTGCACTGCCAGCATCGTCTGGATGTAGTTCTTGGTGTCGCTGAAGATAACTCTGTGACGTTCTTGGCCGCCTTGTTGAGTAGCAATGGGCTTGATCTGAACGCACTCTGTTTGCTGTTAGCCTTTATCGAGAATGCCGAGGACTACGAACACATGCGGTTCTCGAAACACGAAGTGGTAACTCACGCATGACGGGGTGCTCAACTCTACCCGGACGATCTTCAAAAATGTCTGCGAGCGAGCCAGCATCGACGCGCGCGAGCGCAGCAGCGGGGGAATTCATGGCTTGAACTGGGAGACGAATTGAACGGACAAAGACTAGAAGCGGTGGATGGAGGGAGATATTGGTGAGTGAATAGTAGGAGATGGCCTTTTGGTGCCTGCGTTCACCGGCGCGTTTCCACGCGTTGAGTGGTTTCTGGCCGCCACCACCGCATCAGCCTCGTAAGTGGCGCAAACAACTTTTGTCTGATAGAAAGTCCATCGTCTGACGCCGCACTTTTCTTCACCCAAATACAATCCCTCTCAACCTCATAGTATATAGCTCGCATCTTTAGTGCGAGTAGAACATTCTCAGTGTCAATCAACTCAACTTCTTGCCACCACAGCATCTGGCCATCTAACGCTATGAGACACACTTGACCATTTTCCATCGAGATAGGTTTCTTCGAACGCGACTGTCCACGAACTCCCACGTCAGACCTGCTAATTAAGCAGATTGCTTCGAGGGACGCTCGACGGATCGATCGTATCACCTCACTGCATTGCATTCGACCCCCACCGTAGCCGACAATTGAACGTCCCTGCCTCACCGAATGCTTGAGTCTTCATTCACAGACAGTCATCTTGCCCTTGAGTAGACGTCAGTTAAATTCTAGGAGTACAGCTTACCTGTCACCCATCTATGAAATCATGGCCGATGCTGAACTAGCAACCAAAGCTCCTGAATCCGACGCAATGGAAGTCCAAGGCGAACCCTCTGTTGTCTCGTCCGCAGACTCCAAGGCTCAAACCGGCGCCAGCATGGGGGAACACTGTGTCACAGACCGCCCGGCGCCTGACAATCGTCAACCATCCGGCGAAATGTCCAAGATGGGCGACGTCGATGTCTACATCTCGAAACCTGCTGATTATCCCAAGACCCCTGCAAAGCTTCTCTTACTCCTTACCGCCGGTACGGGTGTGCACTCGGTAAACAATCAGATCCAAGCAGATATGTTCGCCGCCGAAGGCTTCGTGGTGATCATGCCCGACCAGTTCAAGGGTGATCCGGCGCCGAGTTCCAACAAGACTACCATGCCCAGCTCTCCCAGTTCTCCTGGGGAGCCGCCGCAGAGTCCAAGCATCCTCGAACGAATTAAGCTTGGTGCCGCGGAGACGGCCAAGTCATTCCTTGTGGACATGTGGCTGGCCCGCCAAACACCAGAGAAAGTCCTCCCCATCTTACTACAGGTCATTGAGACATGCAAGGACGAGTACGCCGATGCTGTCGCCCATGGAGAAGGGATCTACAGCGTGGGCTATTGTTTTGGGGGAAAGTACGTGTTCATGCTAGCCGGCGAACATCCCGATCCTGTCATACAAGGGCAGGCGGCGAAGGATGAAGAAGAGGGGATGATTAAGAAGGGGCCGCTAATTAAGACGGGTGCTGTGGCTCACGCGACGATGGTGACGCGGGATGATTTGAAGGCTGTTAGGATGCCGCTGACAATGGTTTGCGTCGGCAAGTCACACGGACGTGTTTGCGCTGTTCGCATTCATAGCTAACGATCTTTATCAGAGAATGACCCTCTATTTCCTGACGAAGTGCTGGAAATTGGTCGAAAACACCTTGCAGCAAGCAGCATCGAGCATGAGATCAAGATATATCCTGAGGTCCCGCATGGTGAGTTTCGATTTTAAACACATCTCACATTGTCCAAGGGGCCAGCCACTAAACCCGACACAGGATTTGCGGTGTACGGAGACTATGATTCGCCCGCAATTAAAAGAGCTCAGGAAGCAGCTTTTCAACAGATGCTGAACTGGCTGAAGTCGCACTAATGCTTCTTTCCTGTTCGAGGATGATTGACGGCAATAGATGGCTCGCACGAGCCATGAGGATACCCAGGAATCAACAGTGAACTTGGCGGATAACATAGTCGGGTCTACAACATCGCATTGGGCTGCAGGAGACTGTTCAGGTGGGTTCCATTGTACCTCGCTCAAGTACTTCAGGGGCGCACTTTGCCCAGGACGCCTGAATCATTTCAGAACTGGTCTTTATGAAGCAGAAACTGGAAGATCCCGCTTTGCCAACACCATCCAGGAGCTCTTCTCACCACCTTGTCGACGGCTCTCCACATTGTAGAAGCCCTTACCCTTGCTCCTGTCCACTGTTCTGCACCCGTGATGGGTTCTTGTCGTTATTTCGCTCATTTCTGCATCATCAATTGCACGAATTCGTTGTCTGCATTTTGGGCCGATCAGTCCTGATGCAGCAGACTCTGGATAGACAGGTGAAAGGAGAACATATTTTGCTTACAGTCAATGCGACCATCACCATCCTGATCCGCCTCTCGAATCATCTCATCCACTTCGTCGTCCGTGAGCTTTTCGCCGATTGAGGTCATGACGTGACGCAGTTCGGCGGCAGAAATGAAGCCGTTGTTGTCGCGATCAAACACCTTGAATGCCTCTCGGATTTCCTCCTCGGAGTCTGTGTCCTTCATCTTTCGGGCCATCATCGTGAGGAATTCTACCCAATTTGTGAGCCAAATCTGCAAACGACACTGATATTGACTGCTCCTTCGTACCTGGGAAGTCAATGGTGCCATTGTTGTCTGCGTCCACCTCATTGATCATGTCCTGGAGTTCCGATTCTGAAGGATTCTGGCCGAGGGATCTCATCACCGTGCCCAGCTCTTTTGTTGTGATTTGTCCTGGATATCTCATGTTAGATCTCATACCACCCGAGACCAGCAACGAGCTCGGCGGGGTTGCAAAGGGGTCAACATACCGTCGCCGTCTTTGTCCTGCAGGGTTGTTCGTCAGCATTCAAGGCAGCAACGTAGATGGCAGACAGACGTACAAACAGAGAGAAAGCTTCCTTGAATTCAGAGACCTGTTCTTCGGTCAGGGAGTCCGCCTAGATTCAAGAACTGTCAGTCCGTGAGCCAATAGAGAAATGTTTCACCACTGCAGCCGCAGTCGCAGTTGCCATGTTTCGCCATACCATGGTGGAAATCGATCACGAAATAGTGGGCGTTGCAGTCGGGGTCAAGTGCTGGTGGTGCGCAATGGTAGGAAAGGGGGTATAAACAAGTTTCGTTCCTCAGCGGAGGATATATTGTTCGACAGCAGCTGAGGCGGCGGCGTAACTGGAAATGCAGGGTTACAGGTAAAGTTGTTCTTGGAAAGGGCAGGTCTCGAACTCCACTGGATTTGGCGCTGGCGCTGGAATTTGGCCCCAAGCTGAAAGGGACAAAAGGGAGAAGGATTGCGGGAGGATTTCACGATCTCCGGATTATTGATGTTCCGCTTCCTTCCTTCGTCACCGATCCGCAGACTGATCAACTCGCTGCTGCTCGCTCGCTCATTCGCATCGGCTGCCTGTGTCGTGCAACGTATGTTCAATGCTGCTTTGACAATGCTTGCTGCTCCCATGCCTCTGAGGTCGTGAGAAGCATTTGAATTGCATCTTCCTTCCCTGTTCGGCGGCTGCACTGCACGCACGACCAGCATGCCAGTCAGAGCAACCCAGGATCACACGGAAAACGCCAGACGCATGTGATCCGATCAATTCCACCAGATCTCAATATGTGGAGAGACCGGACGAATCTGTATAGTTCAAAATCCCCTGTTGCAAGGAAAGAGTTTTCTGACTGTCATCCAGTTATATCTCCTATCGCCAGTCATACTCCCATCATCCTGCCAAAAAACCGCGATTCCCATCCACCTCGAATGGCTATGGCGACCAAGGCTCAGAAGAGACCAGGGGTCTCATGTCCGTCGGGGCATACGAGAACGACGGCGATGCGGTCATAGAGATGGATCTGCTCCCTCCCCGTTGGATTGATGTCCAAGATGAGGTCGGCGACATTCTCAAGGATATCACTCTCAAAGCTGCAAAATTGGACAAGCTTCATTCAAAACACGTGCTTCCGGGTTTCGATGACGAGTCGATCAAGCTGCAGGAGGAGCGCGAAATAGAGATATTGACCACAGAGATCACGAGAGGCTTCCAGGAATGCCAAAAGGCCATCAAGCGCATCGAGAGTATGGTGAAGGAGGCCAGAGAGACAGGGAACCTTCAAAAAGGAGACGAGATCATGGCGAAGAATATCCAAGTCGCTCTAGCATCAAGAGTTCAGGAAGTTAGCGCCACATTCAGGAAGAAACAGAGCAATTACCTGAACAAGCTCCGTCAACTGGGTGGCTTCGAATCACCAATTGGGCGTTCTCCGACTCCAATCCCAATTCAGAACCCATACTCTGACCCAGCCCTCTTAGAGTCAGACGCCGACAAAAGACTGGGGCAATCAGCATTACAGCAAACTGCGCAGAAACGACTACATAGACACGACACCGCAATTGCACAGCGAGAACAAGAAATCAACGATATCGCCAAAGGCATCATCGAGTTGGCCGACATATTCCGCGACTTACAGGCCATGGTCATCGACCAGGGCACAATGCTTGATCGCATTGACTACAATGTGGAACGAATGGCTACAGACGTAAAAGGGGCGGAGAAGGAGCTCATTGTTGCCACCAACTACCAACGACGCAACACCAAACGCAAGATTCTGCTCTTATTGTTGCTTCTTGTCATTGGCATGTTTGTCCTCCTGATCATCAAGCCTAAGAGGGGAGCACAACCGGTGCCGCCTCCTGCATCACCTGCAAACCCAGACAATCCTCCTTAGAGCGGTATAGGGACGGTATACAGTACATTCGGAAAATATCTCTGAAGGCACAAGGGAAACTCTCACCATTCACTCCAGCCTGGACAACATCATTGTTATTGAAGTGTCAAATTTGACAGAGGTGTTGCATCTGCTCGCCTCATCAGACGTCAATCTCTTTCCTTCCCTCTCTAAGTCATCCGGAAAAGTTCATTCACCGGATCTTGGTCTATTTTGATAGGCCATGCAAAGATGAAGTCCACAAAGGCGCGTTCAACAGAATTGCAGGAAATTCAGCAAAAACCGCACACCGAGACGGTCATGTTGCACGTGGATGGTTAGATTCTTTGGCATGTATTACAAGTTTCTGGCGAGACGCCTCCCCAGCTTCGCTGAAAAAAGAGCCAGACCCGAGGCTGCTTGGTCATGACATGATGTAAGTATGGACCATGAAGCGCGCTCTTTTTTTGGACCGTTTCGTTCGCTAATACGTACTCAGAATGTCGAGGCTTGTCATTATTCTACATATGAAAACCATTGGGATGCATTCGCCCTCTTTTCTCGAGAAGATTTGTATTAACACATGTGTTGAATCGATCGCGTCTGTTGTCTCCTCGTTATCGAGTCTTAGAATGTGTTGTACATGGCTTGCTGTGCCAGCTATCCCATTGGAAGATACTGGGATAGGCCACTGGGTAATGGCGCAAATTTAACTCCGTCAAGGTCTTTGTCAGCCTCCACATTGTACTTGGTTGTCGATGTGGTTCATGGTGCCATCATTCTCCTCCCTACTCAGAAAAAAAAAAAAGGAACAAGACGCCACCGTTACCGCTTCCTGGCTCTCGCTGTGGTCTCTCCTTGTTGTCGATGGTCCGTGCATCGCGAGACTGACGATCGATCCGCTAACCGCTCGTCGTCCTGAGAACGTCTTATGGGTGTTGTTTGAGAAGTTTGTTTGAAAGGGCTCTCGCGGCTCGGTGGAAGGTCAGTTCGCTCTCCGGATGCTGTTGTCTGAGACCGGATTGGGGATTGGTGGCTTCGAATTGTAGGTGACTGGCCTTTGTCTCCCTTTGGCTCAGAAACTGCGTGGCTCTCCTGACGTTGAGGCTTGCGACTTTCAGCTGAGGTGGATTGCTGTCGAGGGTCAGATACATTTGGACGTTTCAGCCGGGACCTAGGCACTTTGGGTCGCTGGCTATCGATCTCGGTTCTTTAACCCTGGTGCGAATCTGGTGGTGCATTGCCGCCCCACGGTGAAGACTGTTCTGCTCTGTTTGGCAGTTTCGCAACAACTTTATCAATCGGCCTTCCAAACCTTGGTCATCTTTAGATATTGTTCTCGCAAGTTTCTTGGGTTCCATGCTTGAATGACTCTGGTATTCGCGGAAGTGAAGTTGAACCACGAGGCTCGCGTGGAAAGATAGGGTTTGACCGCGTAATCGTTGGGCTCTGCAGCAAGCCTCGTGTTGCATACTGGTATCTTCCAAGGAGAATGCTCTTGAGCTGGTGGATGTCTGTTGCAGACACCGCCTGTTGACCGGCTTGTCTAGACGTTTGCTCCTGCCTTACTGGATTACCATGATCCAGCGAAGCAGTTTGGACCCTCCTTGCGCATTTCTGACACAGCTTCCTTTCGTCGATGCGGTGCAGACCGGCTTCTTCTTTGGATAGACATCCTCTGTGGATCACAGGAGCTGCAGATAAATTACAATTTACAAATATTCAAATCAAGCCTCGCTAACCCGGGAGTGCAGGCAGTTGGAAAACTGTTCTTGCGTCGCATATTTTGTAGAGACAACCTACGTCCACAGCCTCAGCTCACCCATTCTTTCGTTCGGCTCCCAGATGCACCGGGGCACCACAAATTCTTGCGTTGACTTCGGTGTCCCAGCTCTTACATAGTAAGGGACACAAGTCTAATCGAACGACTATCTCTGGGTTTTTGGGACAACCTACGAATTCTAGCGCTGCTCCAATACACCTTCCCCAAACAAATACCTCAGTCGCTCATTCTTACACTCTTACTTAAAGCTTGAAGGTTTTGCCAACTTTCGTGCTGCCAGTCGACAGGTTAGAAAAGGGCCATGAGCATACACAAACAGAGGGAAGTTATGTTGAGGCATCCCAGTAGGCTTATGCATATGTATCAGGGCCGATTCGACCTTCTTGACGAGATCCTGTCAGAAGGTGAGATCAATCTGCGCAACGACGTGTTCTTCCCCTCGCTGGCCACTCGGACTCTGTCGATCCGAATGCATTTTGCGAAGCTCTCGTTTTAAACACAAACTCTGACATCCGACAGAGGAGAAGAAGTTCCTCGAGCGAGCCAAAATTATCAAGGATTATGTGGGGCTTTCGTGGAAATTTGCAAGGACGAGGTGCAGTTTGATCAACCATCTGTTCTCGAACTCATCGAAGGCCTGCATAAGACAACCAACCAGAATCCATACGAGGATCTACTGGGGATTTGTATCACCAAGCTACGACAAAAGTAGTACTCAGATTGGCAGACAGTCGCTAGACTATTGTGGTCGAACACTTTCGGCAGTGAAAAAGTCCCAAAGGAGCTTGGATTCTAGACTCAAGAGTCGGCATTGTACAACCATGCTTGCCATAATTGGTATACCCACGCTATCAGCCTTTCACAGTTCCCTGATGACATTGTGGAGGACCTGCGTGGCTTCTTGACTTGTAATGAGCTTGTAACCTGGTCTGAGAACTTGTATTTATTGCGCAACAAGTCCAGGCTGGAAGGACTGCTAGTTGTAACGGAACTCAGGCTGTGGCATGCTAACATTGACCTGGATGCCGATCCACAACTCCCCGTCCCGGATATCTTCATCGCTGCGCACGAGAATCCGAGCGACGACCTGAAAAGGAATGCTGGAATCGTGCTTGCCAGATTCCCGCCTCTCATGCGCATTGGCTGGTTTTTAAACCGGGGAGCCAAGTCTTTTTGCCGAGCTTGAGGAAGACCTCGTGTATAAGAGGGCCGTTGTGGAGGGGTTTGTGAAGTACCTTGCTTTGTCCGAAAGACCCCATGACTCTGCAAGCGTAGCTCACCATGTACTCGGACTACTTCGTCAGCGCACTATTCCTGGACTTGGTCCGCGAATTTGCCGGAAACGTGCAAGAAGCCAGCCGTCTCTTCCTTGACCTTCAGTCGTTCGGATTCCGGTCGTATTTCTCTTAATACAAATTGCCGTAGCGAACCATCAGAGGTATGGAGTCTGCAGGGCGTTTATGGAAGTACGGAGTGGACTAACGGGGTTACCAAAGATGACACCTAATTACCCGGTAGACGAACTGTCTTCATCACTTCCATAGCTATCCCTGGGAAGTGCGAGTAAAGTCGCTGAACCTTGTCGAGAAAGTCGGAGACCTGATGGGGTGAGTGGGCCTGGTGGCCCACCTGCCGTCGCCAGCCCCTCCATTCCATTCGTAGTTCGTCTCCACAGACAGAGCCCCAACTTTTCGCGTACTATATAGTCTTTTTTATCATAAATCCTTTCAAGAAGTGGCCGGGAGGCAACTTGGGTTCATTCGGATCCAAATCACCTCATCGGCCTTCATAGCTCAGCGGTAGAGCGCGACACTAGTACTGCTAGCCAACACTCAAAATGAGAACACTAGCTCTCTAAATGGGAAAAAGCTAATAAAACTACTGGAATGTCGAGGTCTTGAGTTCGACTCTCAATGGAGGCATTTTTTTCTCAACCCAACTTGGGTACTTTTTTTTCTTCTTTGAATTAGATTGGATTGCTTCGGAATGGTTCGACTTCTTCTACTTTGCCCTTGCAAGATAATCTGTGCACATTCCTATTTCTTGGTAGGTGGTGCTGCTATGTAGTTGGAAAGAAATTCGTTGGACACTGCCAAGACGCCGAGGACAGTGAGAATACTCTCTTCGCGTGCTGTGGTATTTTTACAGGCATATCGGTGGTCCAAGATATCTCAACTGGTTCGGGCTATTATAGTACCATTTTTGGACCAATGTTGGTGTCTGGATTGGTACATGGCTAGGTCTTGGGAGTATTCAATGCAGCAGATTCAACTTCACATTTACGACCAATGATTCCGCACATCAGTCTACCCTCTTGCAGTGTAAGAAATGCGAAAATCCAGAGAGAATTGCCGCAGTCTTGTTGTAGTGCTACCCAGTCCCCTCAGACCCCTTTGTCGTGTTGAGCCAACTTGAATTGATTGATTGTAAAACGGAATCGAATTGTCTGTCGTGGGTAGAAAGGGTGCCGCAGTGCCAAGCCTTCTAACACCCATATGAAATGAGACGCAAAAGTGTACCCGGTACCCAGTATTAGAACTAGCCAAATCTATGTGGTCGGGGAGGCTGCTTTTAAAGACATCTTTACTAGTGTCTCGGCACTTTCTCTTCTGCTATGACAGCCATGCTAACTCCAGCTAGGTAAAGTGGAAATACCTCCATAAGGCGCACGTCCTCCGACCCATCTTGTCTATTTCGACTCTCTAGGTCCAATAGCTATGTATCTGAATAATATAGACTCTTTGGGAGTGTAGAATAGTGGACAGTCACCAACGACAGCGGGCGTCAATCTCAGGGGGATCAACTGATTCCCTGGAGAGCGCAACAAAGTTTCCCATTTCACAAATAGGATTCCATCAAGTACGAGAGACAATAGAGCGGTTCGGCGGTGACATACCTAGGCATTTTGGGGCCAGTAGCTTTATCGTCGTCCATCTCTCACGCTGAGGACGCCTTGCTTGGCCTTGTGAGCCCGTCTCCCCATTCTTGTGCCTGCACCTGTCACCGGTCTCATTGCCCAAGCACCGACCAGGAATTCGGGAATGCGGGGATGCCGTGTTCTGCCTTGCCGCGACATGAAGCAGTGTGTAGAAATTTTAATCACAGAGGCGGCTCGCTCGCCCCAAACTAGAAACCTGTCATAATATAACACTTTTAAAAGTTATGCCCGGTGTGGTCCCAGGAGCAGATTGTTGCGGCGGCTTCAGATGACGCTTTACGACGCCCAGCAGCAACCATCATCTCTCTGCTGGTTTTCGTGGTTGAAGCCTTGCCACAGAGAACTAGCGGTCCGTTGTCTCGCTGCGCTTTGCTCTACTCTGTATGGCACAGCATTACCCCCACAGGGTACCTTGTATATGCCTAGAAAGAAGCCTAAGTGAAACAAGCTCGCGAGTTCAAGGTGAATAAGCAACCACGCGCCAAGAGCCGCGGCCAGAGAGTTCAAAGCCTCATGTAGCGTGATGCGAGGCGAACACATCTTTCCTTTCTCCTGCCTGGGGAATTTTCCTGCCTGAATTTAGGTTGTTGGGGGCCCGACTGACCAGAAGGCTGAATACGTGTTGACTGCACCCTCTGGCACAGAAGGTATTCAAACAACCTACTTCGAAGAAAATCATGGCTTTGGAAGTGATAAGAATGCTCCCAGTAGGCGCTAATGAGATCAGATTTGTGCAAGTCGCCACAAAACACGACAAAAGCAGCCGTCGATACCACAAACAGGACTCGCCCTGCCAGCAGAATTACGCTCCCCTCGAGATTGCTAAATGCTTTAGTCTTGGGAGAAACGTGCCTCAGCAAAACCAGTCTTGGGATCGATTGTTGAGAGGGGCCTTCGGGGAATGATGGCAAGAAATCATCGCGCTCCATCTTTGTCTACTGGCCTTATGTGCCACCGTCCTCGTCCTATACCCAAATCAGGACGAACCTCCCCCGAAAGTCTTTTTCAAAATCCCAATCAAGACATTGCTTTCAATACCCTCTAGTGTAGTGAGGGCAGCCATAACGTTTGTCCTCGCAATCAAAATAACCCTCAGGTGTGAACAAAAGCCTTCAAGCGGGAAGGTCCCGGTGGCAGTGTAGCCTCAGGCGAGGCAGTAGATCAGAAAAGTGGATCGGTAGTTTGACGAGGCTGTACAAGGTTGAATTGGTCGGGGTGGTGATAACGAGGTCATGGTGTTTTAGATACTGCTAATCTCCTATCGGCAGTTGCGGAGTCCCACAGTCTAACACATGGTGGTTTATGTCCACTTATTTACAGCCAGTTGGCAGGTATGTACGAGGTAGTTTAGACAGCTGTTCGGTCGGTAATTCGCCGACTCGACCATTCGACGCAATGTTTGAAAACCCGCGCCTTCTCTGCCACTTCTCCTCTTCTTCAGGTACTCCGTATCAAATCAAAAATTCACCGCAATTAACTCACAAGCAACAAATCGGCAGCTACTACTGCCATCCCTATCCAGAACCTCGGCCCGTGATTGCATGCCTTATTCGTTTGCATGGTTGCTGAAGCAGTAGGCGTCTCGGTAGGAGTCGTGCCGTCAGGTGTTGATATCACGACGACACTGACAATTTCAATGGTGTTGACAAGAGTTACGGATCCCGACGGGCCATCGGCTACGATTGTAGCGAGTGATGTTATTGTGCTCTCTTGAATCTCTAGAGTTTGGGAGGGTAGATCAGAGGTTCCCTCGACAGCCGTAGCCTTGGGTACCCCTGCTGCCGTCTCCGAAGCGGGGGAAGGCTCTGGTTGAGTGTTCGTGGCAAATGAGGCCTCTGAGGAGGGCTGTTGAGCACCGTTCGAAGATGGTTTAGTCTGACCTGTGGTAGCGGGTGAAGATCCACCCTCATATGATGTCGATGTCGGCGTGATGAATCTCGCTGTCAATTCAGCAACAGCAGGCGCTATAAAAGGCGCAGTATTGCACGTCTGCAGGGCGGCCTCAGTCGAGAAAAAGGATTTGAATGGTTGAAACATTCCACCGACTAGATACATGGTTGAAAATAAGAGGCCTCCAGGATCGGGCCCATAACTGTTGGTAGGCGTCGTAAAGGTTGATGGTTGTGTCCCGGGGAAGTCAACTACAATCACTGTATCGGCATTGACTGAGCAGGTAGTAGTTCCACCTGCATCCACTGTGGCTAGCGTTCCGTTCCACGTGTACCTATCAGGATAGATATTGTACACCGTAGGGAAAGCGCTGCAGCGAGATTAGCCTCGCATGGTTCTTAACAACGTGATACTCAAAACATACATGTCGGTGGTGTGCATTGTGCCGGTGCTCCAATATGTCACTTCAACAGTCTGCGTACCCTCGGCGTTGGTGTTTGTGGGAATGGTATAGCCGGCCGGTAATTCATTGAAGACGGTGGAAGTTTTGGTAGTGTCCAGGTCGGTATTGATAACTTGGACAACAGTAGCCGCAACTATTGTGGTGTCGAAGGCTCGTGGGGTCCATATAAGCTGGTACATATTGTCAACTGTCGCTGTACAATCTGCTTGGCATGATTGGCCGATCACTGTTCTGATATTAGCTTGAGCCCTAGGCTGGATCCGCTTGCGTCCAATGTCACTGACCATAATGAGACGATAGCCAACACAGCAACAGAACTGCATGAGCAAGCGTACATCTCGAGCTCCTCATCTTTTGCATACGCAGTGGCGGAGGTGATGGGAGTCAAGGAGAGCAGAAGCATACAGATAAAAGAAAAGACAAGAAAAACTACCCCCAAGTCCGTGAAAGATGCTAGAGACGCGGCTACCAATCGAATATAAGGCTGAGATCCCTCCATGTCATCTCTGCGCAGCATCTCCGGTTTTTTTTCCACGTCTTAAAATGCCTTGTCGCCGGAGTTTCATGACCTCCAGAAGGGGCTGTGCAAGGTTCCAGAAGGGGAACATGGCTTTTTGTAGAGAACGAAATTATCGCAAACACGAGCTGCAGGAGGTAGATAGTTCCTATGGCTGCTTTCGCGATATTGTGGACTCACCTCCATAGACATTTTCGGAATTCTTGAGCGGGCAAAGCGGGTCGCGGGATAAACCGAACGCCAAGGGCCTTGGCAAATGGCCGCTCCAATCTCCACTGACGGTGCTCTATTGACCGAATGAGAGAATGCAGGCATTGTAATTGGGCTGCGGGAAACTGGCTTTGCCAATGCTAAGATGCGCCAGCTGGAGTCGTCTCCTCCAGGAGATGTGCCTTGTTGGCTTTCAATGTGCAAATTGCACGCAAGATATTGGTAAGGCTCACTGCACGTAGAGCCTTACACGCTGTCTACATCCCTCAGCCTCACCCCCCCTGCATCATCAATCTTTACCTTCATAATGGACCGTCGTCTGGACAGCCATAGTCTGCTATGGCTGCTATAGCAGACTTCACGATATCCACACCAGAGTGCGATTCTGTTTTATGGCTGACTGCCAGTCAGTCTCAGGCGAACAATTAGTTTCCTCTGCTTTCAATCTCTCCCGCTATTGATCATCACTGGTTGTTTCAGATGTCGCATCAACACAGTGATCATCAAGCAACCTTGGTGGGAGAAGGAACGAACCTCCTTGGGCGTGACCGTGCAGAAAGCCACACGAGAACAGGGGAGCATACGGCCGAAGCGTCATCTTCAGAGACAGCTATCGGTACATTCAATCATGAAGGGTCGCATCGAACAGCTTCAACCACGGGGAACTCTGCGTCTCTGTCGGCGCGCTCTGTGAACCCAACATTGCTTGTGCTCCAACGGACAAAGTGGGACATTGTCCTCATCGTAATCACAACGGCGATATTTGTGCTCACAGCATGGTTTGCACAAGCAACCTTCTCAGAGTCGACAATGACGAGCCTTAGGTATGACATCCTTATTGTTGTTGTTGTAAAAGTGTTCATTACCTTTTTTGAGGACTGACAGAATATTCTGGAGCAGATCAAATACCAAGAACCTTCTGCACATTGACATATCCAACACCCTAACGATCCTCAGGTTACTGGAAGGAGTGCTCTCCGTCTACACTTCGGCCGTGATGCTGAGGGCATGCGAATTACTACAATGGTCTCTTTCTAGCAGGAGGGACGGTGTTGATGCACTGCGCTTGCTCGGACTTTCGCCAACGACGGGCATTCTTGGAAAAATCGGTCTTACCTTCAGCAAACACGCTTCCTGGAAGGATCGATTGGCCGCAAGTACGAGAATTGGGCTGTCGAGTGCGGTTTGGATTTCCGGGGTCGTATTGTTCGCGCGGACGCAACTAAAGGTGGTATATGACTCCGTAAGCACTTATAACGTCACGGCCGGTGTCGGCCAGTTCAATGGATCATACATACCCGAGTACCTGCAGCAATACCAGCAAACAAACACTGGTTACGAATTCGTCGTATTGCCATATTCAACCGTGGTCACAGCATCAAACCTAGTTGTCAACCCGATGCATGCAACAGCCATAGATCCAGCGACGTGTGAAGGTGGCATGGTCTGCAATGCATACCTGATATCGGGCGGTTTGATCATGACAACACCATGGCCACCAACAAATTATCCGTTGTATCCAGTGGTGACAATCCCAGGCGTTCCATCACTACAGGTCGACTTTGTCCGAGGGATACACAATGACACATTCATCGATTCTACGGATTGCCAGGTATTTGGTCAACAAGGGTTTCTGATCGGCATCAAATTCTGTCTCGCACGGAGCCAGTCGGCGGTGGGTTCATTATTCGCAGGTGGGTTGAGACATTTTTCTCGCCGTGCATATACTAATCTTCTCAGGCATTTTTGTTTGCACTCAAGGAATAGTCGGGAATGAATGCTGGACAGAACCGAAACCGCCGGAAGTCACCACAACCTTCTCGATCCACCGCCGTCTTGCCTCAGTAACAACCGCGAGATCTAATTTCTCGATTCTCTCCATCGACGAGATCACCGATCCCATGCAAGACACCGATCTTGATGTTGAAGGGCTCAAAAATGCGTTTGCATGGCTCTTTAATTTCAGCGCAGCAGGAATCCCTGCCCCCGCTTCCATTGCGCAATACTTCTGGACAGTTCAGGACCAGTTGGAAAGTGAATATTGGTCTATTGAGCCGTATCAGACCTTCCACAGTATCTTAGCCTTCCCGTTTTGGCTGTTCAATCCCAATAACTTCGGAAACGTTCAGCTGGAAGCAAGAAACATTGTGGCGGGGCTGCCACCTGAGTTTTACACGAACGCCTCGATTGGTGCTCCTTATGAAAAAATAGTCGTCGATCGGTATGGCCCCACTGCTTCATTGTAATATAGCTAACTTGGAGCAGTCCAATGTTCATAGTATTTTGCGCTCTGCAGGCACTGGTCCAAGGTATTGTGTGGGCTGTCCTGATCTGGCTGTGGACAACAGGCGCATATCTCCCAGAGCTCTCCTCATATCCATTAATCGATTTCGCAACCAAAACTCAACTTGTGGACACATCTCAAAGCACAGCCGGACCTTGGTCCACCCGGAGAGCAAACCAAATCTTGGATCACGGTACAACCGATCAGTCCATTAGAAAAGCTTTGATGCACGAAAGAGTGACGGTTATCAGGGGCGAGGATAATACGAACCTTCGAGCAAAGGTGGAAAGAAAGGCCGCATCATCTTCTGCTTTATCATTGCCACGAGTTGAGCCTGTTGTCATTAGCGTGGGTGTCCAACGGTCAAGAACGGCATGAACCTGAAGCAGCGCTCTCAACAGTGACAATCCGCTCTACCTGAGGAGGGATTACTAGGGCGTCTCTAAGATAGAATTATTACTACTTCCATTGAACAGCGCAAACTAATGAGATGCACCAAGACATCATAGCTGCCTATTAGCGACTGCTTCAGGTACTTCCAGGTTTATTTGTTAGGATACGAGTACCTCGTACTCCGTGAGTAGTGGAGCGTCACACCGAAAGTCTCGAATGGTGAGCCACATACGAAATGTCCAAGGGCATGTGTCGCATGACACTTTTCACGAGGCCATTCTCAAGACCAGCCTGGAGGCACCCCTTCGCTCGACATACTCTACTACTCGACTCGTTGAGTCTCTCTTCTCTTCCCTCGAGTCTTCAGATGGACGCATATTACTCGATAAAACCACTGCCCGCCACAGGACATGCCACATTCTCTCACCTGCAGGATCAGAATCTTATGAAAATAAAGAAACGACGTTGATTTCCCGTCTTATCCGGCGCTTTCTGTCTCTAACTCGATATTCCTATCTCCTACGACACCACCTCCACCTCCACATCCGTGCTGTTACTCAGCTTCTCGAACTGCTTACAGTTCTGCTCATACTGCTTTAATTTGTTCGTGACAGCTGCATAGGCGTCCGAGCCCAGAATCACGTGCAATGGTGGGGTTTCCAATATCGCCAGCTCGTACATTGCTTTCGCGCCCTTGATGGGGTCTCCGGCTTGTGTCATGTGGCGTTTCCCCATGCGATCGGCGGCGTCGAGATCTAGAGGGTGAAAAGTGGATTCGGTCAGCGAGAAGCTTTATTCCAGGCGAGGACGTGTCGCATGCAAGAGTGAATCATTAGACCCATTGTGGTGGAAGCTCTCCTCTCCCCCTCCCCAATAAATGACAGGCAAGGGAATGAGGGCAGATATAAGAGTATTCCATGGTCATGTCCACAGCACAAAATTGACTGATGAATGCGGAGAGCATGGTGATTATAGTGAAAATAGAAATGTCAAGGTGAGGATTGAGAAGTTATGCTTTAAGAAGAGGGTCGACGTACGGTCATATAAGGGGTGACGGTTGGCAAATACCATGCTTCGGCCTGCCCAATCGGTTCTGGAGAGCTGTTATTGACTTGACCATTGTATAGGTTGCAGCGTCAGAAGAGGTGTTGAAGACACGTACCTGAACCCACCCGGCTCGATTACCGTGAATTTTACTCCCCACTCAGACTTCACCTCTTGACTGACGGCCTCAGTGAATCCTTCAACAGCCCATTTACTCGCGCAGTAGACACTGAACAGCGGAAACCCTATCTGGCCTGCGATGCTGGTAACTTGTTGGATTAGACCACCGGGTGGACTCTGGCCGTTACGCATCGTCTCCATTGCGGCGCGAGTAACATCGAGCACCCCGAAGAAGTTGATGTCCATTTGCTGTCTGATTTCAGCGTCGTTGTACTCTTCAAAGCATCCTGCAAGTCCATAGCCGGCGTTGTTGACGACAACGTCGATGCGGCCGAATTTCTCGAGTCCTTGTTCAAACGCCTTCTGAATGCTCTCTTTGTCCGTCACGTCCAGTCGAACCACGAGACAATTGTCTTCGTTCGCGCCCTCGAATCGTAGCTGCGACGGGTTCCGTGCGGTGGCCACGACATAGTCTCCACGGTCGAGGACCTCTTGGGCATAGTAATGCCCGAAGCCGGTGGAAGTGCCGGTAATGAAAAAGATGCGTGGCATCGTGCGGGAATGGTTCTGCGACTGTGTAGTGGAGGACGTTTGGCTGCTGCGTGGCTACAGGAACCGACCCATGCGATGGCGACTGCAGTAGCAGGCTGAATTGGATCCCTGAACAGCAGACTTGCTAGCTTTTGATACCCGGAGCACGGATACATGGAGTCCATGGCCTGTTGCTGGACTGCGGTGTGACCTCTGCTTTTGTTCCATGATGTATTCGTTTACCCATGTTGTATATTTTCTCCCCGAAAACACCGTCCATCGCCAGCCCGGTATTAAGATTGTCTGTGCTCTGACTTGTCGTAGACCTTGTCGTTCCAACTCCTGTTCTAGATTATCTCCGACGGTACTGTCCAACATGGTGGTAGACTTGAGGTCCCACGTGATCGGCTCCGATGACAAACTTGGCTGACTAACCTCAGCCGAGGCTGAAGCCCCTTTGCGGCCTCGACCCTCTTCTTCGATTTCTTTTCTGTGATCGTGATGCACAGCCAGCTCCGGGTCCTTGGAATGGACATGGACATACTGCTGTCGTTGTCTAATAACGGGATGGCGCGTCGCAGACAATTCACCAGCTGTGACCCCTGCAGAAAATCTCGGATTGGGTGTGATGCTGCCATCTGCGAGGGCTCATGTACCAACTGCATACGCCGAGGGAAATTTTGCACCTTCGACGTAAGTATTTTCACCTGTCGCATATCGTGGGATATGTGTGTGACAGATGTAGTGGATCGACCAAGGCACCAGTAGTAGTCGGTCTGAACGCCGGCGTCTGAGAAGGACGGCGAAAGAAGCCTCAACAGGTGACAGAAGGCGAAATCTCGCACATTCGACATCCACCTCCACGAGCGTTCTGCATTCCCATTCAGACCATGTTGTGGCTCGGAGACAGCAGGCGATGACGCTGCATCATATGCTGTGGGACATCTTCACCGCTCTATTCGAGCCTCAACTAGGCTTGTGGATCGGAACCTACTGTAATCCTTTCAAGGGGCTTGACACTGTAGGGATCCTTCCTGGGCCGAAAATGTGCGCTGACGGACGCAGGCCCCCAACGCATTGGTCTCAAGGCTGATGGTGACACTGGACAACTTCCCCGCGACGCCCTTTGACAAACAAACAACACAGAAACTTGGATTTCCCGACATATCATTGGATGCCGAAGACGAGTCGGAACAAGACGCCCTCATCAATCAAGCTCTCATCAGTGCTGTGCACGCATTCTCGGCTCGATGGCTTCCAACCGGATATTTCCGTAAGGGCGCCGAGACCAGTCCGCAAGAGTCGAATGCGATGAAGGAGTATTTTATGGAGAGTATTTGGTCACGAGCGCATCAGGATGTGGCTCGCGTACTTACCAGGCCCAGCTATCGGTCGATTCTTGCTCTGTACCTCTTCGGCACTACGCCGTTCTCGTCTAAAAACAAGGACGGGCGGATAGCTGATTATTGTTTCGAGAGTGCACTCCGCCACTATGTCCATCTGAGAGCAAAAGCCTCCATTGCAACGAGATTCCCTTCGTCAGCACGCCAACAGACATATGACCCAATGGTCAATACACCCCATATGAGCAAGGCCCAAGGAGAATATATCCACTTGCAGGACACGGCGTATTGGTTTGGAATCGTAATCGATGGTTCTCGGGCGCTGACAAGATGCCGACCTTCGGTCTTACTCCCTGGATTCTGCGGCGAGCCGCAAGTGTGGGAACCCGTGAGGAAGCAATCTGAAACCTTTGACACAATTTACCGACCCATGCAGTCATCGAAGGCGATGTTGACCGATGAGACCGTCCTGGCCATGATCCAGTACGGATCCTCATGCAAGACTCTTTTCTGGAAGGTGGTCTCCCGAGTCCAAGACTGTCTTGTCCATCGGTCTATCGAGATTCCGCTGGAAACACTGATGGAGAGCGTAGTGCAAGAGATGAACCGCTTTGAACGTATTTTTGGGCCCTTTCTCGATAAATGCGCAAGGGACCACGTTTTCCTGTCGGAAAAGTCGCGCATCAGCTACTGTAAGCGTTATTTCTCCTTGTACACCTCAGCTATTGACATTTTCCTCGACAGTGATCCTGAGCCTGCATTTCCACCTGGGTGTGCTTACTCTGGTTGATACCTTGGAGGCACAGTCAGGTGTGCAGGTTCCCTGTCAGCACATCGACATTGGCGAGTGTAGGCTCTCATCTACACGCACGGTTGTGAACACCATCAATATGATGTTGCTGCCACCTGAATCCTACAACAGCGAGAACGGTGCCAATCTCATTTTCAAGGACCCGTATCCAGAGCATACAAGGAACGCGCTTGTGAGAGCAGCATACTCTGTCCTGACTTTGTTCAGGACCATGTCTGTGACCAGGCACGCTGCGGAGATCATGGCCTCCTCCTTGTTCACCGGCCTCGAGGTCCTGACCCAAGTTTCATACACCGCAGCCGAATCCCTCGACGGTCTGCATGGAGCGTATTTGGAAACTGACTTGGTTGTCAGACACCGACGGACGGACACCTCAGCCCATCTTACAGCGCCACTTTCTTCTCCCTGTGACAACCCGGTTTCTCACGAGATGTTCGAAGAGGAAACCGTCAGGCAGCTCGACCTTGCAGGGGACGATCCGTCCTTGGTCAAAAAGACCATCGAGCGCCACGAGACCCACCACCGTCCTGCTGCCGACGACTTTGCCTGGTTTGATCTGTCCGAGATCGATCTTACTTCCATCATGCAAGATTGGGCATTTGAGGTGTGTGAGGGCTTCCTTATAAACAATTTATCTTGAGCCATTTACACAGAACACAACGAACTAACAGCAAAAATTAGGATTGCTTTTCCACGGGGTAAATCAAATAAGATTCCCTGCGCTAGGCTGAACGCGATAAGTGGCAGATGGGAAAGTTCCTTGACTAAAGTCACACGTGCCCAGCTAGAAGATTTCGTCTTGCGGCACTTGCATAGTAGTCTTCCAAGTTTCAGAGAAAGGGCGTCGTTACATACCCGGTAGGAAGATGATGAACGATTAGCCTCTTCCACTTCCTCATCACTATGTCACAATATCGGTTCACCATTCTTTCTCGACAACTTGGCCGCTCATCTGATCTTTCTCATCATGAGTCCTGGCCATCACCTGGGGCCCGAGGATGCTGGCAGCGGCGACCGGGCTGAAGGCGAGGTTCACTTCCTCCAAAGTCTTATCCTTTGTCTCCACCATCAGAAAGTAGGCTGAAGATGGGAAGAAAATTAGTCTCGGTGTTTGTGTTCGTCAGTCGACTCCAGTAGGAGGGCGCTTACCATAGGGAAATACAAGCGCATTGAAGATGATGTAGAGAATGAAGATCTTGTACCCAGTAGCGGTGAAAGATATTGGACCCGTGAAGACAGTGAGGAACGTGAAGAGCCAAGTCGTGATGCCCGCGACGCCCAGTCCGACGTGCCGCATGTGCAGTGGCAGAATCTCGGAAGGATACAGCCAGCTCATGGGTAGCATGCCGAAGGCAAAGCCAAAGAAAAAGACGATCAACATGACCATCCCTGCCCAGCCGGCGCTCTCACTGCCGATCGCAATGGAGATGGTAAATCCAGTCATGCTAAAACGAATTGCGAGTTAGTGATTTGCCTTTCCCCTTCTGCAAAACAGTTGAAATCGAGCGGGATATCACCCACCCGAGAGTGCAAATCGTGGTGCCAATCATGAGTGTCGGTCGGCGTCCCCATCGTTCAATGGTAAGCATTCCGCAGGTGGTGAAAGCGGCCCACGCGACTTGAATGATGGCAGCAATCATGATGGACTTGAGCGCGTCGAACTTCAGGTCGATCTCAAACAGATTGTTTGTATACGGAACGATCTCACTTTCTGTTAGTCCATGGTATAGAGCAGGGTGAAGAGACAGCGGGTGACGAAGCAAAGACGTACCACGTTCAAGCCGCTCATTTCCTGCAGCATCATAACCAAAAAGCACAGGCGTAACCGCCTACCGAGCTTAAGGTCGGTCGTGTCCCAGAACATAGCCTTGATGCATTGAGTAAACAGCCGAAACCCCTTCTCTTCGCGTTTTTCTTCATCGTCAACCTCAGCTTTGAGTGCGGCGTAGGTTGCTTGTATAAGCTCTGAATGCTCTGTCTGGTCATACACACGAGCCAAGACATTGTTCGCTGCTTCGACATAGCCCCGAGCATACAGCCATCGAGGTGATTCAGGGAGCAAGAAGATGGTCGCCTGAGTTTGGGACTTAGCACATCTCTGAAAGGCGAGCTGGTAACGGTTAGGAAACCATACCGCTGTAAATGTACCAAAAAAGCCCTGGAAAGCAGCAGGGAAGCGCCATATAAATTCCTGATTTGTGGTGTGTGAAAGCAAGCCAAAAACCATCCAGTCCGCCACGACGATACCGAGATGCATTCATGTCAGCAAACGTCGTTTGAACACTTCGCCATTGCACTTACTACTGCAAGTGTGAAAAGTGCAGCAATCAAAATACCGCGTCTGTTGGGTTTCGCAATTTCTGAGGCGAGCAACGGAATGGTGCAGCTTACGAAGCCAACGCCAAAGCCTGCAATCAGTCGGCCGGCGATCATCTGGGCGAGGCTGAAGGACGTGGCTTGCAAGGCAGCACCAATGACGAGGAATAAACAGCCGATGACTATGAGGCCGGCCATGTCAGTTCAGACCGTTCCAAGCTCGATTGTAGTGGAAGAAGTTGTTTTGCACCGACAAATAAGCCAACGTCGGCCGGTACGATAGCCAATTAGCATTGTTACAGCACTGCCAAATATCGCACCAACGGAGAAGATAGCCACTATGCACCCAACTATAAGAGGGTCGGTCTTCTATTGATGGGTTAGCCATGAGCTATGACAGAAGAAGCAGATGAACAATTACTCCCATGTGATGGAGAAGCGAGGGATTGTTTGACAGAGCTCCGACAACAGCCTGATCATATCCGAACATCGTGAATGCAATGCCGCAGCAAACCATGTAAGCCGTGACCAGCGCATTTCCACGCAGACTTTTGATGCCGAGAATATTTGGTTGCCACATAGCGATGTAATCATGAAACGTTCTGGACAAAACACAAACCGATCACTACCTATCTTTGGTTGTCAAGAACGCGACGGGGCGGGAGAGCCAACCCTCCTTTTTATATAGAGCAGACCACTAGCGCGAGCGGGAGCAGAAACAGAGATGGAGGAGATTCAGCTTCAACTGAGACCGGAAACACCGTGACATATCCTCGCGTACTCATGCCGAGCTTGAGCGAAGGGTCCGAGAAAGGCAGATTGCGCTTTCGAGGCTCGCGCTTCGCCATCGCAGGGCAAGACCGAGGATTCAACCCCATACACAAGCAGTTCCGGGCCTAGTCTTGTGGCGGGTAGCAGAACACTAGGGGATCCTTGGTGTGTTAGCCAGTGAAGCATTCCTGCTGGCGTTCGATGGGCAAGTTGTAGACAGGACATTGTAGAGATCTCGGACGCGATGTCCCTTTTTCTTGAGCCTCCAACCCGCTCACGTGATTATCACGTGGACGACTCCGAGACAGTTCCCACGTACCCAGCAGGGACCGAACAGACAAGAGTCCACTGGCGATCAATCACCAGTTCTAGCACTCCACGAAATCCCAGCATCGACATAATGCCAACGAACGGTCTCTTGCTCTGGCGCACCATGCCAAACTCTGACAGCATTTGGTCGCTGCCATTGCGGGCCCGATGGGTCTGACGGCCAGCACCACCATGGCTTCTGCTTCGAGGCCGATGCCCTGTCAGGGGAAGCCCGCTGCCAGAAATCGGTCTGTTGATCTCAGTCGGCCTTCCGACCAATATAATACTCTGATGATTTGCTGCTTCATTAATTCAAGTTGAGTATTAGTGAGCCCCTTCTCGCATCAATCTCAATCCTCGGTCATTTAAACTTTTGGCATATGAGCTCCTGCCAGCATTATGGTGAATATCAACACAAACGGCGATTCCGCCCTCCAAGCAAATGGTGAATCACATTCTTCGGTTGCAAAAGAGGCAAAACGCATCCTCATGGACCATTTGATCAGAGATACGAACTTTGCTATGCCCGCTGTGGTGTCCGAAGAGGCGTCAAGGGTGATTTTCACTCCAGACACTGAACCATTTATGCCTACCCCCATGAAGATGACAGAGTCCGTCTCTGCGTTGTGGGCATGTATTGGATTATTTGCAAATGCCATCTGTCGAGAGCGCTATAACACCCCAAAACCGGAGAGTATCGAAGTGGATGTGTATAGTGCCACTCTTATGTTGTTCTCTCTGATGTTATTTCAACTTGCCGGGTCTGGATTCGAAGATAGTGAAATGACAGCGCGAACAGCTCACATCGATAAAGGCATGATAAGTGAGACCTATAGGAGCCTGGCAACAAACATGTGAGCAAATGCGGTCATTGATTGCTCACATGTGTTTGTGTGCTGATTATTTTCTCATAGTTACAAGACAGCTGATGGCCGCTACTTTCAACTGCATGGCAGTCTCAACACCACGCCGGTCCTTGACATGATCGATTTGCCGCAGCATCGCCTTGACCTGCAAGGATCAGATCATCGGAGAGCGGTCAAGGACATCTACAAAGCTACAATTGCAAACAGGGACAGCGTATCCCTGGACATTGAAGTCAATGAGCGATGGCGACAACCAGGCGTGACCTGCCTCACTGTCGACGAGTTCGCGGCCACATTGCACGGCAGATGCAGCATCCAAGAGCCATTGTACAACATTTACAAGGTCCACGAGACACTGCAACCCGTGCCATGGCCCAAAGCAGAAGCTCAACAAGGTCCACTAGCAGGAATCAGAGTGCTCGATCTTACAAAAGTAGTTGCCGGTCCCACAATAACGCGGGTCCTGGCGCTGCTGGGGGCAGATGTCTTGCGTATCTCTTCAAATACTCAACCCGACGCCACATTTGCCCTTTTCGATGGCCAGCTGGGCAAGCGGGATGCCGACCTCAACTTGAAAACCGCCCAAGGGAAAGCCCGCTTCGAAACCCTCCTCAAGGACGCCGACGTGGTTGTGGATGGTCACAGGCCCGGAGTCCTGGAAAGACTGGGATTCGGCCCAAGGTGGGCCCAGGAGCTGGCCAGGCGGAGAGGAAGGGGAATGGTGTTTTGCAGGGAGAATTGCTACGGCTGGGTCGGCGAATGGAGCTCGCGGTGCGGTTATCAACAGATCAGCGACTGTGTACTGGCTTTCCCCATCCCCTGTTCCTTTCGTCCAAGTCTCTATTGAAACCTACAGTAGACTGATACGATCAATCAATCAAACAGGTATCCGGTGCGTCCTGGGAACAGGGCAAGTTCCTCGGCCTCAACGAGCCCATTGTGCCGCTACTGCCCAACTCTGACTATCAGTGAGTTCGTTCGCACTTCCAGCATCTTCTTAGCGAGAAAATGTGCCTGGTGACGGAGTGACTGACACTTTGCCCCATCGCCGGCTTACACAGAACCGGACTAGTGGGCGGCGTGGCGATCATGCAGGCCCTCCTGCAAAGGAGCCTCGACGGCGGCTCCTACAACGTCGACGTCTCCCTCACGCAGTTCAACAACTGGTACATCCGTGCCCTCGGACTCCACGGCCCACACACCCAGGCGTCGCTGCGGACAATGTACCCCCTGTTCAAGCCAAGACACGACACGGACATCTTCGAGCTGATGAAGCTCACCATGCAGGCCACCACGGTCGCCAAGGGGGATGGGCCAAGACAGCTTTGGGATCCGGCGCGATTCACTACGGGCCCGATCAGGTGGGGCGGCAAGGCAGGCGAAGTGGCCAGCTACCTCGACTGGCGGAGGATTGTGAGAGTCAAGACCGGTGACGGCGACCATCGAGGTGTCGTCTTCGACTTTGAGCACGGGTCGTGCATGCCTGGCTCGGACGAGCCGGAGTGGCTGTAATAGCCCTGTAAGGCTATGACCTGCGATCTGGTATCGTCCACCGTGGTCCATGCCACCCGTCGCTTCTGTAGAGAACAAAGACCTGCGCCTCTATGTATGATCCATAAGAGGACCACCATCGACTCGCACTGGCGATACGCGACTGTTCCATACTCCTAGATAATTGCTGATTAAATCATGCTCCATAGTCTAGGTAGTGTAGACCAGCAGTACGAGACGCCAGATTCCCGGAAACCCATTCAAAACCGTGGGGCACCAGAAAGATAGGCGCCTAGCAAGTATCTTGGGACTCTTAATTGCGCTAAGCAACACCCACATGGAGTGCAAAGTTCCTAAAAGTACTTCCTGGTGCTAATATACGCAAAGGCTGAAGATGACACCGAGGGATGATAGAAACGACGACAAAGAGCCAATCAAGAGACTGCGCCAGCCATGACCAGCGGCCGGACGCCGACGACCTGCTTTGTCTTGCCCGCTCCGCCTGGTGCACCAGGGGCAGAAGTAGAGCCAGACCCGGACGCGGCGGCGGCGGCATTGGTGTTGCTGTCAAGCCTCATGTCCCTTAACTTGGCAGCCACATCGTCCTGGTCGCCACCGCTTGTATGCGTCGTGCCCATCCCGATGCCCTCGTCCTCTCTCACCTGCCTCCTCTTCACCCCCTCAGGCACTGGCAACTCCACGCACCGGGCACCAAGCCGTCCCTTGATGTCCTCAAACAACACCTCCATAGGCGCAATATACGCTGTCTTGCTCTTCTCGCCCCATGCCAAGACATGGCCGCATAGCCCCCCCGAGGTAGGATCATAAACCCATGCGCCGCTGTCTCCCGGGATGCCGAAGCCTCCTTCTACACACCAACTCACAGAGAAGGATTGCCGGCCGTGCATCTTCACCAGCGACATGGCCTGTGAGATGCGTCCACGTCGGAAGCCGGATGAACGACCACGGCAGTGTACTCGTAGCCCGGAGAGGGAAGACAGGGGTGTTATCGTGGTGAGGACAGGGATTGGATCACCCTTTTGGGGAGAAGTCCTAGATCCTTGGCGTGTCGAGGATGTCGTTGGCGGAATGGTTGTACCCTTCTGCTGCGAAGTTATTGCATTCTCGACCTTCAAGCGATCCTCATGGATCCGAATCAGCGCCCAGTCAACTTCATGCTTCATTTCCCCTCTTACCACGCGTCGAATGCCGCTACTCGCAAAGACGTATCCGAACGCATGGCTCGCGAGGTGGTCATCGTCGCGATCTTCCTCGCTAGGAAAGAAGTCGTCGTCCACATCGTCGATGGCAGGTTGAGTCACACATAGATCATCATCAGAATAGGGTGCGATTCCCGTTTTGTCGCCGATGGAGGCCGCGTCGTCTGCGTCTGCTTCATCAGACGAAGATGCGTCGGATCCGTCATCGTCATCGAGTTCGGGAGGGCTGTCTTCGAGGAACCAGAACTCGTTGCCGTCTGCATCCATGATGGCATAGTCTGGTCGGATAGTGCTGGCGTCGCTTTGGTCGTCGTCATCATCACTGTTGTTCTCAAAGTCCTCGTCAGAAATGGCAAGATCGGAAAACCGCGAAAGGTCTTCCTCTGATTGCATGAAACGTACATCGGCTGAAGTGTCAAATTGTCCAGGCATTTTACGTGGTGCGGCAGCTCTTCGTGCTTGCTGTTGCTGCTGCTGCTGTTCACTGCGTCGAACGGTATCAATATCGTCGTCTTCATCCTCTTCGTCATCGCTGGGAAGGTCGAGCATATGGTGCACCGTCATTCCGTAGGGTTCGCCGTCGACCAGGATGGTGCCTCCAAAGGAGACAGGGGGTAGATGTTCGGCATCCTTGAAGGCTCCAATGCTGGCACCGCTAGTGGGTCGTTCCTGATACTTTTGTTCCAGAGGTCTTCGAGCCATGGATTTGGGACCTCTATATTTCGAACAACTGGAACCATACCCCGATCGCCTCGGCTTTCTCCTTCTACCAGTGCCGCTTCTTCGGACTTCGCCATTGAGAAGGACAACGCCCCACCCCTTCTTGGGTCTAAACTTCTTCCTCAGCACGTCACGGACCTTGTTGATCTGTGCGCATTGAATGCAAATGGTGGTCTTGGCATTCTCGGGGGCACTGCCGAACATCATCAGGCTGAGGCTGCAGGACGATTCGGGAGAATCCTTTAGAGCAGTCTCCAACATCTTGCCTAGCTTTGGCATCACCATGGTATTCCATTGGTCCAAGTCTGCTTGGGGAATATCCACGTCACTCCATTTCCGCAGAGGTTTCTCCGTTGGCTGCGTCAAATGCTGAATTGCTTCAGCTTTCCGCTTAGAGTTCGCTCTTTTAGGGAGTTCGGGCTTGACGTCGTCAGCCAGTTTCGGTGGCATTTTCTCCTCTTCGGCTGCTTTAGCTTCGGCTTTGCACATTTGCTCAATGATGATGAGCTCGAAGATCTCGATGTCAGAGATTGGAGGTGGGCCTTCTTCATCAAGAGCGCAACATTGTAGCAGATCCTTGGCGACCTGAAGCAGGAATGCTCCAGCATCCTCATAGTTGTTCCTGTATTGCAATTCCGTGGGCGCTTGCAAACATTTTTGAACAACCCGCATGTACTTGCTTCCACACTTTGAAGCCAGCTTATGTACGTAGATCCGCTGGACTCTTTCCATGAAGAGTCGGCGGTCATACTTTGGTTTCCACAATTTCTGTAGTGGAATCCACAAACCAATCTCCAACAGAAGCAGGCCGAGGCTGTAGATGTCATACGCAGGAACAACCTCAGAAGCGTGAATGTCGTGGTCAGGGTGGCGGTAGATGGTTGCTGCGAAAGACTCCTCGGCTTGCAAGCGTGAGAGAAAGTCCTGGCAAGACTGTAGTAAATAGGGATATCTCAGTTCTTTCGACAGGTGGGAGCGATGCATATGCTCTCTGCTGCCGATTAGAAGGATGTTGCTGCTGTTGATGTACTGATGAGTTTCGCCCTGGGCGAAATAGCCCATGATCGACAAAGCGAGATTGTATGCCAGTCGGAAGCGATCTTCGAGGGCCGGCGACGACCCTTCTTGATTGTTGCTTGTGATCAAGACGGATGCAAGAGTCCGGTGTTGCTGTAAAGTTTTGTGGTCGTGTCCCTCGGGCAAGGCATAGACCATCGCACAGCGCGGTCCATTGGGGTCGACAGTAAACCCGAGAAGTCTCAGGTGTCCACACCACGACAAAGATCGATCTTTGCAAAGCTTCTCGCCAAGTTCATGGAGCTCGAAGACATCCTCGGCGCTCCCGACAACATATGGTGGACAGTCGGCCCTGAGAAAGTCGACGAGGACGGGGCAGGCAGCCTGGCGAAAATAGGCGATCGACCACTCTCTTGATATTACCGAGCCTTCGGCGGGATCATACGGTGGGGGATCAGCTGCTTGGGGTGAGTACGTGCTGAACTCGAGACCGTTGAAGTCGATGTGCAGCGGGTGGTCATAAAGCGGGCCATAGTCAGTGCCATCAGCAGCAAGAGACGCATGGGCATGCTTCATCCGTTTGGCATCACCACCCTTCTCGTCGGCCCTCCTTGATTCCTCCAGGCTGTAGAGGACGTCAATGCAGGTAGTCAGCTGCTCAAGCAGGGCGCGTCCAGTCATGACCTCGTGACTGGTCCAGTCCCTTCGCGGGGCTACCGGACTCGAACCAGGGCCTCGTGCCGACTTCTTCATTTCGTACCGTTCAGGATGTTCAAGCCGGCCGCTTTCCTCCAGAAGTCTCTTAATCTCGGACATGACGCTGGCCACCACCTCGCCCAAACCGGCCTGGTCGATTTTCTTGTCAATGTCGACATCACCCTGGGCGGAATAGGGAGCACCGACGTCGGTCCAGTGCATGCCCCATGCCAGCAACCTGTCCTGCTGAATCTGAAAATCACGCCTCAAGTCCCTCAGCTCGGGCAGGTCGGTGACATTTGCAGCGGCCGGAGTGACTTTGGCGCTTTCATACGACTGCTTAGTGTCCGAGTAGAGCTTGGACAGGCGCTGAAGATAGGTGCCACGCCGCTGAAACATGGTGATGTGCGAGTTTGTCGGTCTGACGGTCGGCGGGTGGATAGAGAGGATTCGAAGTTATCGAGTGCTTTGACGGCGCATGTTCCAGTCTATTGCATGCGACGAGGCTAAAAGTGATGCATCGTTCGAGGAGAGTCGAAGTCGTTACGGAGTACGAGGTAGTGCTGAACTGATCATGCATAGGGCCGAGAAGTCTGAGCGGGCTGGAGCGGGGTGAATCCGAGTATATCGGGAGGGTGGAAATCCTGGTGCCTGGGATTCGGCGCATCAGCCAATTTTCGCCACACACTCGCCGCTCGGATTCCCACTAAGATTGTTGGCGGCCTAGAAACAAACGACGGCTGCCTCTGGTTAGGCGCCCACTCGGGCAGCCTTCAGCCACACTCTCCAGCTACACCAGCCCTTGCTGCCTCATACTCGTAGTACTTGTAGTAGAATCCATACCGAGTATAATACTCGGTCCTCTGCACTGGGGCCTGTTGCAATCATTCGCCGCCGTGACTGTCTCTTCGTTCCCAACTTACAGGGAGGGTTACGAGGGTTACGAGGGTTACGCTGGGATGCGTGAGATAGACCATAGACCGAGCTGAAGCCGTGACAGTTGCCGCACTGTCAGCAGAACACATCACCGCCTGGAATTAGGGAACAACGAAACCCGAAGGCAATGTTGCAGAGAATCACTTTCAGCTCAAATCAACTCAATTGTTCGATTGTGTTACAATTGATGACTACTTGTCTTCTGTAATAGGTCCACTCGAAAGGATACAAAATCCAGCTCGAGCACTGCGGCGTCTTTGCAGAGCAGGAGACAAAGTTCTCTTAAAACCCCTTGCGATAGAGAAAATAAAGCCAACGTCAATCGTTTTGTAATACAGCCAGACCCGTGCGCCTTGTTTCATCATCCATAACCACCTTAACCCATTGCCATGTCACTTGCGTCCGCGATTTTCTAGGTATCGACTGCAGTAGGAAGTCTAACCACCGAAACCGTAGAGGGTTCTGCCTTGTCGCTTGAGGGCATACACGACGTCTGTGCTCTGGGTTAGTCCTTGGTCACATACAGCATGGATCTCAGTCTCGACTTACCAAGAGAAGTAACGGTCTTTCTCTTCGCGTGTTCGGTGTAGGTGACAGCGTCACGAATGACGGACTCGAGGAAGGACTTGAGGACACCACGGGTCTCTTCGTATATCATGGCCGAGATACGCTTGACACCGCCACGACGGGCGAGACGTCGGATGGCAGGCTTGGTGATACCTTGGATGTTGTCGCGAAGAATCTTTCGGTGACGCTTGGCACCACCCTTTCCGAGGCCCTTTCCGCCTTTGCCGCCTATAGAAGAAGCTGTTAGTTATATTGCTGTAGGAGGGAATGTTGTTGCAATCATCAATGTTTTGATTCAGTTGGTGGGGGTGGGCGTGCAACAGCTCCGGGGTGCAGCTTGAAGCAACGACAAGGTGATGTGACGGCGACAACTCAAATAATCTCATCAATCGATGCAGAGAGGTGTCAACTTACGTCCAGTCATGTTTGCAGAAGTGTAAAGAAGATGAAGTGGTGTGCAATTGCCAAGTTATTGATGGTTGGTTGATGAGGTTGATGAATGCGGAACAAACGACCAAGTGGTGAAAGGAGATGGTTAAAAAGCAGGCGGGAAAAGCGAGGGGAAAAGAAGAAAGGGGAAGAAAATCGGTAGGAGGGAGCGAGGATTATAAGCGAAAGGGCAGGAAGGCAGCGCGACACGGGCTCGACGGGGAGTGACAGCAAGATCAGGTCAGGGACTGGGGGCTTGGCGGTGATCGTTGATCCTGGATCCGAAGGTTGATTTCAGACTGCGAAAAGGTCGCTGTGAAAATCAGGAAAAAGACGAGCTTGAAATCACGCAGTCATAACAAGGCACTGTTGCGTGGCGTTGATTGGCTGTGGCATGTTGGGTTTGCTTTTTGTTCTGAATGCCGCGCCGGGCAGATCACAGGTCACATGCTCCATGCCACTAGCGCCTTTTGTGAAACTAGTGGGGAACTTTGAATTTACCCAGTACCCAGTTGTGCCTACATCACGTGCCGGGTCTAGGGCTCAGCCTTGGCAGATCGGCCTTATACTTATGGCGTATTCGAAGAACCGACGAACAAGGCTGTGGACAATCCTTCAAGTAATTGATCATTGTACATGCACGAGTCAAAAGACCTACCCATGCCACCCTAAACTCCTCCGACCTTACCTAGCTAAAATCCCTTGAACCCCTCATACCGCTGCTTCTCCTTGTACTTCTTATATCCAACATACCCACCACCGGCCACGCCGGCAAACAGCAGCACTTTGAAGAAGAACCATCCCCAGCCACCACCCTGTTGCTTGGAACTCCTCCCTCTGCCACTGGCCCGCGCCTGCGCCGCCCTGTCTCTCCCAGAGTTTGCCGCCACCGGATTGTACAGATTCCGTGTTTCCACGCTGATAATGTCAAAGTTGTCCGACAGTTCACCCGTGTGCGCGCTGAATCCCAGATATGCTGTGTTGGGCATCTTCAATGGTTGTTGGTCTGTAGGAGTAATGGAGAAGCAATCAATCCACGCATCGGTCGCTTTGTACTGTAGCTGGAGTGTGAGCGATTTGTCTTGGAAATAGGTCAACTTTGCTTTGGTGGGGATGGAAGCACCGCGCAATCCTCGAGCCTATTGGGACCCTTGGTCAGCCTCATCATCCTAGTATTTTCTCCCCATATCACCGCTGAAATGCTCATCTCTTACCGAGCAACCACCAATTTCGTTCGCCTTCCCGTCATTCGCCGCATCGTATGAAGTCTTTCCATCTCCCATCATCCCCATCACATAGGGAAACACTACCCCAGGTCTGTTGTTCTTGTAGGTGTCGAAGAAAATCCCCAACCCCTCAAACCGATCCGCATGCCCGAACACGGGACCAGGCTGCGCCCTCTCCTTTGTGATCCACATTGCAAACCCGTCTCCGTGTAAATGGCCCTTGCCATGGATTGCGAACTCGAACTCGACTTCCCAGTTCGTCGCCGTCAGCGGTATTCGGGAGAAGATCCAACCTGACTGTGAGGGCATGTCGGAGGCGAGTCGTATGTACTGGTCGGCGCGGATGATTGTGTCGCCGCCAAAGTCAAACCATCGACTGGACATGTCCGAGTCGAGGTATGGAGGTGCGAGACTGTGTGTTCTCAGCTGACGAGAAAATTAGCCAGTGGCCCAGACAGAAGCAGTGGAAAGATGCGTTGATGTCAGGACCTACAGGGACACTCTTCATCTCTGGGTCTGCCTCTACAGCCGCTCGCGTGCCAACTGCGCATGCCGCCAGCAGCCATAATGAGGACCAGACATTGGACGGCCACATCTTGTACGGGGTACAAAGGCTGTCTAATGCTCAGAAATTTCGCAATAGCGGTAAGAAAAGAAAATATCACCGAGACTTCATGGCAAGGCACACACAGCTGTGCGCGAAAGTGTCGCAAACCCCTTAAGGTCGCAGAAAAGTGAAGTGGTAGTAGTCGAACTACCGTAAAGGTGTTCAGTTTCGCCAGACTATTCGACGCAGGTGAATTGGGCCGTGTGGAGAACCACAAACAGTTTGGTGATGCCCCCTGCCAATACTAATGACCTCCACCAATTGTTATAGGCGGGCATGATGGCTCCAATGGCTCTAATTAATGGGCTTACCGGCAGACCTGCCCTGATGAGCCCAACTAAACTAACGGAATGGACATTTGCCTGTGAGGGTCTTTTTACTTGACGGAAACAACGACCAAGCAAGTCCTCCGATATTTCCAGAGCTCCCCTCAACTCAAGACTACCAAAAATCAAAGCTCCCTACTAGCTAGTAACCTACACAGTCAGAGTGTCATAACACAATGGCCTTCGGAGGCTTCTTCGGCGGCGGCTCGTCCAAAGACAACTCTTCCGCCGCATCATCGTCAACCTCTTCCGACTCTTCATCCACATCCATCTCAAACTCTCTGTCATCGTCCTCCTCCTTCACATCCCCCAGCGACACCACCGCAACAACGACGACGCCGACGCAGGGGGTGACACTTCAACGCCTCCAAGCCGCCATAATCGAACAGTCCAACGTCGCCAACGCAAAGCAATTAATCTCCAACGTCAACATAAACTGCTTTGAAAAATGCGTCCCCAGCCCGGGCAGCAGCCTAAGCTCGGCGGAGCAGAAGTGCCTGACCGCCTGTATGGAGAAGTACATTGACGCATGGAACGTGACGAGTCGGGCGTACACGGCGGGACTGCGGAGGGAAAGTGCTTCGTTTGGCGGTGGGATTGGTGGCTCCAGCGCAGGAGGAGGCAAGGAGCTATTTTGAGCTGCTGCCCGACTAGGTGAGGTCGCTGCCGGGACATGTCTGTCGTCCTCCAAAGGGGAACGGGAGAGGAGAATCTGTGGAGCTATGACCAGATCATTCAGACCTTGGTTGACCCAAAACTTGGGGCAACAGCGAGGTGGATGGACACAACGAACGGCTCAAGGCCGAGGTATCTTCACGCAACGCCCAATGCACTACCTGCTTCCCATGCGCTGGTGTCTCTTTGGACATGCTGTACAGATTACCAGACACCAGAGCACAAGGAGAACAGAGCGAACAAAAGTCCTGAGACCTTTCCAAAGACCCAGGCTGCCCTACGACTGATCCTTTACGAAGTCCAACCTCCCACCCCTTTATGGAACTGCCCACGCCCCTCCTCAATGTAAAAACATATTCCGACCGACCTTGTTGCAACGCCTCGCGCGTCTGATCAGTTTCCATCGGCGGTCACCGCCGGGATCCTATAATTCCGAGATCGACTAATCTGATTTCGACATCAATAAGTCCCTGCGCACTCCTCAATCTCAAGCTCAGCTGTACATTAGTCCTTGTTTCAGGGATATCAGGAGAGACAAATTTGAAAGAAAAAAAAATTCTGTAAATAGGATAGCAATATGGCAGTGAGAATCCCCCGTTGTGGACTGTCACACGTTGGACTTCCAGTCCTCTCGTCTCAAATCCGACAATTGAACCATGGGGAGGCGAAAGATCGGGTGGGTTGATAGGAAGGAAAATAGAGTTTACCGCATGAAAAATCAGAGGCTCATCCAAGGCTCAACTGCTTTGCTTGTCGGCATCGGAGGGATAACTTCTCAAACCGCGTGTATGCAAAATACATATCCCATGGCCGCTCATCGCGATATTGTCCCAATACAGTGCATTGAGCACTTTGTGCGATCCTGCACATCGCCCTTTTGGAGTCATGAATAGATATCCCAGCTTTCCGCAGCGTCGTTGCAATCATTATACACAGCAGCGACAACAACAACCACAACCACAAACCACGACCACGACCACGACCACAACCGCTGTGGTGCACCAAATACTGCAACCGCAAAATCCAAAGACACCATCTTCACCACCAGAGTGTCAAGGTGGCCTCCATTAGGATCTTACCCCGCTGTCATCAAAAAAAAAATCGTCAATACCAGAACTGCTCCGGCTGCAGTTCAAATCGAATCCGGGGGCCTTTTTTGTTGTTGTCTTACGCGTCATCGACCAAGACAAGCTCGCAGTCATCCTGCAAGCTGTGATGATCCAATGTCTGTTTGTCTCTTTCCACTTCTTCGTGCGCGCTAGTTTTGCTTGCTGTGCTCTTTCGGTGCTTCGTTGTGCTGATGTAAGATTTAGAAGTCCACGAAAAAATGGCCAAACCTGTAGATCATGTCAGCTCCAAGGCATTCAGACAAACGGGTCACCAAGGCGGCATACGGGTCCTCTCCTTTCTTGCCATATTCTTCTGTCTCCTCGGGATATTTGTCGAACTGACTGGCATCACCAGCTCCACCCTTGACTGGTGGAACGTACGGGGCGTCAATATCTTTCTTCAAAAGCCTCTCCCAGGTGACCTCTGCAAACCACGGATGATTCTTGATGTCTGCCGGACCGCCATGCAAATTGCCTAGTCGCTTGGTCAAGTCGCTTGTGATCAGCTGAACCAGAAGGTCTTGGGCGTCGGCATGAATGTAGGGAGGATATTTGACCCTTCCCTTGAGGATGTTCTCGTAAATCTTGACGGGAGAACCTCCATCCCAGAATGGTGTAAACCCACACAGCATTTCGAAAATCAAGATCCCTAGGGACCACCTAGAAAAACCTCAGTGTGAGAACTACAAACACGGTGGCGACGCCCTTACCAGTCCACCGACTTATTGTACCCCTTTGAAGCCACGACTTCCGGAGCCAGGTAGTCGGGGGTGCCACAAAGAGTCCACGTAATGTCGGGCACTTCTTTGGCAAAACCAAAGTCGGTGATCTTGACATGGCCATGTCTGTCCAATAGAAGGTTTTCTGGCTTCAGGTCGCGGTAGATGATGTTCTGTCCGTGCAGATATTCGAGTGCCAAGGTGACTTCGGCGGCATAGAACTTGGCTACTGGATTGGGGAAGCGCTATCACGGAAGGTCAACGTCAGGTGGCGCTGGACAAGCAAAGGACAGGGCATTACCTGAGACTTTCGAAGGAGGCTGAAAAGCTCTCCACCTTCAATAAAGTCCATGACCATGTACAGGTTTTTGGAGTCCTGGAAGGTGCCCCAGAGGGTGATGAGGAAAGGGTGCTTGACCCGTTGCAGCATACGTCTCTCGTCGTTGGTATGCTCGATCTGCTTCATCTTGACTACTTGGGCCTTCTTCAGGACTTTAATGGCATAGAAGCGTTGATTGTGTTTTGACTGCACCAGGTGCACCCGCCCAAACGAGCCCGTCCCCAGCGTCCTCTGAATGGCGAAGTCTGAGAGGGTGTATTTGCCCTTTGTTTGTCTTTGCACAGGCTTGGATTCCACCACGCCCCCGGTAGGGCTGGCGACAGGGGCAACGTTCATGTCGACACCGCCGTTGCTTTCGACCGACTTGGCATGAGGCTCTGGAGTGGAGGTGGTTGTCACAGCCGTGGTGGCCTGGGAGGGGGCATCGGAGGCGCCTGTGATCCTGGAGGAGACAGGCGATGAGGTGTCGGTCTTTTGTGAAGACTTGTATTGAATGGGCTGATAATTGCCGCCGCCTGATTGAGCGGACTTGTCGTCAGAAGACTCTTTGGTCTTCTTTTTCTTGAGCAGACCTCCAAAGGTCGGCATTTGGGTGACGCAGGGAAGCGCACGTTCCCAAAGGCTGGAATGCTAACAATAGGATGATGGAAGGGAGCTCGGAGGTCTGTTGGACTGCCCACCGAGTCACAACGTGGAACGTGGAATTAGGTGAGGGAGGGCAATGGATTGAGAGAGGTGGGGAGGGGTAGCAACAGCCGCAGCTCGCAGCTCGCAGCAGGGCGAGATAGAGACCAGGATCAACCCACGCGGTTTGCTCGATTATTCGGTCGGATAATGGGCTGGCCGCTGGGAAGCTGCAATGCACACCGATAAGCTCCAATTGAGGACCAAAGGGAAGGTGGCGAGCGCGACAGCAAGGTCAGTCGGAACTGAGATAGCAGCAGTGTCCCTCTTTTCTTGTTTTCCTTATTCAGGGAAGAGGGAAGGGCAATAGAGCTAGAGTGACAAGCTGTGTATCACACGCAGACAAGAAGTCAAAACTCAGGGCGGAGCTGCAACGCTGAAAGCTGAGAGACGGGATCTTTGAACTCTCCGTGTCCCTCTCTGCAGAGCTGGAGGAGGGCTCTGCGAGTGTGCTTGTCACTAGGAGTGGTTTAGGTAAAGAGAGCGCAGGGCGGTTGACGATATTATTGGCGACGAGGGCACCAGTGAGGAGGGGCCAATGCCGGGCTGGTAGCAGCAAGAGGAGCAGGAGGGAGCGACAGGCGGGTGTTGAAAGACGCGGGGAAAGTGACCGCCTAACAATCGCCTAGTTACTCTCGTAGATAGCGAGGTACATAGGTACTGCAGCTTGTCAAGTAGCCGTAGGTAGAGTCGTAGACTCCCCTCAGTGCCCTTCTTTACTGTCCACTCACCTCGTCGCCCTCAGCCACGTATGTCACTGTCCACTAGTGCTGGAACAACCCTGAACAACCCCTCCTGACGTAGGCCACCTAAGCCAACCCAGCCGACGCTTGCCGGGCTGCCTACGCCGCTATCTCCGGGTGAGATGGTCCAACTGATGTACTTGTAGGGACTCGGTTCCTAGAGCAGGGCGAGGGCAACGCAGTCGTTATATATTCAAGCCGTCGTTTGAACAGGAATAGGCGCATAGCATCCCGTGTACGTTCCCCCTGGCTACGTAGGTGAATAGCAAGGCCCTTTCATCATGCCCGCGCCAACCTCATTTCCCGCGTTACCTCGTCGACAATTTCCTGTGCCTCCCCGGCTGTCCGCGCCTCAAAATCGTATCGTTTCGATTCATTAATTCGCCGCACCACAATTCGAACAAGCTTGGGGTGCTTGGAGCTGACCTTGCACTTCAAGATATCGTTGAATGCAATCGAGCTGAATTTGGCATTGGAGCTGTTGTCGGCCGGCATGACATGAATGATGTCGCCATCAAACACAAGCACCCTCTGACTCCCTTGTGCAAAGCCACCCAGCTGTTTCCGCGTGACATAGTATTTCTTGAAGTTGCTGGCAGTTGACAAGAGGTCCTGCTTCTGTGCCAGGGGATGGAGGGGCTGGCCTCTCTTGCCCTTCTTGGGGCCTTGGATATCCAACAAGAGGGGTGCGTTGGGCGACGAACTGCCTGGTGAGCCCGTCAAACTAACACCAGCTCCAAACCTTCGACGCACCAGATCTAGCTCGGATCGTGAGCCCAGGGCTTCTACGGTACGATCCAGTGGCGCCACAGTATTTGTACCGGCCACTTTTAGGACAAACCCAGCCTTCTCCAGGTTCCATCTCTTGCAGACATGGTCCAGGATCTCCGCAATGTAGCCATCCGTGGAGATCTCCATGGTCATTGTCTGCGCGGTCATCTCGAGGTTCAAATACCGTATCCTGATGGTCTTCGTCGCCCCCATGCGCGGCGTGGCTTGCGGTGCCGCTGGCGCAGGGAGATCTGCCGGTGTCAAGGACGTGTTGCTGAGTGCCGAGGTGAATGGTTGTCCAGCCAAGAGTATGTTGGTTCGCGATGGTGGCGCTTTTGACACAGGAGGCGGTGGTGGTGGTGGTGGTGGTTGAGATTGTGGTGTGGCTCCGTCTAGCGCGACGACAGGACCAGCTTCCGCCGCAGCTTCTGGTATAAACTGAGGCGTTTCTTTCTTGTTCGCTTCATGCTGTGCAGGGGAAGCTTCCACAAGTGCAAAGTCATCGAATGGGCGATCTCTTGCACGACCTCTTCCGCCTCTGTTGTTGTTGTAGGTGAAGTCGGTCACAGGCCTCGTACGAACGAGCGGTGGGAAATCATCATCCACCTCTCCCTCTTCCACCATCCGCAATGTCCATTGGTTGACATCAAGCTGTTCGGGCGTAAGAGCCGGCTCCCGCTTTTCTTCTCCGTATCTCCACAGGGCGTGACCGATCGCTTCGGCGACAATGATCAGACTGCCGTCTTTAGACGTCCGTGCCAGTGGCATCTCAAAAGGCTCATCGGTGTCATTGGCAAAAGGCGTGTATATCTTGATCCAGAGTGGATTCGGGGTGCCTTTGCCAGAGAGACCAGCAAATGCCTGTATTGGGTTGCTCGGACCCTTTTTCTGGGCACCAAGGGCCTCAGTAAGTAAGCTCTTGGGCTGGATCATACTAATAGGTCGAGGAGGTGGTAGCTCATGCAAGATCGGCAACGTTCGCTGTCTTCTTGGCGATTCTGGTTGAGATGAACGAGGCCCCGAGCCGGTCAGACTGCCGAGCGTTGGTGGTGTAGATGTAAGATTCGTGTCTTCCATAGTATTGAGTAGGGATGCTGAGTCCATGGTGTCGCCCAGCTCTGAAGACATTGCAGATCCAAGAGATTCAGCATCAGAGTCCTCCTGCACATCTCCTAGTTGACCGGGCTCTGCTCCAACCCTTATTTGTCCGTTATTGGAGATGGGCACAGATTTGGACCTTTGGCCTGCATAGACTTGACGGCGCTGGAAGTAGGCGGGATCGACTTCGTTTTCAGAGGACATGTCGCTGCTCGTGGTGGTGTCGCGCCTGGCGCGAGCTTTGACAGCTTCAACAGCACCGAGAGACCCAGTTCGGCGTCGGTTGTCGTTAGGAGCTTTCAACGGCGACGTCCTTCCCCCCTCTACATCTGAACCCCGGATTGGAGAAGAGTCAGCTCGATGACGGGAGGGCATCTTTGCAAAGCGAATTTGCTGTGCGGCCCGTTGCCCACCGTCAGCCTCCTCGTCTGACTCGTCGGTGAGATCGCTACTATCATCGTCCTCGACATGCTCCTTCTTTCTCCTCCGCCTGACGTTCAAGCCAGGACCAATGGTGTCGTTGCTGGTTCTACCAGTGACGAGGCCACCCTCGTCCTCTTCATCAGCTTGTGAGTTTATTTGCTGGAGGTCGGCACCTTCCTTGAGATACTCGCTGTTGATGGACGTCGGAATGGGTGGAGAGTATGTCCGGTGAACAGGATCAGCCGACCAGCCTGCTGCACGAAATCCAGGAGTGTTTAAGATTGATGAATTAACATTGATGAGTCGCTCTGCAGTGCCATCTTTGGCACTTGCTAGAAAAGATGTGCGCAGATACCAGATGGCAAAGCTGGGGTTCTGGGTCAGCGAATCTCGGGTTCATGGGATCTGACCATGGAGTTCCGGAAGGGCTAGGAAGACACAACTGGGTCAACTCACTCTTCGTTCTGCAAAAGGGCCATGGCGCATGTCTTGAACGAAGTTGACAGAGCCTCAGTTCAGGATCACGCACCGCCCAACGTAGTCCATCAAGAGATCAAATATTTGCTCGACGAAGCAAGTTTGGAATACCCTCGCAGCATATTCTCGAGAAGGTCACCATGAATCGCATCACTCACCTTCTCAAGAAGCAATATGTGGGATATGAAACAACAAAGCTGTGGTGTTTGGTAACACGGACTGGAATCGAGGGGCGACGTCTGGGTCAAACTAGGCTGGAGTTTACGGTAATAAGCACCTGCGGGCACTGGCCAATTAGTACGATAGAGTACTACGCCAGCCTTGCGGCTAGGTAGACACAGCCTCGTCATTGTCACTTCAAATGCGGGCTGCTCCTATGGATTTTGCCTTTCCACTTCATCGTCCTTTTCTTTTGTCAACCTTCGTATCCTGCCTTGCATACTCTCTTTTCTCCTCCACAGCCATAATGGAGTGTCGGCATGCTCATCTAGACACTCTCCACCCCCCAAGACCTAACCAGAGTGTCTACCGCGAAGACTGCACCCAGTGTTTCGATTCCATAGACGATGAAGCTGGCCTCGACGTCTGCCTGCATTGCTTCAATGGTGGCTGCGCTGGCGATCGCAATCACTCTCAGATGCACTACTCATCTACAGACCATCCACTGGTGCTAAACATCAAACGAACCCGGAAACAGGTCCAAAGAGACGAACCCCCTCCAAAGCTTACCAAACTCGCCATCGCCGCCGAGACAGAGGAGGACAAATATGATACAGTCACAAGAGTCAAGTGCTATGCCTGCCAAATGCAAGATGTGAATAAGAACTCGGGCAATCTTCCTTCAGTTGTGGACGGAGTCATGAAGGCCATGACCTTTGCCAAATCGGAAGAAGTCAAGGCATGGGAGCAAGAGTTTACGCCATGTGAACATACACTCTGTCTAAAGCAAAAACCTAGGCGAAAAATCGAATCACAAAACCTGGGCTCATGTTCCATGTGCAATTTGAAGGAGAACCTGTGGCTCTGCCTGGAATGTGGCAACCTGGGATGTGGTCGTGCACAGTTTGGTGGCATTGGTGGCAACTCCCACGGTCTGGGTCATGCAACGGAGACTGGTCATGCTGTAGCCGTCAAGCTCGGTTCCATCACTCCAGAAGGTAGTGCCGACGTCTATTGCTACCAGTGTAATGAGGAACGAGTCGACATTGAGCTCGCCAAACATCTTGCTCACTGGGGCATCAACATCGCTGAACGGGAAAAAACCGAAAAGAGTCTGATGGAGATGCAGGTCGAGCAGAATCTGAAATGGGACTTCTCCATGACAACGGAGGATGGTAAGGAGCTATCTCCACTCTTCGGCCCGGGTTTTACAGGTCTGAAGAATATCGGCAACAGTTGCTACCTTGCAAGCACTGTCCAATGCTTGTTCGCATTACCAGATTTTCAACAGCGATATTACCACCCTGAAGAGCCACCTCCAGCCACTGAGCTCCCTGCCGAAGACTTAGAGACGCAACTGCGGAAGCTCGCCGACGGTATACTCTCCGGCCGCTATTCTCGCCCCGAAAACAACGTTCATTCCGCTTCCGACAACCCAGAAGTGCCACATCAGAAGGGTCTCTCCCCTGCCATGTTCAAACATTTAATCGGACGAGGACACGAGGAGTTCTCGACCATGAGACAACAAGATGCCTTTGAATTGCTGCTCCATCTCTTCAAGCTCATCAACATCTCCAACGGCTCTCGTCCTTCAGAAGACCCTGTTCAGTCATTTCGCTTCGCACTGGAGCAACGCTTGCAGTGCCTGAACTGCAAGCGAGTGCGATATAGGACTGATGAGCAAGACAATATCTCCATTCCTGTGCCGGTCCGGAGGAAACCGGCAGTCAACGGTGACGGTGGAACAGCAGATACAGTGAAGGGTGCCGAATTCGAGCCTGTTTCACTCAAGGAATGCCTAAACATCTTCACGGCTTCCACTTCCGTGGAATTGACCTGCCCTGCTTGTGGCTCAAAGGCTGGATTTTCGAAGTCATCCAAGTTCAAGACGTTCCCTCGCAATCTTGTAATTAATCCTCTTCGCTTCGAAATCATCAATTGGGTGCCTACCAAACTCGATGTCCCTGTTCAGGTGCCAGATGAACCGTTCGACTTGAGTACGTACAAATCTGAGGGATTGCAACCCGGCGAAGAGGAATTGCCTGAAGATGCAGACGTGGGACAGACTAAATTGTCTTCGGTCGCATTCGTCCCGAACGAGGCAGCCCTCGAGCAACTTGCGTCAATGGGATTTCCTCTAGTACGATGCGAAAAAGCACTACACGCCACGGGCAACGCAGACGCCGAGGCAGCCATGAATTGGCTGTTTTCGCATATGGATGACCCCGACATCGACGAACCTTTAAATATTGGCAGTGGCGGTGGTGGTGTTTCAGGCGACGATGCTGACAAGATTGCTCAGCTTGGGGATATGGGGATTAGTGTGCCACAGGCGCGGAAAGCTTTACGAGAATGCAATGGGGATGTCAACCGAGCTCTAGACTGGGTTTTCAGCCACCCAGATGACCAAGGAGATTTCAGTGATGATGTGCCTACCGCTCCCAGTCAACCAAAGGCGCTGCCCGGCAGTGATCAGCTACCCGCCAAGTTTGAACTCCAGAGTATTGTCTGCCATAAAGGTGCCAGCATTCACGCCGGTCATTATGTAGCATTCATTCGGAAGGCGATTCCAGGCGAAGGTAAGGAAAGACAGTGGGTACTTTTCAATGACGAGAAGGTCGTCAAGGCGGTGGACGTGGACGAAATGAAGAAATTCGCATACATCTACTTTTTCCGCATGACATGACGATGCCGGCACCGATGAAAAAAGCCCAAAAAGGTCAAGGACAGGACGATGACACACACGGAAACCCGTGCATTGGGACCGTATGAAAATCAGAGCGACGGGAAATCTGTATCCGAAGCAAAAAGACATGGCCATGATGAGATATCATAGAATAGACCGGCAACAACTTGTCAATGAGATCAAGATCCATCGGTCATGAGGCACTGGCCAGGATTCAAACGTAGGGATGATGGCTGTTGCACTCCCCGCTGAGCTGGTCCACTGGATTCTTTAATTTCCATACCTTTTTCAGAAAGACACAGCTGGAGCCTGGTATCTGATGAGAGGCCGATAACTCACTCGACCTTCGCTTTAGCCTTTCCTTGCGAGTTGGTACTGTACGCACGGAGTAATATGTCTGAGCGTATTCCCGACACACTAGACTTTCCAGAAGAAGATATCTAAAGAGAGCGCAGAGAAACTGTATGTATGTATGTACATATATACCAAAAAACCCGGCATGGGATAGGATAGGATAGGATAAGATAAGAAGATTTCGTCTCCTTGAGAAGCTGCCATATGACCAAAAGGATGGGAAAGAAGAAATACAACCCAACACAGTCCGCGGCTCTTCGTAAGGTAGTATAATAATACTACGGCACACGCGTGGTTGCACGAATGAGGAGCGTAAAGATAGCATTTTGAGTTTTTATTTCTCCTGGTTCCGAGGACTCTACATAGGCATCTGGTGCAGTGCCTGGATAGATACAGTACATGCGCCCCTCGACAGAATAAAGAAAGAGGGTTTGTTTCAAGAAACCCACAGCCGACAAGTCCCGTCGCCGCCAGCGCTCACGAGCCACGGATGCTGCGGGTGCCAGTCCAGGTCCAGAACACCGAGGCCAGCCGTGATCTTGTGTCCACGCAGGACTTTCAGGGGCACGATCTGCGCGTGGCTCATCATGTCGCTGGTGACCGTGCCGTGGAAGACCTGGATGGTGCCGTCGTCGCTGGCGTCCGCGAAGAGTGGGTATCGGGTTGTCGATGGGTGGAAGCGCACGGTCCGGATTGCCTTCTCGTGGAACCGCAGTGTCTTGTGCGGCCGCAGCGAAAGGTCCAGGTCCATCCACAGTAGGCGCCGGTCGTAGGAGCCGACGATTAGGTTGTCAGACCCCGTTGTTGACGAGCTTGTTGGGTGGATGTCGAAGCTTGAGATCCAGCGGGCGCCGGGCTGGATGATTTTGAGGAGTGACTGCTTGGACAGGTCGTAAGCTCGGATCACGCGCTGGTTCGCGACGAAGAGGACTGGCTTGCTTGGGTGGAAGTGCGCCGCTTGCGGAGTGCCACCGCCCTTGAGTCGCTTTCCGAAGGGTAGTTGTGTGTGGTGCTTGGAGATTGTGTGGATGGCGATGGCCTGGGATGCTGGAACACTGGTGGCGGGACAGACCGTAACAAAGTGGTTGCCGCCGGAATGGAAGGACAAGGTCTTCGCGGTATGTCCAAGGTGGATAACTAGAGCAACACCATCGTCCCGTCGGGAAGAGGACGGTCGGCTCCATTTGACACTTATGGACTTGGATGTGCTGCCCTCCGTTGCCGCGTATCCCCATCCCGCGTCCAGGATTGCTTGAGCAGCATCGGCTTCCGCGCTGAAGTCTGTACCGAGGCGCGGGACGCAGAGATAAATATCATCTCCGGCACAGGCAGCTATTATAGGTGCGTCTTTTCCAGGTCGCCACCGAACGACATTGACTCCGGCCTCCGAAGTCAATTGTGCAGACCAGATCTCGCGCGGAGGCATTAGGGTCCAGACTCTCGCGGTGCCATCATCACCCCCAGTGGCGAGATATTGTCCAGATGGATCAATCGCCAGAGATCGTACACGACCTTTGTGGCCATGAAACCGGCCAGCCTCGTGCGTAGGGAATGGTCTAAGTTCATCTGGACTCGGTAGTTTGGGCAAGAGTGAATCGGGGTCAATGTTGAGCTTCGTCCGGCGTACTCGGGGTGCAAGATACAGATCCAGACACCGTTCGAACTTTTCCTTGATGAATCGTTCATAACCTGGTACTTTCCGCAGCGACGCATGGTCCGTTGGCAGGTAATCTTTCTCTCGGTCTTCTTCATCAGCCTTTTCCCATGCCTCTTTCTCGGTTTTGTCTGGAATGTATTCCGGCGGTGGATGGTAGCTTTCATCAAATCCAGGAGGTGGAAGTTTCGGAGCAGGCATGTGCATTGCATGGTCCGCCTTGGGTTTTTCATCGGCCCAAATATCATAGTTTTGTATTCCCTCGTCCTCTTCTTCCTCTTGTGGCGGTTTATAAGGCAAAATGCGACCTTCTCGAATTGCACGAACAAGTTTCATCACTCGCTTTGCCTCGTGCCTGGACGGCACAAACCGTCTCTTGGGTTCTGGAGCAGAGCTCAGAGGCATTACTTCAGTTTTGCTGCTGAACCATTCGACCATAGGTTCGTATGGGTCATATCCGTCGGCGGCGACCTCGTTCATCTGTACCTTCTTGAGCAGCTGTAGTTCTTCTTGAGTGAGTTCTAAGGGCTTCCCAGTGGCGGGGTCTGTGAGGCCAGTCCATCCTTTGGGAACTTCGATGCTATCAAGGAGTGCATCGAGGGCTTCTCCTCTAGCTGGCCTCATGATCTTCTTCCCATTAATGTTGTAGCCGATGTGAGGGTAAGAATCATAGAAGGACAGAGGAATATTGCCAATGGTGTTGGCTTCATTGTCTGGGACCGAATAATCCGAGTCATCGCCGGGATCTATCTCGGGATAGATATACCTGACGTTCCCGTTCGCGTCTTTGACGATCTCGTAGTTGGGTTCTTCATCGGGCGCATCATGTTCCTTCTCCTCGGGTGTCGAGGCCACATTCTGGACGCCAACGTCCACCTTTTTGGTATCTTTCGCCTGTCCTGTCTTTTTTGGCTTCAGCAGCTCTTCATCGCCTTCTGACGGCAGCTCCTCGGTTCCTACGGATACTGCATCGCTCTGATCTTCGGCTCCGCTGCTCAGATCGTCTTCGTCACCCCCACTGACAGATTCGTCGTCTGCAAGGGTCCCGTCTAGATGTGCAAAGTCGAATTCGTCCCCAGACACCACAGCAGCATCTTCATCGACGTCCCTGGTCACGGCTTTTCGCTTCTTGGACTCGGCCATGGTACTGCGCAGGGGATTGAATGCGTAGGTACCAGGGGTAGATGCCCAAAAATTTCTTGAATTTGCTCGCAAGTTTCAATTTGTGGAGACGAAGCAGGCTTGAGCAGGGAACTTTTTCTGCCGCTTTGGAGCAAAAGGCGGTGTGCGGCGAAATCCCTTTACCTGCGATCGGAATTTCAACTCGAATCTTTTGTTCAGTGCCCTCTCCATTCCTTTCCCGTCGCTCTCTTTCCTTTGTTTTCTTTCTATCAAGCTGCAAAAGTTATAGAAACGGCGATCGAACGTGCACCCTCTCTCGTTATCAAAATGGGTTCTGTCAAAACACCTTTTGAGAGCGTCCAAGCATGCTGGGCGCGAGTCTCTCAAAATTCCCCAGTCTACAAATTTTTCCTGTCGGACATCGAACTCGTCAGTGCTACAGATGGCTCCATGGTCGCTCGACTCCCTGTCTCCGCAAACCTTCTCAATTCCAAAGGTGGATTGCATGGCTCAGTATCTGCGACCATCGTTGACTGGGCAGGCGGAATGGCCATTGCCAGCACGGGCCTCGAAAAGACTGGATTGAGTACTGATATCCATGTTTCCTACGTCTCGACGGCAAAGTTGGGCGATGTTTTGACCATCGAGGGAAATGTCAGCAAGGTGGGAAGAAATTTGGGCTTCACAACCGTCGTCATTTACAAAGGCGAAGGGACAAACAAAACTGTGGTGGCTCATGGCACTCATACCAAATACGTTCTTCGAGACCGGGAGCAGGACAAGAGCTCGTGAGTCGACAAGATACCTCATCAACGCGGCGTCTTCTTTGCATCAGGCAGCTACACTCCTCCATTCTGCCATGATTCACTCGGATGTCGCAGAACAAACACATCACGCCTATTGCTTTAGATCTCTCGCGACCGATGACACACGCAGGTCCGTATGAGAATTATGGCGTGCGACAGACCAAGTCAACTCGGAATAAAGTCAGGGAACCAGTCGGCCTTCATTAAGCCATTCTGTCCACAAGCCTCCGAGCTCTTGTGCCAATGCAGCGGGTGTTCGCCCATCACTGTCAACCAGAGTTCTGATATCTGGCTCACCGTTCCTGTCCTCTTTGCGCAATCCCAAACTTTGCATAGCTTGAAGAACCAGTGATGGAAACTTGGCCCAGTCGAGTTGAGATCCGAGAGCCAGCAATAACCAAGCCACTTCTTGCTGGTTATACCGAATAGCGACGTGTAACCCCGAGCCTTCAATCCCCTCGAATGTGCCACGGTATCGCAGTATGTCAGCAATCTCCCCGTCGTCTTCGTCTTCGTCTTTGTCTTCGTCTTCGTCAGAGTCCTTGATCATGTGAATGATGGCATCGATGTCGCCCTCGCGGCAGAATTCCAGGTAGGCATGGCCTTTCCGCTCTTCGGGATATGTGCGTAGATATGCTTCTTCCGTAGCTGCGGGGAGGATATCATAACGCTCTTGAACACCGCCTTCATTCCGCAGCGTGACCAATACCTGTTGCGATCCACGAGGAGAAAGAGAGGAGACGTTTTTGACGCAGTTCGGGCATTGTGTGATGGTGTAGGATTCTAGAAAACATTCCCTGGAATTGCGAATGAGACATTGTAATCTTAAGGCTCTGAGACAGACATACCAGTGATAATGGCATCCACAGGACAGTTCTACGTCGTCGGGGACGCTCTGTATTTGGGCAGCCGCTTTGCTCTCCTCAACATCGCTGTCTGGCTCGACTTCGATGAGTAGAGGCTCATGGCAGCTTGAGCAAAGTTCGGCGGACATGGTACAGGCGCTGCTTCTAAGTACTTATACGTTGGATACCACTAGTTTGTGGAAGAGAACAGGGACCAAAAGAATTATGAACTTTCAGCCCTCGAATCAAAAATTCTTTGTATGCGGCGGAGACTTTTTGGACGTTTTGGATGGGCGACAGGGATCAGAAGAGTTTGCAGGGATTTGACCTCCGCAGTCCGCAGCCGCATGCTACACACGCGCCTCACATGCAGAGAGGCTTGAACCACGCCCCCTTCTCTTCACCCACACCCACCTGCAGGTCCTCAACACGCGCTCCGAAAGGCCGGCTTATGCGGGTTCAAAGTGTCCTTTGCACACCACAAGTTGCTGTTGCTCACACTGGTGTACCTGGAAGCGACAACTATGAGAGATTGTAGCGCCCATGGAAGAAACATCTCACCCTGTCGAAGCGCCTCAGGGCGACGGTGTCCAAGTCGAACTGCCCATGGTCCCCGAACCTGACCCAGCATTGAATCCTGCGCCCACGCCGCAACCACTTGCCCCGAAAGTGCTGATAACGTCGACCGTGATCGACGCCACGCTGAAATTCTTTGCAAATGCCAGCAATGAGACCCTCGGAGCCTGTGCGGTCGGCCTATGTGCCTCTACGTATCTAGTTCTGGGGAGAGTTGGGTTGGTTCTCATCGGCGCAGTTGGCGGCATCGTTCTTCATGCCACTTGGGAGAATCAGAATGGTGGAAGATCGGATGTCGAGAATAAAGAGATCAACCGGAGAAGGAAAGAGCTGGGCATCGAAGTCGCACAGAGAGTGCTGGACTGGCGGGAAAGGAGACAGAAGCCCAAGGACGACGAGGATGACAGTCTCACTGACTCCAAGGTCGAGCTGAAGACGCTGGACTACTCCGACTTCGAACCTGAAACCAGAGCTGCCCTCACCAACCTGACCGATGCTGTCATGCGAGACTATGTCAAATGGTGGTATAGTCCTCTGCTTCCCAAAGACCAGTCCTTCCCGACCATGTGCAGGCAGACATTTACCAGCTTCATCCTCTCCTTCTCTAACCATCTCTCCCGCAAACGGACTGCCGACCCTGTTCTAGACTTCTTCGCAAACTCGACTTCAATTATTATTGTCTTCTTGAATGAACTCTCTGCTGCTGTCAAGGCATCGGCTAATCAGGACGCGGAGACCGCCGTCAGGACATATCTTAAATTTCAGCCAGAAAGCAACTTAGCCAACGTGCTGAGCAGGGAACAGCAAGAGCGAAAGCTCAACCTCGTGGCGGATGATATCTTACAGAACTTCCTAGAGCCGAAGTCCTACAACTGTCCTCCGGTGAAAACATTCCTTCGAGAGGTTTTAGCCGGGCTCGTTCTAGAAACCACGGTTGACATGTGCTCGAAGCCGGAGTTTATCAACGGCTGGATTGTTTACCTGCTGCAGGATGGCGAACCCGAACTCATGAATGTTATCGATGCTGGGGTAGAAGATATGAATGAAGCCGTGTCGCAAGCCAAGGAGAACCGCGACCTCGGCCAGAATCACAACCGGCGTATGAGCAGGGCTGAAGAAGCCATGCAAGAGGCTATGCGAGAAGCTCAAAGACTAAACGAGATGATTGCGGAGGATGAAGCCAGGCGAAAACGCGGAGTGGCCCCCAGCGAGCCAGAAGAAACCAGTTCGGTCGCAACCAATGATGTCGGATTCGTTACGCCGACCTCGTCGGACAGTGATCGGAATCGGCATGGAGAACAGTCCCTGGACACATCCTTGGTGTTCGACAATGACGGCAATGCCTATCATTCGTCAACCCCAAGCCCGAGCAAAGAGCAGGAGTCCTTCACCAATTTTGATCAGTTGGCGGAGACCGTGCCGAACGTGCTCCAACCCGTATCGACTGCTCCAGCGCCCGTCGAGACCATGATGGCGATTCCATTGACATTACACAACGCATCGATCACCATTCTTGACCTTGGCGACCTTAACGAACGAACCACGTTCCGACAGAAACCGAACAATGAATATTTGCTGCAAATCGAACCGGCATCACATCGCTATCCTGGCTGGATGGTCTCCCGCAAGTACACAGAATTCGAGCCTCTTCATCAGACTTTAACCACGATAGCCCGCATCTCAGGCGTACCAGAATTCGGGCAAAAATATCCGAACGTGCCAACTTGGAGAGGCCAGACAAGCTCGACACTGTCCCAAAGCTTGGAGGCCTACCTGAGATTCGTTGTCAAATATGAACCATTGGCCGAGACAGAAGCTATGAAGAAATTTCTTGACAAAGAAACTGGCCTTCAAAAGGCGCCCTCCCAGAGCAAGAATGTTCTAGTCCAAGGGGGTGCAGCCCTGGAAAACGTTGGCAAGAACTTCATCAATGTTTTGGGACAGGGTGGAAAAAACATTGCCGGTGGGGGCAAGGCCGTCTTGGGGGGCGTGCAGGGTGTCTTTGGCGCCGTGGCAACGGGTGTTGGGGGAGCGCCAAAAAGGTTCATTTCAGCAAGACCTACGCCGTCAAGAAACCATACGGGACAATCCTCCATTTCGGTTGCGCGATTGAGTCAGGAACTGCCCCGACAGAGCACCGACAGTGCCGAGCCCAAGCCACCACCATTGCCAGCGAGACCCGGTGCGGAAGTCGCACCTCAAGAGGAAAATCCTCAATCACCGATCAGGCTAAATGAATCGGCTCGTCAATCAGAAGAGATCATATCGATGCCGCCGCCACCAAGTGTCATCTCAGACGACTACCAACCTATAACCCTTCCCAAACCGGAGACGCCGCCACGATCCCGACAAGATACAATCACGGCCAATCCATCAACGCCTGCTCCGTCATTAAGACGGGAAGAGTCAAGCTATCTGCCCTCCACGACCAATGCCCCAGCCAAGACACCCTCGAAACGAACAAAGAAGGATATCCCCGTCTCGGAAGAGGAGACCCGCATCTTGATAGAACTTATCTTCGCCATTCTTACTGAGCTTTACTCCCTCTCGGGTGCGTGGTCAATCCGCCTGTCCCTGTTAGGGGCCGCCAAGACATTCCTCCTCCGTCCAAACAATCCGCAACTCGATTCGATTCGCGTTCTACTGCAAGAAAGCGTTCTCGAGACTAATTTCTCGGACAAAGGAATCGCCACCCACATCAACACTCTGCGGTATAACACCCTGCCAACTGCAGAAGAGACGGCGACTTGGCCCAAAGAGTTGACATCCGAGGAGAAGGAGAAGCTGCGTCTCAGAGCGAGGAAGTTATTGATTGAGAGAGGTATGCCGCAAGCCTTGACGAGCGTGATGGGCACTGCCGCCAGTGGAGAAGCACTGGGAAAGGTGTTCGACTGTTTGCAGATGGAAAATGTAGCGAGGGGTTTGATCTTTGCGCTCTTGTTGCAGGCTATCAGGGCTACAACGCAATAGAGGAAGGTCTACGGCAAAGCAGAAGCCCAGACGGAATGCGAGAAACGACTAGAAATGTGATACCAAATGTACAATATGGAGTTGAACGGGCATGGAGGCGTGTTTTTCACGGCTCTTGGTGCCTGGCAAGCTGGCAATTGTGATATAGCGCTGGACGAACAGTGAATGTGACTATTGAATTATGGATCCGGCTTCCTAGCTGCCAGTTGCCAGTGTCATGCTGCTGACCACAGCATTATATGTTGTAAAGTTGGTCAGTTTAGACATATCATCCTGGTCGTCTTCAGCCAATCGAATTCTGACTCACTTCCGGATTTGGCCTGCAAACTTCTCTCCCAGTTTTTCATTTCCATCTCAACAAGAACTTCACATCCAACCCTTAGATCCAACTCCTAGTCGACGGCAATCCCCGCATCAGTGACGAGCAGGTGCTTGAGCAGAAACTGGAGACGACATGGACTTGCCCTGACTTACTCGCGCAGCATCATCAATTGCGCTCCATCAATTCCGCTTCAAGGCCATAACGTCCACCACCATCCACCACCCCTTCAATAATTCCTTTTCGTTGTCCATTTCAATCTCAGACCACAATCTCTCCGCGTATTGGAAACCATGCCGAAAGTTCACCTTCTTGACTATGTCGCGGGCAATATCCGCTCACTGGTGAATGCTATCGAAAAGTGTGGATGGGAGGTCGAATGGATACGGAGTCCCCAGGATGTCCAGAAGGCAGATGTAAGTCTTGCGACTCCGTGTCGCTACACGGTCATTATGTTTTGCTATGCCAGGTTTTGTCCTGGCACTGTCGAATTTGTGAAGTGTTGGAATGGTCTGGACCTTCTTCTTCGTACTACTTCGTGTGTTTTTGGACAAGCTGTCTCTCCTTCCATATAAGGGGTTTGAAGCTAGCCCAGGCTGAAGACGAGAGATACAACGGGTCTCCCATTACAGACAGCGTGGGTCGAACTCAGGCTTCCCTGTTCTGATCTTTCACGGAGCCCTGTTCTGATCATGGCTGATTTCGCACTACGGCCCGTTCAAGCCATCTGTCTTTCACGTCTGATTTGTTTCTCGCCTTTACAACTATCCCGCACATATCAACCGATTCTGACCATTCCCCCACTTCTCTTACACAGAAAATCATTCTCCCAGGCGTCGGCCACTTCGGTCACTGCCTAACTTCCCTCTCAACAGCAGGCTACCTCCCGGCTATCCAATCCCACATATCAAGCGGGAAATCTTTCTTCGGCATCTGTGTAGGTCTTCAAGCGCTTTTCACCGGTTCAGAAGAGGCACCCAGTGTCACTGGTTTGAACATCATTCCTACATCACTCAAGCGCTTCTCAGCCGAAAATGCGGACGGGTCGAAGAAGTCTGTGCCTTGTATAGGTTGGAACGACGCTTCTACGCTGCATCCCGATTGGGACCAAAGCCACGCCACCGCTCTAGAGAAAGGAAAGAGTTTTTACGGCCTCAATCAAGGAAGTAAGTATTACTACGTCCATAGCTACTTTGCTCCGTATGTTCCCGGCGAGCTGGAGGCCGAGGGATGGGTCGTCGCCAGCGCCACTTACGGTGACGAAACTTACGTGGGAGCAATTGGGAAGGGCAACGTGTTTGCGACGCAATTCCACCCCGAGAAGTCCGGCGCGGCTGGGCTGAGGGTCATCAAGGCGTTCCTCGAGGGCAAGATCTGGTCGGATCCGGTGGTTCTATCTGTTTTTGGAACTACTTCGACAGCAGCCAACGGAGTTTTCTCGTCCTTGGCAGGGAGGACGGGAGATGGAGGAACAAACGGCCTGACCAGGCGCATAATCGCCTGTCTGGACGTCCGCACCAACGATCAAGGTGACCTCGTCGTGACAAAGGGTGACCAGTACGACGTGCGCGAGAAGTCATCTCTCACTTCAGCCACGGGGCCGGGACAAGTCCGCAACCTAGGCAAGCCGGTCGACATGGCCCGTCGCTACTACGAGCAAGGAGCCGATGAAATCACATTTCTCAACATCACAAGTTTTCGCGATTGCCCTATCACGGATCTTCCCATGCTGGAAATCCTGCGGCGGACAAGCGAGACGGTCTTTGTGCCCCTGACCATAGGGGGTGGTATTCGCGACATGACCGATCCCGTCACGGGCAAGAACGTGTCGGCGCTCGACGTTGCGAAACTATACTTCGCGTCCGGCGCCGACAAAGTGTCTATCGGATCCGACGCCGTCCTTGCCGCAGAAGAATACCACTCCTCCGGCGGCAACCTCTCGGGGAGGACGTCGATTGAGACCATCTCAGCGGCATACGGCGCTCAAGCCGTCGTGGTGAGCGTCGACCCGAAACGCATTTACGTCTCCTCTCCCTCCGATACAGCCCACCATACGGTCCGGACCGCGTTCCCTGATCCCCAGGGGAGAGAATACGTCTGGTACGCGTGCACGATCAAAGGCGGTCGCGAGACGCGAGACCTAGACGTCGTCCAACTCTGTACTGCGGTGCAAGCCCTTGGTGCCGGCGAGATCCTGCTCAACGCCATCGACCGCGATGGCAGCAACAGGGGCTACGACCTGGAGCTGATCAACATGGTCAAGGCCGCGGTGGGCGTGCCGGTGATTGCGTCCTCGGGCGCTGGCGTGCCAGGCCATTTCGAGGAAGTGTTTAGGAGGACCGGGGTCGATGCGGCTCTGGGAGCCGGCATGGTGAGTTTCTCGGGCCCTCCCTTACCGCCCTTTCAGTCCCTTTCGCTTTTCCTTTTCTCGGTCTCGGACCTACCCGTCGTGGTTTACTCGGACTGGGAACATCGTGCTAACTTCCGGCCCTGCCCCTTTTCGGGGGTGGTGTGGTGGCATCTTCCAGTTCCATCGAGGCGAATACACCGTCGCACAGGTCAAGGAACACCTCGGCCAGGCAGGCCTGTTGGTCCGGCCGTTTGAGGAGTTTTAACAAACACCCCTCCATTCCTGTCCACCCACGTTGAGATGGTAAAAGGATCAATGGGTCCCGAAGGAGGGAAAATTCCCAATCTCTCCCATCTGATCCGTTTTGACTTCCCTCCGCACCCTCCGCTTGGCCGACGGGTTTGGGTATTATTTAACCCGAGAGAGAGAGAGAGAGAGAGAGAGGCGTATCTGTCCGTTCGAGGAAAACGGGATCATGAAGGGAGGGATAAATAGATAATAGATAGAAAATAAGAAGAAGAAGAAGAAGGATGGGGAAGGGGAGGAAAAGAAGGGGGTATTATATACCACATACCTCCGAACCTCAATACTGCCCAGAGAGACATGTCCAACTTTTCTTTTCTTCGCCTGTTTGTGTGTATCGGTATAGGTAGCCAAGCTAGCATACTTCTCCTTCTGCAGACAGCCCGCAAGTTCAATCCTTGTCAATCTCTGACGCATCCCATCCGGCCCAATCACCCAACCAATGTCACCACCCAACTTCCATTCCAGGGGCAGATCCTGGGTCGAGAACGCAACCCCCGCGGGCCCAAGTCCTCGCGTCGAGATTTCCCGGTGGAGGCGATAGATGTTTGTAGATAAGAGTCGACCCATTGCATTGCATTGCTTGCCGCCGACTGGACACGGTATGGAAACATGGATGGAAGTGCGACGTGGGTAAAGAAGAGGGTGTCTATTGCAGAGAGAAATGTGATAAGTCTATGAACTGCCTTGCCGTCTCGTGCTACACCACGCTATGCTATGTTATGCTTTGCAACGCTATGCTTTGCAATCTAGTCCAATGCCAAATCTCTACCCGGACGGGTTGCGACGGTACGTGGGATATCAATCGTGATGCTCATTCCAGTTCCATGGAGACTCGCGTTCGGACATGTCACCGTCGTGTCTGCTTGAAGACCAATATTGGATATCACACTTGGCGGCTGTCTTTTGATTCGTGTTTCTCGCGTCTTCGTGTCTTCGTGTCTTCGTGCTCGTCTCAAGCCTCCCTTGTTCCTCCTGGCTGCGTGCAATGGTTTTCTCGATATTCCTGCAGCAATCATCCCAACCCATAAATTTTTAGTTCCACCCACGTGTTACCGTTTAGTCACATCATAAGTCATTTCCACACTTATCCTGCAATATGTGGACAGGGCATTCCTTCGAGCCCGCGTCGAGTGAATAGCACTGTGCGTGCTGCGTGCTGCGTGCTGCGTGCTGTTCGCTGTCATATTGTGGTAGTCGAGTCCAGGGCCGGTGAAAGTCCCTCATTCAGAGGTATTCCACAAAAGGAGGAAATTCTAGGGCATGAGATTAAGGAGCTCGTTCTGCAGCACTTGCAGGGCACCGAGGTACTCCGTATTGGTTCTCTCTTCGAGCAGAAGTGAGCTGGATCTGGCCTCTCAAAAACGTCTCCACCCTTCTAATACGGTCTGGTATTGACCGCTACAGACTCAACCTTCACAATAACGTAGGTCGAGCCCTCATGCCCCAGCTTCAGGAATCCTTTTTGTTGTGTAGGGATCGTGATTCTGGATCGTTACCCATGGCCGTGATGACCCTGAGCATCTTTTCGCGAGTGTCTTGTGTTAGTTTGTCAATGTCCGCCGCAGTGAGGCCTTTCGTCGGAATGGGATCGAGAACTGCGCAATGCATTAGCCCGCGAGTGCATTTCAGACCCAAATTTCATCTAGCCGTCTAACCTACCTTTGACTCTGATTGTGCCGGCAGTAAACCTCTTAGCTTTGAGGTTCAACACACTGCTATAGTTCTCTGCGACAACCGGTACAATAGGCACACCGCTCTGCACAGCCAGATGGAACGCACCCTTCTTGAAAGGCAGCAGCATTGGTTCGACGGAATAACTTCTTGTTCCCTCGGGGAAGATGACAACGCTCTGTCTCTTCTCTCGCATGGTCTTAGCCGCTCCCTCAAATGCCTTCATGGCCGCATTTCTGTCCACTCGATCGATGAAAACGGTGCCAGAGAGGGTCATAAACCAGCCCAAGAACGGAATGCTGCGGAGTTGTTTCTTTGCTGTGACGGAGCAGTATTTTGGCCATATCCAGCCCAGCAACAGTACGTCTAGCTCTGTTTGATGGTTGACGATGAAGACGGCTGGGCGGGTGCCGTTTAGGATCTCGTAGCCGTTGTCCAAGACGTCGAATTTCACGCCCACAGTATAGATGCAGAGATTTTTGAATGCCTTGGCTGTCGTCCATTGTGCGTATGCAAAATGTAGTCCCAGGACTCGGAGGATGGCAGAGGATACTGTGCCATAAGCTGCGCAGGCTATGAGGCTGATGTAGGCGGCCATGGTGCGGGCGACGAAGCCCAGAATCTTGGGAGGCTTCGGGAGATAGGCATAAAGAGCGAAGCAGGAGAGCATGGTGCCGAAGTAGAAGCCTAGGAAATAGAGAAGGTAGCGCAAGAGAAAGAACATTTTGGTGAAGGATAGGTAGCGATCGGGCGGCCCGGCGAGGAAGCAGATCTAGCTATGGCTATTGAAAACAAAGCGCAATCACGGCAACGGCGCCAACAAGGGTAATGATAAAATGATTGAAGACAGTCTCGAGGTCAGCGACATGAGGGTTGCAAGCTCGGAGCCTTGAGAGTCATCTGCAGCAAATGGTCACAAAGTACAAGGTACGAATTTCTTCTGAAAAGTTGGAGACCGAGAAGTTGGGCACATGGAAGGACGGCGAGACGGTCAGGACGGTATGGCTTCCAATATTCAACCCCACACCCACAACTTTCACGTCCCTCAGCAATTTTTTTTGGGCGGCTTCTCAACGGCGGGCAGCTGCGTCATAGCAAAAGAAACGATTTTGGTGGGCGGCACGTGATGAAGACGCGGTGTAGGGCGAGGTTGGGTGAGGTTGGACGAGGCTGCGAGGCTGCCATCAGTCACGTGGATTGGAGTTTTGCTTGAGTGGGTCTCCGCGTGATGTTGATGCGACGCTGGCGCGTCTCCAATGAGATGATAGTTATGCTTGTTTGGCTATGTACATGTCCAAACTTTACGGCTCTCGATCAAGCATCCTATTCCTTATGTCAAAGCAGCACAATTTTTGTCGAGCACAAGGCTGTCACTTCACGTGTCACTGCCATGCCTGCGTAAGTACTTATCTCGTTGTCTCGACCAAACAAATGCTGACTGCCGGGCAGTGTCGGTGACCAGCACAAGCCGAACGGCAACACAACAGCCAACCCATTCGAGGAGCATCCGCCGCGGATAACGGAATACACTGCCCAAGAGATTGCCACTCTGCAAAGCCGACTAGACAAGCAATTAGGGCCAGAATATATCTCCTCGCGCGCAGGCCCAGGCGGCTCGAAAGTCCATTACCTAGCAGCCGACAAGGCCATCAGTCTTGCCAATGAAGTCTTCGGTTTCAATGGCTGGAGCAGCTCCATCCAAAACATCCAGATCGATTTCGTCGACGAGAATCCTCAGACGGGAAAGATCTCTCTCGGCCTCTCCGTCATCGTACGAGTGACACTGAAAGATGGCACACACCACGAAGACATTGGCTACGGACAGATTGAGAATTGCAAGGGCAAAGCAGCTGCGTTTGAGAAGGCCAAAAAGGAGGGGACCACAGATGCATTGAAGAGGACGCTAAGAACTTTTGGGAACGTTCTAGGGAATTGCGTCTATGACAAGAGTTACTTGTCAAAGGTCACAAAAATGAAGGTTGGGAGCACCAAATGGGACGAGGGTATGCTACATCGACATGCAGATTTTGCGCCCAAAAAGCTATCAGAAGAGAAAAGGCAGAACCCGTCTGCTCCCGCGCAAGAAGCGACCCCGGAATTTGAGGACAGCTTCTCGCTGGCGGACTTTGAAGAGCTTGATTTTGACGGTGTTGAAACGGCACATCCAGATGAGGTCGCGTTACCTGCCGAAGCGACCGATTCGACGAGCAGATCAGCTAGTTCAGGTCCAGAACGGACACGCTCACAACCAAGAGTAGACCTGACCACGCCATCCAAACCACCAGCCATTGCAAATCCCGATCCTCGAATGGGTCCCCCGAAGCCCGCTCAGACTTTTCCGTCCACAACTGTTATACCTCAGCCTTTGCCCGGGCAGCGGCACCAAGCTGCATCGGTCCCCATTGCAAAACCTTTGACAGGAGAAGCTCGATTCTCTGTTGACAATTTGCCTCGGGCATCTTCACCTCACATAGCTCCCCATCATCCGCCTCCTCAGCAGCCCGGCCAAGGTATTGGCTTCTACTCAGCTAGGGCTGCTGAGAGTCTTGATGAGAACAACAATGTGATTCCGGCCGCAGCACCGGTAGCCCCCAAATTCAATCCACATGCCGAAAGCCCGTCGATCCGCAAAACACTCGGGGTGAATCACAACAAGTCCGTCCCCTTGAAACGCGACCTGACACCCGACACGACAAATTTGCGAACGAATGTCATCAATCCGCAATCGGACCCGATAAGGCGTCTGGGCGCTCCCGGTTCCAATGGACAATCTTCGGGCATCCGAGGGCCTAACACTTCTGCATATCGGCCTCCTACCCGACGAGGGCCTCTGGAATCAGGCAACGGCCAAGTATCGAGCACAGTCGAGTCGGGCGGAGTAGACCGCGTTTTGCAGGTAGCGAAAAGAACACCTCTGGGAGATGTGAGCAATCTGCAGCATCACGTAACAGCAGTCACCATGGACGGGGCCGATGCTAAGAGACAGCGGGTGGATGATGTGGGTCAGAACGGCACTGAAGGAGTGGTCGCCCGTAACTCAGAAACGTACGAATGAAGAGTGCGATGTACGCTTGGACCGCACAGGCGGAATATCAAAAGGGAGGATGGTATGTACCAAACATAGCTTTTGGCCGAAGCTGCTGCCAATGTCGACGACGACATTCGCGAACTCAGAGCAGCATTTGGTTGAAAAAGTCCATTCTCTGGTCTGAGGAAGTCATTCGGGTTCCCTCTAGCGGCTGAACTTTGTCCTTAAGCGAGCGAGAGCGACTGAATTTTATGATTTTGAACCACATCTACGAACCTGGTGAATAACAATGGTCCCGTGGTGATGGTTGATGATGCCTATTGACGCTTCCATGGCATATTTATATAGACATCACCGACACTCTCTTGGCAGCTTCCTCCACTCCGCCATCCACATCCACGATACCCAGCGCAAAGTCTTCTAACCTGCCACTCCGAGGCGACCTCTCGGTCAGCACCGTAGATTGTTGTGGGATATTGTTACGCTGGACATGTGACCCGGGTTGAGTTTTTGGTCGAATTTGCATATACTGGCCGGAACTTGAAGTCGTAGTCGCGCCTACGGCGGATTGTGTTTGGTGTTGCTCAAGTCTCGAATGGTTTGGGGCAACAAAACCGGCGTGCGAACGGTCGTGCGGCCTTGGATGTTGGACCAAATGCTCGATTCGCTGACGGTGGTGCGCGTATGGTAGACTTGTGTCGCTGGCATTTGTTGACGACGAGTCTTCTGATGGATACGGCGAATTCGTGCCCGAAGCTGACATAGACATAGACATGCCCTGCGCTACCATATCAACCGGGAGTAGGAAAGAATCGTCGGCAACAAGGAACGAGTCAGGTGCATCAGCAAGCAAACCCAATTCGTCGGCAATCAGCGAGGAGAAGGCCGTGCTGAAATAGTCTGCCCCATCATCGCCCAAGCCGATATGCTCAACGTTGAAAGGCGACGTTACTACTCCCTGTGACGACGTCTCTCCTTCGACAGCATCGGGCACAGCAGCCACAACTATGATCCGATCGCGGATCTCCATCACATTCTTAATCACCAACTCCGCGAGCCGGGAATCCCAGAGACCATCGCGCGAGTTCTTGAGCAGAGGGTGGGAGAACAGCCGGCAAGCCGTGGTTAAAATCTCCGGATTGGTCGTTTTCAGGCACAGGAAGTATAATGTCCCTACGAGGAATGTGGACAATGTGTAGGTTCGTTGCGATGGGGAGGCCAGTGGGAAGGAAGCGCTTGCGGAGTGCGATGCTGAGTTGCTTGCTAGCGAGAGGAGTGTCATTACCTTGGAAAGGGCTGTGCTGAGGATGTCTTCGTTATTGACGGTGTATCCCGCAGCATCGGCAGAAAGTGGAACATTCTCCTCGACAAGACTGTAGAAGGTGTGGAAGCTTATCTGCAACAGCAGGAATTGTTGTCGCTGAAGCTGCCTCCTCTCTTCTTGGGTGCTGCTCTCGGGGACATTCAAGGGTGAATTCGCCGGGGTGTTACCAAGTCTGTTCAGTGTCTGGAGATATTTCTCGTATTGTTGACGCAGCACCACCCTTTCATGCCATAAACCTTCAGGAAACTCTCCTGGCGATTTGCCTTTGTGTTCGACATGGAGGATCAGTTGACGAAGGCTCCAATTCTGGAGTTTGGCCAGAATACGTTCAGCCTCGTCAAGATTTCGGAATGAATCTGGCACAACCGACACCTCTCCTCGAGCCTCTTGATGAGAGACGAGTTCCAGCACCGGAAGACGCAAATCATCATACGAACTCGCTTGAATGTCGAGACGTTCGAAGAGAGATGTGAGATGCACCAGCAACTGATCAGCAGGCCGTTTTGCCTCGGATTGAGTTCGCTTCAGCAGCCTCAACCCGCTGTCGAGGTGTGATATCGCCTGTCTAGTATCACCGAGGAGGGACTCCAAGGAGTAGAATATGACGCTGCAGATCAACGCTACCTCTGGCGAGGCATCGGACCGTGCGAGGTAGTTCTTTAATTGCCCGTAACATTTGCTGACTAAAGTCATGGCCTCAACGTTCGAGCTCAACTTGTCCTTGCCGTTAACCGAAAACGATCCAGAAACGTAGTCTTTGTGCAAAGAGCTTAGAGCGACAAGGCCACTGCGGATGACGGGTTGGTCTTGACTCCGCTGGAGGATTAGCTCGGTCCACAAGGTTGGGTCGGCGTAGCTAGAGAGGTTCCATGCTGCCTGACAGCAATAATAGTGCAAGAGCTGCCGATCGGCTTGACTACCAGGGACTTTAAAGGGGATGCTATACGACGAAATGGAGCTCAGATTCTGTGGTGAGTTCTGTGCGCCTGAAGCAGTGTCGGCGGGAAGCGTTGGATAACCCTCGCATCTCCTGCTTGACGAGGTGCAGTTCTCACATTCCGGCCTTTTCCGATCGCATCTGATATGGCGGGCTCTGGGGGACTTGACGTCAATATTGGATCTGGAGGCCCAGAGAATGTACTTACTTGCATGTGAAGCATCCTGATCGAGTCTTGGGTGCGCTCTTTCGCGGCCTCCTCGCAGATAATTTGTTCATGGTGGCGATGGATGCACAAGCAAGCAGGATGGACGGGGACGGCCATCGTCACAAAGTCGAGAGCCTGAGAATTGAGGGCGGTCTGCGGATTTGATTAAAGGGGTTAGCACCGAAGAGAACAAAAGGACCAAGTTGAACAATAAAGAGCCTCAGGCACTTTCAGGGGCTACAGATTGCGCTCAGCCTTGCGGGGCTTGGCACGATCCCCACAGCCAATAGGATAGGCCACTTTCCCCGAGGTTCAAGCGTACGGACAAGCGAGAATCCGCCTTGCCGCATTTCTCGTGCCTCTCTGAACGATTAACCTCATGCTATGATTGAATCACACCTTTTATCGCGAATCTGAGACTATCGCTATTCAATGGTCCAGGTCTATACATCACCGAAGGGTATCGCTCCATGCAAGGCCACCCACATATTGAAGTCCGTCGCTCTGTCAGCGTTTCACCAGAAGATAGGTGATAGCTCGCAAATTTACGTGCCCTGTCAACGATGGCTCTTTGGATAGCGCGTGGTCGATTAAAAACAATCAATCAATGGCTGTGATTCCTCAGCTCTCGAGGTATAAAAACGCCGTGGTAGGTGCTCGAGCTGTCAATCAGAAGGCATCCCTTCGATTGCATTCGTTTGAAGGCTTTTGCTTTGCATGTCATATTACTCACCATGGGAAACCTGTCCGCGCTCGTCCTTGCTTTAAGCTTGTTCCACCCCGCCGCTCTCGCTTCATCTTCTAGCTTTGCTCAGCATCTTGTTCTCAATCGTCGGAGCTCACCGGCCTCCACCAATGCAACTTCAGGTCTATTGTCAACGACATTCGGCACAATCTTCGATGTCAATGTCACTATCGGCGGACAAACATTTCCCCTCCTTGTCGACACTGGAAGCAGTGACACTTATGTGATGAGAACTGGCTATCAGTGTTTCGACAAGACTAATGGCACTGAGCTCCCGCAATCTGCCTGTTTATATGGCAGTGCGACGTATACTCCGTCCGCTACATACTCTGAAATCCCGAATGAGATCTTCGGGGTTCAATATGGCGCCGGTATAGCCTCCGGCGTCTTAGCACATGAAGATATCACACTCGCCGGCATCACAGTCAAGAATTCAATCATCGGAGTGGCCAATAGCTCGACTCCCATGGGTGACGGCGTCAACTCCGGCCTTCTGGGTCTTGCGTATCCCGCATTGACATCTGGTCATTCGGCCAATGTCACGGACAACACGACCTACTTCTACAACCGCCTCACATACGATCCCTTGCTGTTCACGATGCACAAACAAGGACTGATTGACCCATACTTCAGCCTGGCCTTAGCACGAACTCCACAGAACGCCACCTCCGGCTTCGGCGGCTACTTGTCTCTCGGCAGCCTTCCACCAGTTCCGCACAGCGACGAATTCACGAGAGTCTCGGTTGAAATTGACAATTCCGTCCCCGTCCAAGTGACATCCAACGAGCGCGTCCGCGCCTACTGGGCGCTTACGGTTTCCTCTATTGTGTACGGGCCCGGTAACAGCACCACATCTCCTTCTGCTCCGCAACCCAACAACATCACCACCCCCTCCACACTCAAAAATGCCACCTCATTCCAAGCGTTCATCGACGACGGCAATTACTTCTCTTACCTGCCCGGCACAGTGATCACCACTGTGAACTCGCTGTTTTCGCCTCCCGCTGTCTTGGATCCCACCACTGGTCTGTGGGTGGTCGATTGCGCCGCCACACCGCCTCAACTCGGCCTTGAGATCGGCAATCAGACATTCTTTCTCGACGGGCGCGATCTGGTCTATCAGACAGCTGACCCGAGCAGCGGTGAGGCGCTATGTGTTTCGAACATCTTGAGTTCGGACTTCAAGCAGGGAACGTATGGGGATATCACGTTGAACATTATTGGCGCGCCATTCCTCAAGAACGTGCTTGCGGTGTTTGACTTCGGAGCCAATGAGATCCGGTTGGCGAAGTTGGAGGGAGAAGTGGCTGAGAGCCAGGGTCAAGGTCAGGGTGGAAGTGGCAGTAGCAGTAGCAGTGACAATGGGACTGCCTCAGCTAGCAATGCTGCTCCGTCTGCGAAGACTTCGAATTCTTGGTCATTCTTGGCGCCTCTGACCTCGATTGTGGGCGTGGGGATCTGCTTGTTCTAAGTGAGCTGGTAGGAGAATCAGTATGCGTTAGGGCGCATGGACGACGTGGAAGCTGACAACAATTACGGTGATTGGCTTTGTGGACATCAGTAACCTAGGATATCAACAGTAGTCAGCTAATGGAGGTTCATAACCATGATGAAAATGGCATTTTGGAAAGTGGGCTGTTGCAGTGTGGGAAAACTGCGCAGGCATAGCACATTTGACCTCTAGCTCATTTGATGAACTGAAATCGGTTCTGATTGAAATCTCAACCGCTATCTTTCTGCTGTGTGTCTTCTCATTCTCCTGAGTCATGGCGAAAAAAAACCTCAGTTGCTATTGCCACGAAGCAACGCGAAATAGAACTCCCGGGGTCAGGCTCAAAGCTTTCAATGTTCTGGCATCAAGTATGTTCCGATGTTCTGGAGACAAACGTGTTCTGGCCTCAGAGATGTCCTGGCTATAAATATGACCGGATAGGTTGCAATAGAAGAACTGAAGCCTCCGTACAGGCGCTGAACATCCGACCAACAAGCGCCACAAAAGACGAATTCGTTCTGTAGTTGAATGATCGGCTCGCTGTCATGGCAGAGATGGCAGGAGTCTCGACCGAGTTAAAAAGAGGATAAATAGGTAGTCAAATCGATACGTACGCGTGAAACAGTAGCCTCCGAAATCTCCGTCCTCTGAACAGGTTCTGTGGGCGCAGATCTCCTCTTCCATACCTCTTTGCCATGCATGAATCGAGCTGAAGAGTGTATTGGTTTGAGCCATGAGAGCTACAGTAGTCAACTTAGGGGATGGCTTTGTGGGACTCAATAGAATCGATTGAAGAGCAGAGCGAACCTAGCGAGAAACTACTTGAAGGGTGCCTATCATGCCGACGACATAGCCCCGGTTGTCCTAGGGATGTGTGACTGTGACTGCCAAGGGGAGGGATATCACGTGCTCGAATAACCTTCCCGGGTTATGACAAGCCTCACTAGCCTCTATTGAGCTAGGGAGCTATTATTAAACCCCCACGTTATCCCTTATCCATTGATAGCTATGTACCTAACATGTACTTGTACATAGGTACATATCTATTCCGTACATCTCGTCACCGCCAATGGATGTGGGGCAGTTTGTAAACATACAAGGACCGTGCCGAGGAGCCGCCTTGGACGCTCCTTTGAGTAAAAGGCTGAACTACCGCAAACCTCTTCCCCCGATTTCCCCTACTAGAGAGTCTCCATCCTTATCTCAAAACATCGTGTACCTAGCCGTGTGCCAAGTGTCCACTAGCTCTTTGGATCAAAATAACTTTCCAAGTGCCAGTGGAAGGATGCCAGTACATACGAATACGAGTAGAGCGTGGCTAGCCTATACCTACATCCCATGGCATTCGATGGCAAGTTCTTGCAAGGTACGACCTCCAGCCAAACAAATATTGCAGAACAAGGCAACCCCAGGCTTCTGGGGAAAGCCACATGGAGCTGCGAAACTGTGGCCATCTTCATTGACTCGCAGCTGCCTGTAAAACTAATCCTCTTGTCCATTTCTGCCAACTAGCGAATCCTTTCGGCTCGGTAACCACGACCCGCAAAGCAATCTGCATAAAACGGCTCGACACAGGAATTGACTCATACCTCTCCAGTTATCTTTCCTGGATGTGGCAGGTACATAAAGCATTCTCTTCGTGTGCAACCTGCCAATCTAAACCAATCACGATACGCATTACATATCGGACTTGAACGACGTTTCTTGATGGAGCGATATCCAGAGCCTTCACAAGGGATGGGGAGGACCAAAATTGGAGGTGGTAGTTGCGGATAAACGAGACGTGGTTTAGATACAAAATCTGTGCCTGCCAGGTAGGTTTACGAGACGTCTTTCTTTGTCCCCCTGTCTCCGCGGCACATCCATTGAGCACGCACTCACAATGGCCGGGCAATTATTGCTGTCAGCGTTGCTATTGCCATGTGTACTGGCTGCTTCTTTGCCAGTTAAACTCCATTTGAAACGAGCTGTTGATTCTGGTCTTGCCAATATTCATTTGTCTTACGACAGACCCATCACAACAGAGGTCGTCTTCACATATGGTCCTTGCAAGGCTAAGACTCCGGGAAAAGCCCACCATCTCGTCGGCCGCTCCCGTTCCTGTGATCATGACAGGTTATTGTGGAAAGTCCCCGAATACACTCCTACAGGACACTGCCTTTCAGCATGGGACGCGAGGCAGAACCTGGTCGGGCGAAGCACTCCAGTCTCCATTGCCCCCAATGCAAAGACCACCCGCAGACGCCTCAGAAAGCGACAGGCCGACTTCTCCATTGCTATGGACAACTCCACCGGCATTGATGCTGAAGGCCCGTGGTTCGACGGAGTGGTTGCTCTCAAGAACAAGGAAATCAGTGCCGTCAATGCTCAAGAAGCCAAGTCAAAAGAAATCGCCATTGTTGGTGCCGGCATGGCTGGTCTGATGACGTGGCTCGCCCTTAACCAATCTGGTATGACAAATGTATCTCTCATCGAAGCAGCTCAACGGCTTGGCGGAAGAGTTCATACTGCGTACTTTGGCGACCCTAGCGAGCGACAGTATCAAGAAATGGGGCCAATGCGTTTCCCGCTCTCCTACACATCATCTGAAACAAATCAGACGATACAGATTAACGATCACCGGATTGTCTTTGATCTGGCGGCCGAAGTCAACAGGCTGAACAAAAACAATACCAATTTCACAGTCAACTTTATCAAATGGTACCAAAGCTCGCCAAATGGGCTGTTCTACGTCAACGGCGCCCGGAAGCCTAATGGCCAGGTTCCGACTTTGTCGGAAGTTCGAGCGAATGCATCATTGCTGGGGCCGACATCTACCCAGCCGGTTGACCCCAAATTGGATGCCCTCAACGAGGACATTGATGCCCTCAGCAGTGGTAGTTTCATCTCCCAGATGGCTCGGAATATATACATGGCGCACAAGACATTCCTGGATCAAGGACTGGGCGGATTGGGTGGTGACGACTTTTCCGAATTCGCCTACGCCCACAATGTGCTTGGATATGGGTTGAATGAGACCTTCGTGGAGCTCGGAGGCAGTGGGAGTGAGAGTTTCTGGGATAATCTGTATGAGTCGATGGTGAGCCGGCTCTTGTCATGTCTACCCCCCCCGTCGAAGTCTGTGTGCCCAGAGGCGGACATTGCCCCAACCTCTGGTGAGACCAGATCTCGAGTGTTGGCACTGACTCTACTTTTGCTTTAGTACTTCTCTGCAACGGACTGGAGGACAATTGATGGCGGCTTAACCCGACTTCCCAGCGCCTTCCACCGTACGCGTGGCCATCGATGGCTCTTGCTTCAAGATGCTGACCATGTGATTTCTAGCTCTCGTGGACGATATCACGCATATGAACCGGAAGATCCAACGAGTCCAATACAACGAGACAACCAAGAAAGTGACGTTGCAGTGGAAGGCAAAGCCACTCGACAGGACCTTCCAGAATGCAAGCTACGACCTGGCGGTTGTCACTGTTCCTATGCCCCTGGTCAGAACCTGGCGTCTACCGGCATTGTCGGATCTTCTACAGACCGCCATCGACAGCTATCCCTACTCGCAGGTCTGTAAGGTGGCGTTACAGTTCAAGACCCGCTTTTGGGAGCATTTCGACAAGCCCATCTATGGCTCTTGCAGCACGACTACCGATATCCCAGGCATAGGGAGTATCTGCTACCCCAGCTACGACATCAACTCGACCGGGCCAGGGGTGATGCTTGCAAGCTACACATCCTCGGATGACGGGTTGCGCTGGGCGTCGATTCCGGAAAATGTCCACGTCCAATATGTCGTGGACGCCATGGCCGAGATCCACGGTCCTGTAGTGTATGAGCAATATACAGGTGCCTATAATCGTCGCTGCTGGATCCTAGATCAATACGAGACCATCAGCTGGGCGAGCCCGGACGTCGGTATGAGGAAGGCTTTCATCCCGGCGTTCTTCAAGACGGAGCAGGGCATCATCATGAGCGGTGAAGGTACGAGTTACACCAGTTCTTGGATTGCGAGTGCGCTGGAGAGTGGCGTCAGAGCGAGCGTCCAGCTGCTGCTTGAGTTGGGATTGGTGGATGAGGCAAAAGCTGTGAGTATCTTTTCTCTTTGAAAGACTGTTCCGTTTGCTTGTCCATGTATACCCTCAATCATTATCGCGCCAGGCTAACAGAGATGCGCAGGTTGTCGAGAGATGGATGGCTAGATGGATTGATGTGTAGATCCTCCTACAGCGGACTCTCCATGGATTTCTCTTCTAGTCAAAATGATCTGTCCACAAGCTCCAACTGCAGCTGTTCTGTATTTCCCATCCAGCGTCGCAAAAACACGGCCGAAGTTTGGCGCGGTCTTCGACTCCATCTCTACCGGACGAAACACGGACCGGCATTTGACCGCCCGGACGAGGCTGAGCCTCCAATCTATTATTCTGATATCGCAAGCTTCCCCCAAATCCATTCTTGCAGACCCAGTTTGTCCTTCTTTCCCCATTTTCGCTCCCTTGCTCAGTCAGTGTCGTTGGGCATTCGGCTGCTTCTAAGGGAGTTTTCGCCGCTGTTTTCTCATCCGGGTACGGAAGTACTTAATATTATAGTCCTCTTCCCCTTTTTCTGGCATGTCGACCTACGCCTTTCGTTGTGTTGTGAGTCTCCCCTTCATCATGTTGCTAGGCAGGCACGAGGCACGGGGTGCGGCCGCAGGGGGGAGGGTTGCAGTGAAGGATTCCTCCAGCAGATTGCTGAGTCGTATAAATGAGGAAAACCATGCGGCGCAATAATGCAGCCGTCGGCCAAACTTTGGTTGGGGATCTGTCGTGCTGTGCTTTTGTCTAGGGGGTTTTCCGTTTAGCCCCTTGTTGGTGCCATGGCTGTATACCAATGCCCCATATATCATGGCAAACGCGAGTTGAGAGTCAGTGAGTACTTTGTGCACTAGTTGGTTACACGTCTTTCAAGGGGGATATGTGTCCACGCCCATCATCACGGCATGCTTCTCCACGTTTCACTGAAAGGCCTCGTCTACTTTGAAACATCTCTGCCTGGGATCTTTCCAACACCGGTTGATCGACGTTCCCACAGCCGCCCGCCATCGATCGCCCTACCCAGCGCACAATCTCATCCTAGTGCAGGCAAGTCCGTCCAGCAAAGACACGAAGAAAAAACAAGAACAACCACAACAACAACACCACAATGGCGCTTAAACACGTCCTCATAACGGGGTGTTCGGAGGGCGGCATCGGGTCCGCCACAGCCCTCGCGTTCCAGAGACTTGGGACCTACCACGTCTTCGCGACCGCGCGGTCTCTCGCAAAGATGCGCGACCTCGCAACATTGCCAAACGTCACATGCCTGGAACTCGACGTGACCTCGCCGTCGTCCGTCTCTGCCACCAGGAAGAAGGTCGCGGAGAGGACGGGTGGAAAGCTGGACGTGCTGCTCAACAATGCGGGCATGTTGGTCATGGCGCCGGCGCTGGACACGGACGTCGACAAGGCGCGCAGCGTGTTCGATGTGAACTTCTGGGGCGTCGTGAGTGTTACGAATGCGTTTGTCAAAATGGTCATTGCGGCCAGGGGTGTGGTCGCCACCACGGGCAGCATCGCCGGCGATATCAATGGGCCTTTTCAGAGTGAGTGCAGAGTTCCTCCCTTGTTCCGCGCGGAATCTGGGCCACTTCAGCGGGGCAGGACGGATGGAAGCTCTCTTCCCCCCATCTCTCTTGTTCAAGAATGAATGACGGCATGGGTGACGGCAGGGATCACGGCAGAATAGGATGGTCGGGAAAACAGATTCAGTCCCCGGTTTTACTGACCATCTCCTCTCTGTACGTGCCTAGGTTTCTACGCCGCCTCTAAAGCAGCCATCATGATCTATTCCGAGACGCTGCGCCTGGAGCTCGCGCCCTTTGGGGTCCGAGTGCTCACGATGGCGACTGGCGTCGTGTCCTCGAATCTCGCCTCGGGCCTCTCAGACGTCGTCTCCCTCCCCGCAGATTCGCTGTACAAACCCGTCGAAGGGGCGTTGAAGGCGCGCCTGAAAGGCGGCGGCTACGCCAAGATGGACCCCCACGACTACGCCGGGAAGTTTGTCCGGCTGGTCGAAGCAGGAGCGAGCGGCAAGGTTTACCTGGGCAATTCGGCGGGCGTGGTGAAGTGGGCGAAGGTGCTTTTGCCAGCGTGGATCATTGTGAGCGTCACCGCGTTTCTTTTCTCTTCGACCCCCTAGATTGACCCTGGCTCGTCTTGTTCGGCTTGCTAACGGGCATCGACTGCGGTGTTGGCGACTACAGGACTACCTCGTCAGTCAGGGAACAGGCCTAGAGAGGCTGAGATCGTGAGACTTGCCAGAACTCGACTAGCACACGCCTGGGAAACGGTGGAAACTGGCCATGGCACCGGCGCACAGGAGAAGGGCTACGAAGAACGGACGGACTGAAATTGATCTGGCAGGGTGTAACGAACTCGGTCAAGGTTGGGCGGAGAAAGGAATCTCAGCGGGAAAATAGACGTCGTTGAAAGCGGACATAGAATACAGATGAAGGATCTCATCCGAAAGCTGCCGTGCTCTCTGCCTCTGCTCACCCTTGCGTGAATGGCATCGACACCGCCCCCGGAGATTTCCAGGATCGAGTCCAAGTGCTCGACGGGCGTCCTTCCTATATCACATTCCGTTGCCACGCTAATCTGAATGTTCGTTTTCTCCTCTAGCGCTCTTGCCGCAATATTGACCCTTTTCTGTATTCCTTCCAGCTCGTCAAAGTGTACAACGTCCAGGTACAACTCTTGTCCTGCTGGGAAAATCCAGAAGTGCGAGCGCGGCGCAGCCCGCAGCAGCAGCATCAGCATCATCATCATCATCATCATGAAGCCTTTCCTTCGGCACTGGCATGTGAATCCAGTTGATCCTCCTCTTCGAACCCTTCTTGACCCCGTTCGCTATTTCGACCATGAATCCCATCTCCGTAGGCTCAATGAAATGTCCATGGCCAAGATCTCCATAACACAAATGCAACCTGCATTCCACGTCCTCTCTCACTGAATCCAACAGTCGCATCATTCGCTCGACTAGCTTGTCCACGACGGCTTGTTTGGGGAACCAAGGCGAGAAATGCGGCCACACCGTGCCCTCAAGCTTGGCAAATTTGGTTGGGGCGTCCCATTGGATTGCAAGATCTGAAGGTGGAGTGGCATTTGGGATGTTGCTGAGGGCTCGAAGCAATGCGGCTTCGTAGAATGGGTCGACGGTGGACTGATAGCCTCGGCGACGAAGACAATTGTGTTCAGCGGGGGTAGGCAGTGAGACTTGGAATTTTACACCTTTAGGTATCTTGCCTTGCGATCGGAGAGACATGAAGAGTTTGTACGGTGAAAGGGCGTATTCGTCGTAGGTAGTGGCTAAAAGATGCTCTGTCCTTGCGAGTGTCACGGTCAAACCATCAAGGGCGGACTTTGTGGAAGAGAGGCAGGTGGAACAGCAGTGAACGCTACGTCGTATTGTTTCAGGATTTGAGCATGAGAGCCGGAAACGCCTTGTTGGAAGACCGTAAACTCCTCTCGATGGTTGCTGTAGATAGGAGGTTGGAAGTGTATATCCTAGAATCTGTAAATCCAGCTTTTTCCATCGTCCCGTGGCTTGTGAGAGAGAGCAGCTCTTGCCCATGGGCACCGCTAGGCGTCCGCTGCCTGTGGTCTGTATCTAGATCGGTCATCTCTTGCTGCAGCATGTGTTTGGCCACATAGAGGGCTTCCTGTCCAGACAATAGCCGCCAGTGTGAAGGTGTTTGGAGACTCGGGAAACCCTGCAGAACGCTCATCGTTCAGCTCGTCTCTAACTTGTGGTGGCATGCTTCTCTGCTTATATCAGTCAAGGTGTTTCCCCGATCTTGCCCCCATACCCATTTTTTTTTCCATCCGCACAGCCTTTACATGGCATCATGTCTTCATCGTTCAATGTGGAACTCAAGGCCTGGGGATAAGGAATCGGGAGCTCCAGCGTCACCGCTCCTACTCCATATTGTGTACCGGTTACTTGGTACATGACATACTCGTATCCCAAGGTGATTTTCTCGATTCAGGGGTGTACTCGGTGCATGGACGGGAGTAGAGCTGAGCAGAGACAAGTGGTTCGAGGTCGATCGTGTATGACTCGGTCGGCGGCACCAGAGGGGGGTGGCGGTTAGTTAAGGCGACAAACAGACGCGCTATGGGTCGGTGACACGTTGTGGGGCGAATCTTTTCCGTGAATTTTTCCGCATCAGAACGAAATATCACCGCAGGTGCATACTGAGTACATACCAGACCACAATAGACTACCACAGACAACGAACAGACTACAATCCAGGCTACCAAACTCAAAACCCACCTTGAATTTCACCGAACCCAATTCCAACACCATCCTGTGCCTGTGACTGTCATCGTCGACATGTCGCTTCCTCCAGATCGCATCAGCGTGAAGCGCAGACGGCAGGAAGAACCTGTCGAGGCGTTATGTACTGCCGCTCTCGTCTCCGCCATTAGACTGTGAACTAACCTGTTACTTCTAGACCTTGAGCAAGTCACTGCCCCAGACAAGAAGAGGAGAGTCACGGATTTCTACTTCAAACGCCTTCAGAACGAGGTCATCGCCCCCGTTTCTCAGCGAGCCACCACTCCTCCCCAGGCCATGTGGTCCGAGCCTCCCGCGCCCGGTGTTCCTCCAATCCGTCTGACCTCTCCCGGGCATGGTAAGAGAGACGCTGCAAAGTCCGGGGTTTCTCTGAGAGCAAAGAACAATGCGTCTGGAAAAGAGAAGAGCGAGGCGCCAGACTCTGCCAGCCCAAGATCCGGAAGCAAGTCAGCCCCGACTACACCGGCCGTAAGCCAAGCTCTGCAGCAAGCCCGCCGCTTCCATCTCACTCGTCACCTCTCGTCAGTCCTTGGGCCAAGTGCTTCTGGCGGGATTCGGAAATCCAAGAACCTTATCCGCCCTCCTCTCGCCACCTTTGTTGAAAGACACACGCCCATTTTCGACCACGAGCAGAACCCGCTGTACCGTGATAAACCCGTTGACAAGGTGTTGGACATTCAACAAGGCGATGACGCAGGGGATGTGAAGTCCGATGGACTCGGAGAGCCGACCCTTGAAGCCTTGAAAGCATGCAAACGAAACCCGACGAGCACGTTTGTTCAGACAAGTTCTAAGGCAGCAAGGAATGGAACCTCCATCAAAGACCACCCAAGTACGTGGGATCTCGAATCTGATCAACTTGCAGACGAGCTGGCCGCATTTGCAATGGAGCTCGATCCGGACCTGCAGCAACAGGCTGAAAAAGGGCATCCTGCAGTGCCTCGGCCCGAACCCCCGGACACTGTGATGGCGTCTCACGATCGAGAGGACGATTACGTCTACGAGACTTATGTTCGGGTAGAGTACGATGTGCAAGTACATGGCCCAGGCACTAGCACGGGTCTCCATCCCAACTATGGAATCCTCGTCATCGACGAAGAAGATGAGGACTTGTGGCAAAAATACATTGATAGTGACGATGACACTGATTGGGATGAAGAAGACTCGAATGGTGAGTAAACAGGCTATTCGTAACCTAAACATTCTGACTGCCGGCAGCTGAGGACAATCCCGCCAATGACTATCCAGAAGAGGAAGTCAGCTCAGATGATGAGTACGGGTATAACCCGTACAAATATCGCACTTATGGTTCTGATCAAGAAGACTTTGATGACGACCACACTTTCGATAACAGACGGTGACAACCCCGCAACTCAGACCACCACTGATCAACATGCTCGATGGCCCCGATGTGCCAACCCACCAACACAGCAATACAATGTCGGAATTCCAGACGACTTGTCATGAAGACCCGAGACTGCTTGAACAATGCCAACCAGGATCACAATTACTGACTGACATTGGGGAGCGATGCACCCCACTCATGGGCGCTTGGTTCCAGAACACGTCTTGCAAGTCGGATTTCCACAGCCACCCCGCTGGGCAAAACACGGCAGGGGAGGTGTCAATTGATCCTCCAGCCGCATCCAAGGGAATCTCGCAGTGGTTCTCTGTACCACCCCAAACTTGCCGACCTTGTCTCCTAGCGTTCTGTGTCCCGATTTCGCCTGTTCTCTGACTTTCTCGACGCCTTCTTCACCGAGGAGGCGATAAAATTTGCATTGCAGTCCGGGCTTTTTTCTGTCTTCGCCGAATTGGCGTTGGAATGCTTTTTCGACTTCGTCCCAGGCTTGCTCCAAATCGGTTCGGTAATACCAGATGAAATATGCTTGCTCGGGCGTGTATTTCTTGCACGGTGAGTGGGGACGTCTACGCCTTCGTTCTCTCAGCATCCGATCGATGGAGCGTCGATCAATGGAGCTGCTGGATGTAGCTTCGCTGTGGCTATCCTCGGTGGAATCTCCCGTGTCGGAGCCCTCGTCTCTAGACTGGGCGTCATCGGATTGGTTGGTCTCGCATTCCATTGTTTCGTCCTGGTCTTGATCATTGTCGTTCAAGACTGACGCAATCCTCATTCTATCGACGGCGGCGCCGAGTCGCTGTGCCTCATTCTCGTTCTTGTTGAAGGATGGGGGAGACATGACGGCTCTGTTTTCAGCCGAGCACGACACGAACAAATTGATACAACTTGGGTGAGTGAAACTGATGCGTCACGAAGAGAAGATACGTGATCCTGGGGTGTTGGGAGAAGGAGCGCAAGAAATGCAGCAGGTGCCATGGCGGCCAACGCAGAGGCCTTAATAGGCCCTCACGTCGACCCGACAGAGTGGTTCACGCCAGCATGATATGTATTTCTCTGATGAGAGTCTACAGCCATGCAGGCCGTGTACCCGGGCGCCCTGCTAAGCCCAAAAGGTGCATGTGCCCGATATGTGTGAGCGTGAGGGCCAACTGGAATCCGGCAGATCAAGGATCTGGCAAAGGCCAATGCGAACGTAACAGTCTTTCTGAACAGCGCCTCTCATTCACCAGGTTCCAATTTTTGGTGGCCGTCCAAGGCAGGTTGGTGGACATGGCCCACAATTTTCCGGGAAATATGAAGATGCCGCTACAACTAGACTGATCTTCTCTGGACTTCTGTAGCATGCGCTCGTCTTCGACTACCCCATTGTTGCCCGGCCTCCAAGTGTTGATATGGTTCGCACAGAGAGGTAGAACCCAGACGCTCTGGCCAATGGAAGGCGGTTAATTAGCGCAGAAGGATGATATCCACAGCCACCTTGCAGGGAGGGCAGTGTCTCTAAGCCCCTAGCTGATCCGAAAACAAGCAAAGTGGGAGAAGAGAGTTCTATAAGGCTTGTCCTAGCGTTGCTAGATTGAGAAGAGGAGGCCAGCTCCGACGGACCATCTGAACATCTGCTGCGAGATCGCTCGAAATTCCAGGTTACACAACAGGTCACACAGGCCTTGGATAGCCAATTACGGTCTCGCATGAAAACAGGGGTGAGCCACCTGCAGCCGACATTCCCGCGGTGCTCACGAGTACTGGGTACTTGTAACAAGTACAGCAGGTAATAGTAGTGCGGCAGGCCCCTGGACATGTGGACGCCACACAATTCTGCTGCATTGGGCCCTAGATTGTCCTTACTACCGCACAGTTACAGCTACGCACTGGTGGTGCTGTGCAGATTGATGACGATCTTCGTCTGTCCTTGACGCGCCATTTGGCATCTCGCCTAGTCCACGTTGGCCAGTGCTTACAAGGCCACGAATGTCGGAGTGTGTCCTCCAGGCGATGATTGTCAAGGGCTCGTCGACCGACTGCTGCTTGCTGCACAGGTTGTTTCTGCCAAAAGGACTCCCTTGCTCGACGCCGACCAGCAAGTCGTTTCGTCTCAGGGCGCTTTCACTTTAGGCCTATTTTGACTGGTTTGCGGGGGGGCGCTTACTGGGCTGAGGGTCGCGATCGTTCCACTTTCAGATGCCAGGCGCCCCCTCACTTTCTCTCCCTCACCAAGCATGACAAGGACCGTTGATCCGAAGTTTTGAGAGCTGGTCCAAGCGTGCGACAGAGGGCAACAGAGGGGACCCCTCATCGATGGGCATGAGACTCGGCTGCTGATTGCTCAGCCAGTGAAAACAACTTCGTCGAGCGGAACATTACTCACGCCCCGAGAGGCCAACCAGCGTTGTGACGCTGAAGGAAGATGTGCTGCTAGTCCGTCACCACCATGTCGAAATCGGGATAGACCAAGAGATCAGCGGGTGCTGAGTCCGAGCCAAACTGCTCACAGATCTGGTTCATTCGCAATGCACCTCGGTTTGTTGCAGGCGTTTGTAGCTCGCGAGCTCGCAACAGACTTTGTCGCATGGGACTTGGGCATGTGGGATGCCACTCGCTCCGCCCGAATACATGAAGCCTGTGTCTGCAACCCTGCGTCTTTTGGCTTTTCCGGACCACCACGACTGATCTATGCCAAGGCCAGCCAGGGAGACTGGATTGAGACCCGCAGTCGAGGGAGGACTTTTGCTTCAAGTTCAGAGAGCAAACGGGCTCGGGCGCGCCTTGGGGCCTAACTTCTGAGCCCCAGATCAAGGTGACAATAGCTCCCAGCCCCATCCCTCCCCTCGAAGTGATTTGGCGGGAGTCTAAATACGATATGCTAATTGATGTTGGAAAGCCGCGGCACTGGTCCTTCTCCCTACCTAGGTAGTTAAGAGAGCGGCCCCGTCTGCTCTGGTGGCGAGAGATCCGGGTGTGCTTCTGCAAGCTGCACGAAGATCACTGGTCTCAGAATTGGACACCATCGCCATCCCTGGCCTCCCTGATGGTTTGTTGTGACTATTGAGGTCTACTCTACCCCCGCAATCGAAGGAACATACGCGATGGAGCGGTGAAGGGGGTGAAGGGGGTGGCGGCGTGGCCCTGTACCAGAGCTTCAGCCCAAAACATGGGCTGAAAGGCCGCCAATCCGATCCCGGAGCGATGAGAACTATCATTCACCACCTACAGCTCTACAAATGAACACTACTTGCAGATGCTTGGACCCACGCTCTATCCCAGCCGTGATCCAATGACTTGGAGTGCAAGGGGGCCTTCGTGCATCGAAGGCAAAACAACGGGCGATTCTATTTGAGGAGACATGCAGCTCCCTGCCTTTTGAAGCAAATATTGCCTCTTATCCACAAGCAAAATGTGACTCGTCACTTCAGACTACTGCTAAAAAGTGGTTTTCTCAAGGGAGTTGGCCTGTCATGCACACCCAGGTTGATTCTCCATCTGCGGGAACGTGGGAGATTGCCCCGGGGGCTGGCTGGATCATTAATACGGTGCCTCACGGCGCTTCGGGCTTTGTGCCATTGATAATGGCAATTCCACTCTGCTTCACTCCACATTCCTCATGCCGTCGTAAACGTAGGCATTGTCAAACAAGATCTGGCGAGACAAGGAGAGAAGCATTTGAGGGGCTCTATGGTTGGGATGGTGTGAAGTGACACGACCTCGGTGTTTGTAGACCTTTGAAGTGGCCCCTCAAGCCCGTCTGCCTTTCATCATGCACGTCAATGGGTCTGCCAGCTGCGCACTCGCTATCCTCAGGTCGTCGCCAACACTTAGATCCAACGAGCTCTGATCACCAACGAAACAATCACCTTTCCACTGACGGCGGTCAGTCTTGGGACCGCTCACAGGCTTGTGCCAACATGGTCTTGCGCATTGGGCAGAAGTCTAGACTGGGAAAACCCCCCCCTTCCACCATGAACCCAAGGCTCTCTATCGCATGACCTCTGGATCACGTGATGGTCACCCTGGCCACACAAAGTTCTTGACTTGGCGCGGCTGGCGAGGCCCTATATTAGCTACTCGCTACGTAGGCAAGACGCTTAATTAGCCCTTGAACCTTTGTTTCAAAACCGCCGCCTCAACAGGCATAAAGGTCGGCCGAGGCTACGAATTTCCAAAGGATCATGGACGGCGACTGAGCAGTCCCTGCGCTGAGTCCTGTGTATATATATAAAGTACGGAGTGGCCCTGTCTACAAGTAGTTTCTGGGGTTTCGAGACGAACGCCACCAATGCCGGTGAACAACCACAAAGCCGCGAGCAAGGGGCTGAATGTTACACACCTCGACGCGACTCCGAGTCGCACTGTTCGAAGCTTCTCTCAACGACACTTGGCCGCAGGACGCAGTCGGCTCCCAAGAACACAACGACATGGCTCTGAGTAGTCAATCTGCATTGAGCCCTCGACAATCCAGAGAGAAAACTCATACACACAGGTTTATCCTATGCCATGCCATGCCATGCATGAAAGAAGGAAAGAAATCCACATGACAACGAACTGCTTTTTAATATTGTCTGCGGCTGCTACTACCTATATAAAACAGGGATGGGAGAGCTGGCTAGACTGAACTAGCTAACTAACCAACTGACTACTGAGCCAAGCGGGCGAGCCGGGTGTGTGGGACATGTGAATATCATATGCGCGATCGAGATCTCTCCTCCTCCTCCTCCTCCTCCTCCTCCTCCTTTTCTTCTTCTTCTTCTTCTACTGCTGCCCGAGCCGCTTCTTCTATGTCATCCTTGCCAAGGAAGGAAAAAAAAAAAGGCAAGGAAAAGAATAAAATTGGCACCCAGACCAGACCAGCTCAGATCTGTCCGATTCAGACAAGACAAGATGCGCCCCGACGACTTATTATGTTGGCCTGGCCGCTAAAAGTTCTTGGAAAGAAGGGTGGAGTTGGGTTTTGGGAAAGGGGTGGCGGGGGAGGGAATCTGATCTCGGGATGATCTCCGTATCTTTGTGTATGGGAGGTGTGTATGGGAGGTGTGTATGGGAGGTGTGTATGGGAGGTGTGTATGGGAGGTATGTATGGGAGGTATGTATGTACCACGGCTGGTGACACGTATGCATATGACGAATGAAAATACCGTACGTGTGTCTACCGCTAGAAGACACCAAAGACTCGTTCGTGCCCAAGGACGGAGGAAACAGAGAAGAGGTCATTTCGATTGCAAAATTTTGCGTGTCGAACTCAACCCGCACCGACCCAATACAATGAATAAAAATGTCTCATTCGTAAGATGTCTAGGGGCTACTCTGTCCGAAGAAAAGCTCAGAAACCATGCTCCCGAGGAGTGCGCTCATTCAGCCACGGACAACCCAGAAGAGATACCCACTATAAGTCCTGTGGCCTGGAGAACCACTTCTCAGACGCCTCAAGTCTTCCCCTGTTTGGTCCCCATGCCACACATTGCTCTTTCCAGAATGCTTGCTCCCCACCTTTCTTTGGAAGCCTCAGATTTCTGCACGACACAGCATGCCTGAAATGAGATCCAAATAACGCAAATCCACTGGCCGTGAAAATACCTGACTCTCATGAGTATAGAAGCATACGGCAAACGAGGTGTGATGCAATAGGAAACGCCAGATAGACACCATCGGCAGCTGCCATGCGACATCATTCCCTACTAGATTTCAGAGAACTCCAACCCTCGCACTCGCCGGGTATCTTTTGATTTGCCTCTTCCAGATATGTATTGCACAAGAATGTTATATGTTCTCCGAAGTTGTGAAAGTCTCCCGAAACGTGTTGCACCCATACGAGATTCGTGAAATTTCGACACCGATCAAAACGGATGCAACATGGTAAGGAAAATGGCGTCGACGGAAGGGCATCATCATGTGTGTGCGATTGAATGAACCCGTTCATCTCTAATCACGGAGTCAGTATCAAGAATCAGAGTGGCAGAAAGATCGCACATACCCGACGCCCTCGTCCTCCAGAATGAACCGTCTGCATCGGTGGGGAGAAGAAAAATTGTTGTTGAGGGTAATTGTACATGTTGGAAGGCATATTCTGCTGGAAGTTCTGCGGAGGGAAACCGCTGGAGCCTATAACGGGACTCATTTGTGCGGAGAAGGAAAGAGGTGAAGACGACGGGTTCTGCAACGGGCGGAAAGGATCGACCGCCGCAGGGGGTGTTGCATAACCAGCAAAACCATTGGGCAGATATCCACTGTTGGATCGTTGTGGCGGCGCTGCAGCAGGAAAATTTTGATACTGAGATTGGGGAGTCATTTGTTGATAGGCAAGCTGGGAGTATTGCTGCTGTGACTGAAACCCGTTCATCGTGTAAGGCGCAAAGCCGAACGAGTCGGCAGAACCAGTCCGGATTGGGCTCAGACCGTTCTCAAAGTTGCTGCCGTTGGGGACGAAGCTGCCGCTGTATTGTCGCTGGGGAAAGTTTTGCTGCTGCAATCCGTTTAATGGGACATGTTGCTGTTGAGCCAACGGTCGGGTTCGATCGTTCACGTTCGGGTGTCCATGGGAAGGATACTGTTGCACTACCGGTTGACTAGGTCTAGACGACAGCCCAACTTCGTCCATGATTCTCTTGTAGCCTTGGTTCGGTTGAGCCTTTATCTTGGTAAGTACTTTGGAGACATTTTGGACAACCTCTGGCCTCATGTTGTCGTCGAGGAACGGTGTCGTCAGAATCTTGAAGATCAGGGTCACACCAGAGGTTTGGTCGCACAAAATCTGTTCAAGCACACTGTCATTCGGGCTGAAAAAAAGGGCATTCAGAACCATATCCCGAGCATCAGGCTCGTTTCGTTGATTGATGATCTTGAGAACAGTAAGATATGCAACCTTGTGCGTGCAGAGTTGAACGAGGTGAGGGATCAATCTCGGTGCCAGAACTGAGCGTCGACGAGGGAAGGTGCAGGTATCGAGCAGCCAAGTCAATAACAGTGCGCCGTTGGCGTTCTGAGCAAGCTGTACACTGTGCAAAGCAATAGCTGCAGCCATCATCCGCTGTTGGTTCTTTGTCGCATGATGAGCCTCTAAACAGGCGCGCATTGCCCGGGCTCCGAATCGTCCTTGGGCAATCTCCCAAAGTTGACTAAGCATAGTCTCAAAGATGTAGTCATTATATGGCGGCCCAAACCGAAGGCAGCATTGAAGAACATAATTGCCATATTGGTCGAGGAAAAGAGGTATTGTGTAAGGACGAAGCGAGTCAACAATCATTCGAGTTTGTGTTTCGGTCTTGCAAACTTCGATGATCTTCTGGGCGGCCCAGGTACCATTCTTGTGCACTCCGATTTCAGCAAGATGAGGTGCGATGCACGTCAGCATTTGTTCCTTAGTTTGCTCTGAGCAATATTCGAAGAACTTCTGGACGACAGTGTTACCAAGATAGTCCGAAGACAATTCCGCAATTTCAGGTAACATGTCGATTGCGATCTGCTCGATCTCCTGCAGTCCGCAGGCTCCATTGTCGATTCGTTTGCGTATGTCTCGGAGCCTTGGTGCATCATACATTCTCGTGGAACTCGGTTCTGGAATAGAAGCAATCTCTTTCTCAAGGCGATTGTAACAAATGGCACTCTCAATATTTGCAGAGATGTTGGGTAAATCCGACTGTTGCCCGCCAAAGTCAAGCACAATTTGCAGGATTTCCGGTTGCAGCTCCGTCAGGCGGTCGGGGGCTGGCAAATTAAGCGTTTGCTGCATGTTCATGGAGCCGGTAGGGCTGCCGGTGGCATCCTTCGCTTGCGATGTTTCTGCTTCGGCACTTCCATTGGCCCCAGGTGGAGGGGTGGTGTTTTGCACAGGAGTCAAGGAGACAGATGCATTTGGAGCCTTTGCGAATCCAATTCTAACGGGGCCGGCGCCAGGGAAGATTTCTTTCCCATTGAGCAGCTGTCGGGCACGGACGGCATGTTCGACCGACTCGAAATTGACAAAACCGCAATTTTTATGAGTGAGAACTCTGGTTGATTCTATCGGGCCGTACCGATTGAAGATAGCATCCAGTGAGGACATTGTGGTCGAATTCGGGATAGAGCCTATCCATAGGGATCGAGAGACCTGGACTTCAGATTCGTCCACGCTCTCATATGACAAGGTCACGTTTTCGGCGATGGACAGATTCTGCAGCGTGTCTGCAAGAGTAGACTGATCCATCGCACTCGATCCTTGCATATCGAAAGCCATACCAAGGTTGTCCGCTGGTGGCTGGGCTAAGTTGCGGAGTGATGTGCGCTGAGGTGTCTCAACCAGTCCGGCAGTTCGAGCTCGTGGGCGCGCAGCACTGGCATTCACAGCGAACGCTTGAACGGCTTGGTTATGCAGGCGAACCTTCTCCTGGACCAACTCATATTCGGCTTCCAGGGCCGCTGCCGCCGAGGGTGTCAACGTCCCACTAGCGAATAGCGGAAAGTTATTGCCGCCCTCTTGAGCTTCAGTTGCATATTTGGACTGCGTGTTGACAGAAAATGACCTGAATCGACTAGAGTTACGCATTCCAAAGCCAGCCAACACATCGGACAAGTTGGGATCTTGAGGACGGGCGGACTCATCCACACCCTGCCGAAGACTATCAGGTTTCGAATGCTGTGGAGGTTCAGCAAGTCCAAGATAGTCAAGCGTGCGGACCCCGGAGTCTGACATGCCATCCTTGGAGTATCCAGATGGCTGAGGAGACGTCGGATCATCGGCAGAACTGATACTTGTCAGAGTGGCCGCCCTAGTTCTTGTTCCCCAGCTGGAACTAAACGCGTTCTGCCCAAAGGGGCCAGAAGGACCGAGCAGGCTTGAACGCTGAGGCATGCTCCCGGCACGAAGTCTGGATAGAAGAGCCGAAGTTCCCGGGTTGGCTTGGTTAGATGCGGTCGAGTAGAATGCGGTTTCGGCAGCGGATGTTGAACCGGGTCGAAAGGGGCTCGTGGAAGGGGTTGGTCGAGAAGTCTTGGATGTCAGGACATTCACCCCGTTGATCGTCCCGACCGGGGATATTCTCGAGGGTAGGGTGCCGGCTCGTCCTCGCCTCGCGGGACTGTTGATCCCAGTCTCGGTCAGGGGCACCAAATCTGGGAAACCATCCTGGTTGGGAGATTCCGGAATCTCGAACAGAGGGGTTGATGTGCCACTGGTTGGAGGTCCCCAGATATTAGGGGTTAAAGAAGTCTGAGACTGCAGCTCCCGGGTACGTTTGGGAAAGAGGCGAGAGGCTTGTTCGTGAAGAGGAGAACCAGCTCCTACTCTTGCATTAGACAGGCCGGCCAGTCCCGAGGAGGATTTTGCACCACCGAAAGGGGATTTGCTGGTGGGCACTGAAGGAGGTTCGCTGATGGGAGTCAACCCTGAGAGGTTTATATTGAGTTGCCCGTCGGGCCGCGTGGAGGTGGGAGGTGCCATGGTTGAGCTCTCAGAAGCAATGTCGCAGGTTGCAAGACAATGTAGATGTCTATGCGATGATTTCAAATTATGGAGGCGCCTACTTTTTTTCGCCGTGAACCACTTTCGTAGGAAGAGAAATGATTGTGCAGGTGATATCGTATGCTCGTTTTGCGTGCTCCTAGGTGATGTCCAGAATATGTAGGATGTCTTCGGCACCTGCGGACAGGAGCGTCTACTTTCCAGAGGTCCTTCAACGTGACACTTGATGAAAGAAAGCAATGTCCGGGACTGACGAGAAATGAATTCGTATTCGAACTGGAAGTCAAGTCGAGGCACGGCCGGGATTTCGAGGAACAGGAGGATTCGGAATCGCAGGATATTACTTTTAGAGGGAGTTTTGGGTCTTGATCGGGGAAGGAGAGACTGTCGGCGGCCGTATTAACACAAATGATGGAATAGAGAGAATCGAACGTAGCAGCTCTCCAGGGCTGAAGGGGGCATTAGGGGAAGCCGAAGGTGAAAGGAAGTAGAGAAGAAGCAAGGCGACGCAGCAGTAGCAGGCGGAAGAAGAGGGAGCAGCTGGTACGGAGGAGTTGTGGATGAATTAGGGGGCAAAAGAAGATGCTAATAGGTAAGTTGAGGTTTGGGGCAGATCGAGAACAGGGTCGGTGGTGTCGGGTTGCGTAGACGCACAAGCAGTTACAGACAGACACACACGTCAACGGCTGGGCATGCTTGGTAGGTGGTGCAGGTGGTTTAGTTAGGCGGTGATGGCGCCGATGGGCCCTGGGAAGAAAAAAGTACGGGGAAGAGCAGGGACCATAGGGACCGCTAACGAGTGTCGAGCAATAATCCTGATCAATCACCCGATCTGTTCTCACCCACCCAGTTCTGTCTGACCGCACCAGGCCCGTCTAGGCCTAGCCCCTGTAGAGAGCCACTGGGAGCCACCAAGGTCCTCT